CTCAATTAACACTTATATCTTAAATCTACAAACTAATTCTTATTTATTCTCATTTATAGTGACACCATAATTATTCTTTATTATTTTTATAATCAATTTCAATCTGATTTCAACTTTAAATACCTGTAAAATTCAAGTAAATTTAAGTTTAAGCAAAAATATATACTTTATACTCGACTATCAAATTCAGCTCAATTTAAATCATAATCATTTCAAACCGATAATCGAGTAAAATAAAAGAATTCTTATAATTTTTTGGGCAAAAAAAAAATTTGGAGGAATAGTTTTGATCATTTGATTAATAATCTTAAAACAATCTGACTCGCAAAAAATGCAAGACAAACAATGCTAAAGGCATGATGAAATATAAGATTCTAGCATTCAAAAAATTGATCCCACAGTATCAAATTTAAAATTAATTTCTTTGCTTACATCATTTAAAATTAATTTCTACCTATTGTTTTCTTAAAAATAGTTTCAAAATTTTCTCAAAATGCATAACTCGAGAATTTTTTTTTAATATGTGTACACTATCGTGTATGAATAATATATGAAATAAAAATTATGTTAAACTACAAATTAACTAAATATTAAATGATTGAATATGCTATAGAATTGAGTTATGTAATTTTTTAAGAAGAAAAATATATAAGGGATAAATATTCAACTTGTTAGCTGATTTATTATTTAGATTATTCGCTTATTATATCATTCAAATATTATAATTTTTTTATTTCAATACAAATATGATTTGTATTATAGTTATTCAACTCATTTTGACAAAAAAAATATGTATTTAAGGTCTATTTATTTATTTAAAAATTTAAAAAATAATCTTTAATTAAATGTAATCATAACTAATGACCTAATTAATGTATAGAATGAGATAAAGAAAGTGGGTTATAAAAGAGATAGAAATTTTAGAATTGTGGAAAGAATAAAAAACTTGTTCAAAAAATTGGGAGAGGGAAAAGACTAATAGTCAATATACGAGATCAGTTGACTGAATAGAGTAGGCGAAAGTTTGGGAACAACAAGAAAATTATGCACATGCTGAACAATGAATTAATTCATGTCCAGATGCAGGAACCTACAGAGGAAAATTTAGTTAGAGAAGCTGAGTTGGGGCCCAACTAGACGTTGTAAGATGCAAAGAAAAAAAATATTGGTTGTAGAGATCTAGGATTAAGTGGTTGAAGGATGGGAACCAGAATACAAGGTTTTTCCACCTTTCTGCCATCTAGAGGAGAAGTCGAAACTAGATTCTTAGGCTTAAATTTGAGGATGCCGAGTGGATTGAAGGGGAGGAAGAGATCAACTCTCATATTAGAGACTATTTCCATAATCTATTTAATACAACGGGGAGAAGGATTGGCCTGAGGGCTTGAACATGGTGAAGAGCAAAGTCACTGAGGAGATGAATTTGCAACTGTTGAGACCCATCTCTGAGAATTAGGTGCAGGAGGCAGTTAAGGAGCTGGGTGCCTTAAAGGCGCCTTGACCAGACGGATTCCTAGGCTTATTTTTTCATTAGTTCTGGCATGTTGTGGGACATGATGTCTCCAAGATGGTAAAAGAATTCTTTGAAAGGGGCGGATGAACAGGGAGGTTAATCTTACAAATGTTGTCTTAATACAAAAGGAAGCTGCGCCTGAATCTATATCACAGTTCAGGCTGATAACACTTTGCAACTTCTCATAAAAGGTGATTTCCAAAGTGATGGCGAATAGGATGAAAGGAATGTTGAGCTCTATTATTTCCCCAAATTAGGCGACCTTTGTACCAAATAAACAAATTCAAGATAGCATAACTATTGCAAATGAGGTTTTCCATCATTTGAAAGGAAAAAGAAGCGGCAGAATTCTTGAGATTGCTATAAAAATAGATATAAGCAAGGCCTATGACACGGTCGAGTGGGACTTCTTGGAGGTGGTTATGACTAAATTGGGGTTTGATCGTCGCTAGGTTAAGCTTATTATGCAATATGTGAGTACTGCCACAATTCTAATTGTGTTGAATGGAAGGAAAATTGGAGTAATTATGCCTCAGAGGGGAATCAGACAAGGAGACCCTTTGTCCCCATACTTGTTCATCCTAGTTGCAGATGTTCTCTCTCATATGCTCTTGAAAGGGGTGAAGGAAAGGAGGTTGATGGGGATTAAAATCAAATGAAGAAGCCCAGCCATGTCTCATATTTTCTTTGCTAACGACTCATTGTTTTTTCTCAAAGCCAAAGAAAAGGGTGTACTGGAGCTCTTAAGGATCTTGCTGAACTATTGTGTGGCATCGGCCCAAAGTGCAAATCATCAAAAATCTGGGATTATTTTCTCAAATAACACTTTTGAGGAGCAAAGGTTGTTATTTTGTCAACTTATGGGAATGCAGGGCCTCCCACACTATGCAAAGTACCTGGGCATCCCAATTGTCTGGGGTAAATCCAAGAACGAGGTCTTTGGGTATTTGTTTGAGAGAATTGTGCAGGGTTGGAAAAGTTGTTGTCTCTCACAAGCGGGAAGAAGATACTGATCAAAACAGTTATCCAGGCGATTCCAAACTACGCCATGTCAATGGTAGAATTCTCTAAAATTTTCTGCAATAAGCTGAACAGTTATGCAAGGAATTTTCTGGTGGAATGGCGGTGAAGATAAAGAAAGGTATATGCTGGAAGAAATGAGAGAAAATGATTGACCTAAAGCTTCTTGGGGGGATGGGATTCAAAGACTTTAAGTTGTTCAACCAAGCCCTCTTGGCAAAACAATGTTAGAGGATCATCAATCAGCCAGAGTCGAACTGGGCAAAATTTATGAAGGTAATATATTTCCCCAATGGGGATTTGATGAAGGTGAGTCGTGGTGCAAGACCTTCATGGGTTTGGACTAGCCTACTGCATGGAACAGAGCTTCTCGAGAAAGGTGTAATGTGACAGATTGATGATTGCAGTGAGGCATGTTTTTGGAAAGATAAATGAATTCATTTCCTTCCTAATCTTGTTATAGACACCCCAAAGCCCTTGGACTGTCCTATCGAATTGGTTGCAGATATTATTAAGGTTACCCCCAAGGAATGGAAAACCTCTAATCTGGCTTCTGTTATTTCAAGAAGGGAATTGAAAGCAATTCGCGCCATCCCTTTGCCTATGAATGGTGAGAAAGACAAGAGAGTTTGGTGGCCAAATAGCAAAGGTATATATACTGTTAAGTCTGGGTATATGTTAGGATGCAAGGTTACCTCATAACAGCCTGAGGTCAACTCCTCTATTTTCCCCCACCCGAAGTTATGGATGTCCATTAAGAATATGAAGGCAGTCCCCAAGGTCAGACATTTTTGGTGGAAAGCTTGCCAAAATATCCCTGCCACACATGAGAACTTGTTTAAGAGGAAGTGTGTTACATCGCCTATATTAGGATTTGTGAGTTGGCCCCAGAATCAATAGAAGATACCCTGTGTGAATGCGAATGGACCAAGAGGGTTTGGTTTGGTATGGATCTTACGTTAGTGGGGATGATAATGCATTCATGTCAGTAGCCTAAAGAACATCTACACTCCTAACGCTGGTGAAGGAGGCATAATGCAGACTGGACATCCTGGGGAAAATGGCTATAGTAGGTTGGATTATATGGAAGGCAAGGAGCCAGTTTATATTTAACACGGAGGAGGTTAATTCTTGTGTTGCAGTTCTACGGGCTCAGGCAATGTGGTGGGATCAGTTCAGAAATGTTGAAGATAAGTCACCAAGGGGACAAAACAAGTCTTAGAGGAGAGGGTGAATGGTCCTCAGGAGGTTGGGGAAGGAGCTCGTATCTTCTGTGATGGTGCTTTCATCCCAGAAGCGGCAAAGGCAGCCTGTGGTACAATATTATGCACTAATAGGGGTGTCTTTGAGTTTGGCAGTGCAAAGGCCTTCAATGCAACATCGCCTTTGGTGGCTGAGGCAGAAGCAGTGAGGCAGGCATGCCTTCTTGCAGAAGCAATGTTAATCACCCGTGTAGCTATCCTAAACGACTGCCTCAACATCATCAAGCTTAGCTCCAACAAGGATGTCCTCTGTGGAAAATCAGGGTAATTATTGAAGATATAAGACACTATGCTAAGTTATACAACTTTAACTTTGTACACAAGCTTAGGACCCTTAATAAGGCTGCTCATTGGGTGGCGATTAACATGCTAAACGATTCGCTTCCGATGAATTGGCTAGGTTTCCTCCCCCCGGAACTTAAGGGCTTTTTGTTGACTGATTGTAATATCAATTTTTTGACTTAATGATATATCAGTCCTGCTTTGTTTTGATAAAAAAAAGCATACGAGATAACTTTTAATGCAACTTGGCACCGACAGCACGCCACATATTAAAATTTTAGATAACTTAAATGGATATTTTACGAAATGCTATTACAAAATTGCCGCCTTTGTTATTCCATTTGTTAACGGAGATAATGATGTACCTTACATTATTTTTAGTGTATTGATGAAAGAGAGTTGGCCAGGGGTCCCATTCCATGAGTTTTCAGGATTTTTCCTACACAGTTTACTAATCCAATCTAATACAAGCTTACAATCACAATTATATTTAAAACGACGAAGCATATAATTTTTAAATTTAAATGTTTTGAATTCAAATTTTAGTAATTTTTTGTAGTCAAGTCATGAGAGATTTATCTATTATGAATATTCTAATTTCGATGTAGATGACCTACTTTTAACCGAATTAAAGAAGATATTAGTCAAAATGCACGTAAATTAACAATACCACTTCCGATCATTAAATTAAAAAAAAAAAAATTCAAGCTTTCCCACCTAATTAGAACAATGTTATGTTTATTAAATTATTTATCGAATTTTGTATTTCATATTTACTTGGATGGATAGATTAGTAGGATCCACAAAGTTTCATTAAAATATTCCATACATAAAATTTTAACAAACCATTTAAAAATAAATTTACGAAGTATACTTGGTCACCACATCTTAAAACCCCCGAATCTCAAATTCAATAAAGATTGATTAGCAGGATAACCACCAAAACAAAAGTGGCTTTTGTGATCGTGCTTTATAATTGGGCTTTGTAGTGGCGGTCTTGGTGGCAGCACATGAAAGATACGCACAACCTCATACCACTCCTCCTGATCTCATTAGTGTGCGCCCTCGTCGCGTTGCGTGCGGCTGTTGCGCAGCCTCCTATCCTACACCCATCCGTTCCAACCCCAATTGCCAACACGACCACCCCCACTTCGATCGAAGTCGATAGGATCAACAACAATTATCTCGCGGAGATCTGTTATCCGAGACGCGAAGGGAGAGCCATGTCCAAAGCTCTAGTATATACAGATGTCAACGTTGTTCGCCCTAAAGAATACTGGGATTACGAATCGCTTACAGTTCAGTGGGGGTAATCACAAAACCTAAGCAGTTTTTTGATTTTTTTTTTATATTGTTGTTTAGTGTTTTTTTGATTTGATTGTTGATTAGGATAGTAGGTTGGTACTCATTTTGTGATTTAATTAGCATGATGATTTGAAGTGAGATATTGCTATTTATGCACCAAGAGTGGCCCAATTTTGGGTATTTTAATGTTTCTGTTGTGAATTAGAAATTTTTAAGCTGATCACGGTTCAAGCTGGAGCCTGGAGGGAATTCAGAGAAATGAGTCATTTTGTCCTGTTTTCAACCAAATGCATATCTATCAAATGAATTATACGGGGACACCTAGAGTTTAGAATTTAAACCTATTTATGTGAACATATCTTATATAGTCAATTATGGAGAAAATTAAATTGAGGGTGTCAAGGAGCTTTGCCTTTGATTTCCAATCTGGATTTTTGTGACTATGTTCTTGAGTAATTATGGTAAATAAACATTTGCCCAGAATTGCTTTGTTGTTGACACCTTTCATGTGCTTGCTATAGTAATTGGAACTTGAGAGGCATATGTTTTCAGGTTTTGTATAAGTAGGGGTTAACCATTTGTTGATATCTTGTGTTTGGACATGCGGAAAAAAAAAAAAAAAAATCTTCAGTACCACATTTATTGACATTTATTCTTCTGTACATATCGTATCAGCTATAATTACAAAAAAGTTGGAAGAGACTGGTTCAAATGAATTGTATGAATCTATCAGAGTGTGGTTAAAAATAACCGAGTTGTGTCTTGGACAGTTGGAGATGTCCGTTTATGATGCTCTATTGAATATATTGAAGTTGGTCTTATGGGACTTGGTCTATATAATGGTAACCATAGTTCCTCACTCTTACTGGATATATAGTCTTCAAGAATTACTTTCACTTTTGCACTTCAACTTTCTCTCTCTCATTACAGTGATCAGGATGACTATGAGGTTGTTCGGAAAGTTGGAAGGGGAAAATACAGTGAAGTTTTTGAAGGAATTAATGTCAACAGCAATGAGCGGTGCGTAATCAAGATACTGAAGCCTGTTAAGAAGAAAAAGGTTGTATCTTAGTTTATGTACTCATGATGACAAGTATTGTATAGCCTAAGGTGATTACTTCGTGTGAAGTTACTTGTTTGTAATGAGTCTTACCACCTTATTCTTTTTTCTATATTACAAATGTGTTATACCTGACACATGTATAGGTTTTTTTCTTGGTAGTTTAAGTGTTATGTTTGATATAAACATGTCACATAAGTCTGTTTTATATGGGTTTCAATATATATGGCAAGTTTGTATGGAGTATGTGACCGATAAGTGATGCAATGATAAATAGTGCATCCAGTCATCTTTTTGTTTCTTCATGTGGTTGGTTTAACTTCATATTCTTAGCACTTATGTACATGGTAGTGTAAGTGTCACGTCTGATATAAACACAACACATAAGTGTCTGTTTTATATGGGTTTCAATATATACAGCAAGTTGGTATGGAGTATGTGACCGGCAAGTGATGCAATGATAAATAGTGCATCCAGTCACCTTTTTATTTCTTCATGTGGTTGGTTTAACTTCATATTCTTTGCACTCATTTACATCATCTTTTTAACTTAATGATAATTGATAAATTATACACACACTTGTTTTATTTATTTTTTTTGGTGTCTCTAATGCAGATAAAGAGAGAGATAAAAATACTACAAAATCTTTGCGGAGGCCCAAATATTATCAAGCTCCTTGACATTGTCAGAGACCAGCACTCAAAGACTCCTAGCTTGATCTTTGAGTTTGTGAACAGTACAGATTTCAAAGTTTTGTATCCTACATTGACGGATTATGACATACGTTACTACATATATGAGCTTCTCAAGGTAATTGACTAAATGAATTCAATTCGGAATACATCTCTCCCCACTCCCTATTATAACTAAGCCTTTTTTTTAAAATTTTGTGGTGAATCTATTTATTTAATTAGGATGCAACAGTTTATGCAAGGAGTATTGTATGAAAATATAAGGATGTTGTGCAAAAAATTGGGGGAAAACTTTAAACTGGAGAAGAAAAAGAAATGCTTGGATGAAGATTGTTTGAAGCAGGCTTTTCTGAGGATGGAGGATGAAGGCTCATAGGGTCTTGTTTTGCATCCTTAAGTTTGGGCCTTCTTTTGGTTAGAGTCCTGCGAATTCCCTATAGTTTATCTTGGGTTATTAGTCTAATTAATCATGTTGCATCTTTGCCTTAATTGCATGGTATAAAACACAGTTCGAAAGGACTAAACTCGGTGACCCTTAGTTTAAAATGTATTGTCGCCTTTGAGAGAGCTGCAGTCGCTTATGATAGTCTATGTTGTTTGTAGCCATTATTATTTTTTTTATTGGGAAAAAGCAAAAGATATTTTGGAATGTAAATTATGTAATGGCTGGATTTATCATTAGCCTATATTCCTCATATGAGCTGAAACACTCCCTTTTTTATGTGGGTGACCATGAACCGAGACTCTTAAAGTGCATGGATGCCTTTTCTATTATGCGACTTAGTTTATTATTGTCCATATTCAGATTCTTCTTCAGCTCACCACCATTCTCCAATAAATACAATTTCTAATTTGTAAAGCTGGCATGTTTTCTCATTCACAAGAATTTTATGGCTTTAATTTAGTTAATGCCTATTATTTTGAGGGCAAACTACACCAACTACTATGGAGGTTTTCAGTTGTTACACTGTCCTTGTGATTTTTAAAATTACACTCAGCCTCAGGTGATTAATAGCCAAGTAATGGTGTTCAGGAAATATTGAAATGACTATTTTATCCTTGAATCAGAGTCAAATAAGCCTTATCCAAACACAAACCATGCCTGGATAAAAATTGAACATGAACCATGAACTGGACTGGAAAGGAAAAAAAACACTAACTGAATTAGAATCTCCCCTCCTCTGTCCCCCACACCCACCCACCACACCTCCCACCTCCGAACCATCTGTGATCTCCCCCAACCCACTATTGGAACTTCCATCCCTACACCATTCCTGACCATCATAAAACACCCTCTTCCCAAACTCCAAACTATTGCCAGTACCCACACTCCAAAGCTCACTGCCAATAATCCCACCTCCGTCAACACCTCTCGCCCTTCCTCTAGTCTCTTTTTATATAACTTTTTTGTATGTCATGCATGCAAGTTGGTGGTAGGTGGTGGGACCAATGTGGTAGGTGGGTTTTTTGGTTGGGTGGGGTTGCACAGGGCGTGGCCGATAGGGAGAGGGACAAATCATGCTTTACAGTACAATTTGTTAGTCTGGAATGGAGCGATAAACTACAAGCATAAAAAAGCGTCACATCCTCTCTAATTCTTTCTTACATCCTATAGTGAATGCCAAAATGGATTTTTTTTTCCCTGGACCCCCTCTTTTCCCTAAGTAAGGAGGCTTTTTAGGATGTATTGGAAGTGGGTTTCACTGGTCTTTCTTTGTGTTTAGCTTGCCATTTGAAACTTTTTTTTGCTTCTTGTCTTGTTCCTCTCATAAGGGTTTCTCATATCGATCTTGTATTTCCTTCTTTGGTTCATAATTTCTCATCCCCTCTCCCCCTCCAACACGTAGCAAACAATTAGAGGGATAGAGACATTTCAAATTAGTTGAATTGATTCTGTTTTGTATTGGTATATTGACCAGTTTTCCCATTTGTATATAAAGATAGTTTATGATTTTGATCTTTTTAGGGGATTTTTTAAATGTTTCATTTTTTGCCTTCACAGGCATTAGATTACTGTCACTCGCAAGGAATAATGCATAGAGATGTTAAGCCTCACAACGTCATGATAGACCATGAGCTGCGAAAACTTCGCTTGATAGATTGGGGTCTTGCTGAATTCTATCATCCTGGCAAGGAATATAATGTTCGGGTAGCTTCAAGGTAAAGCATTAGTCTCTTTGAATCATATAAATAGCTTTTTCTGATTTGAATACTCTCTTCCAGTTGTGTCTTCGGGAGTTGATCCCTCTTTGTAAATTTTGTGAATAAAAGAGTTGTGAGATTCTAGTAAGTGTGCTGGGATTCTCTGAATGGCAGGCATTTGCAGTAGTAAACCTTGGTTTAGAGGCTGACAGGGCAAGAATGAGTTCTTGAAGTAGGCTTTTAAAGTTGAAATATCAAAGAGAGAAAGGACTGGTTATGGTAAAAGCAATAAAATTATTTTCACTTTGTCACTCCTTGGCTTAGGAATGCGTAAGGTAGTCCCTAGAGAAACCTGGTTTTACAGTAACATAAAATCAAACTAAAAAAAAAAGCAATCCAACTACATACTGGCCTGAAATTTTATAAAAGAGTTGATTCAAATTATGGTTATAGTGTGGTTTCATAAAATTATCAGAAGGTTAAATGCCCAACCACAGCTTTACTTCATCATTTGAACTGTAAATTAGTCTGCAGAAAATTTGAATATTTTTTTTCTTGTTACCAGATACTTTAAGGGGCCTGAACTTTTAGTTGACTTGCAAGACTATGACTATTCTTTGGATTTGTGGAGCCTTGGTTGCATGTTCGCTGGAATGGTGAGACCTTGAACCACTACATATCATTTGAGGTTGTATCTTAGTAATAATTGATTTTACGTTGCTCACTATACTCGGTGTTCTTTTTTGTAGATATTTCGCAAGGAACCTTTCTTTTATGGTCATGATAACCAGGATCAGCTTGTCAAAATTGCCAGGGTAATGCAATGTCTGAGCTATTGTGAAATTATCTGATCATTAGTAGACTATGGCAGTCAAAACTTTTTAATTGCTATCGAATGTAAAGAACCAGTTGCATGGACGCACCCAAACAAAAGTTACTGTCTCAACAGTAATTTTGGTGGTTGACGTGATGTCCATGCCCCTGCAACATGCTTTGACTTTCAAATCATTTGGGGATCAGTGAACTCAGTTAAACCAGATGGGGGTTCTTTCCTCCACGACTGATGACTGATGCTAGGCTATTGTATTACTGACCGGTAAAATTATTGGTCATGTACGAGCAGACTGTTGTCCAATTTAATGAATGCTATCCATCATGCTCCTCTAGAGCTGTGCAGCACTTTCTGCAGATCCTTCAGCATGCAGTCCATTGGTATTGTTGGATGCTACTAGATCTTGATTCAAGGGAGTCACATAGCAAGTTCTGCAGGACCTTGAAGGATTTTGTGCCATAGATTGTGCTCATAATAATCCAATGCTACACTGCAGGGGTGCAGAATGAATGTCTTCAGGGGAAAAATAAATGCATCCTTCTGGCAAGACATGCAATATATCAAATTAGCACTGCCTACTTGTTCTATGAAATATGAAATCTTGGCAAGTTAATTTGATCTTTGATATCAAATTAATATTCCAGGTACTTGGGACAGATGAGTTAAATGCATATTTGAATAAATATCATTTAGAGCTTGATCCTCAACTTGATGCTCTGGTTGGAAGGTATGTTTTGTGTTAGTTTCTTCTATCGATATATCTAACTTTTTTTCACTTAACAAAGTTGGTATTAAATTAAACATTAACCAATAATTGGAACATTTTGGATGCCTGTGGTTTCTAAATCTTCCACAACATGGCCATTCTTATATGCTGTTGAAGTTCCGCACTAAATTCTTCATTCAAGAGGGGCATCTAATGCTTTAATTGTATTGATCCCTTGGTTTATTCTCCTGCAGACACAGCAGGAAGCCCTGGTCCAAATTTATAAATGCAGATAATCAGCATCTAGTATCACCAGAGGTCACTCACATCTCATCCTTAGAAACATATGCCTAATGAGTCTTTTAACTAGCTCTTGAAGTACACGTATTATCTTTTACTTTATGTTGATTTTTCAAACTATGTAACTTTCAGGCTATTGATTTTCTTGACAAGCTTCTTCGTTATGATCACCAGGATAGGCTCACAGCAAGAGAAGCAATGGTAATATTATGTGTGATAATTAGCTAATAATTCAGTTCATTTGTTGATTGACCCTGTTAACCGGCTTTGTGACTCTTCCAACTTCTTACTGGTTTTGTGATTCTTCCAAACTTGTTACTTTCCCATATGTTTATTTGATCACCTGGTTCTGTCTTATACAGAGTACTTCCTTCTATATGTTTGTATCATCTTTATCATATGATTCCACCAAACCCGCACCTAATTTGCATGCCATGGGTTTAAACTCAAGTCGATGACTCAATATTTTGTCAGTGCAACGTAGAATGTTAGTATGTCCAAGTTATGGAGTTCTTTCCGTGTTCTCTTCTCTATCTGGAAATTTTTAGATCAATTCTCCAATATTATATCTCATACATAGATGCCAAAGGTAAATGAAAGCAGTGTCAAACATAAAAGTCATCCTTTTTCACTGCAAGTGTTCTCAAGATTTCGATATGACCGTTCATCTGGTATCCTAATGTGTGATTGCCAAACATTATACTTCTGCGTAGGCTCATCCATATTTCTTGCAAGTGAGGGCTGCTGAGAATAGCAGGATGCGGATACAGTAGCCTCTTCAATGTTAAAATCAGTACATAACGTCAGGCTCCGTGTAAGATCATGGTTTCAATTGCAAACTGTATTTCATCAGCATTGTTGTGTATAATGTTGTTTTGACATGTTTAGTTGTGGACTTTTACTATTTTCATAATGGATCTGTACTTGCAACCCGCCGTGGGTCTGTATTGGGTTGTCCCATCAAGTCATCTGTTTTGCTGTGTTATTCTATTGGATTTGGTCAGGTTTTTTTGCTTTCCTCTGACGCTGTCGTGATGAATCCTTAAAATTTTAGTCTTGCTCATGAAGTTCGGTGGATTTGTGTGGGGGTAGGGATGCTTTGCAGTGTTATAGTTAGGAGGGGTGGTAGTCAGATCCCTAGCCTTCCATTCCTGAGGGATTATCCCCTTTTAAAGCAACTCCAACCTAACTCTCCATTTTAGCTACTCAAAATATTTTTAAATATTACATTTGCTATTTTAGAGAGTCATTTTTATAAGTTCACTCTAACAACAATATTTATTTTAGTTAATTATTTCACATAACTTTTAGTAACTTCCAATAATTTAAACGGGATTGTAATATATATATAGAGGGATAGAGAGAGAAAAAGATGGAAAGAAAATTTAAAGAGGCCGAATGACTCCCCACATTTGGAGAGCTATTTGGGTGAGATGAGTAAAGAGTGGGTTGGAGAGTTTTTTTTAGTGTTTACTTAGCTAAAATAGTTAAAAAAGAGAAAGCAGAGAGTGGGTTGGAGTTGTTCTTTGTGGTGAATTTTTTTGATATCTGTGCATATTGATACAGTATGCTAGAATAGCTTTGATCTTGTCCAGGGATTACCACCAATGAGCGGTTGGTTGGTCTAATGGGTAAGAATTTAGATTTTTTCGCTCGTTTGGGTTTGAGTTTTCATAGTTACGGCAGTTTATTGGGATTAAACTTGCTATTCAGTGCCAGAGCACGCAATTAGATCTTAGTTATGGCTCTGACGTAGGTGCGGTGGGGTCTTCTGCATATAATTGTGTGGTGTAGAGGGAAAATATTTTTTGGCGGATATGTGAAGTGACTGATCTATGTATCTATTTCATAAACTGTAAAGAAGGGATTACCAATTGCTAGCCAGCATATTTTTTAAAACAACTTTTAACACTTCTCAGTAGCTGGCTGCCATTGCACTTCAGCAAAGATACGTTCTTATAATTAGGACCACCTGAAATTGATTTAGGATCAGCTTGGTTTTGCTTCAATTGGGCAAAATGAAAAATGTTTTCGAAGAATAAGTTTATCCATTTTGTCATGGATTTATTGAACTCCAGCCGTATTCAACCCTTCCTTTATACTTACCTATGTGAAATATTCAACAGTATTGGAGTTTAAATTGTCGATGCATTTGATGTCATAGAGCCTCTACCTACGGTAAGGTTGGCAGCATTAGACTATAGCCAGTTAACTAACTGGTAGGCTAATTAAGCTTATGTGAGTTATTAAACCTAACATATGAATGGGTTACTTAAAAAGGAGGTTAATGATTATTTAAAATTGAGAGAAAAACATTAACTCGAAAGAAAAGCAAAGGACAAGTTCTTTGCGGGTTAGCACACGGGTTAGCTAATTTGCTACGGAATTAAGATACCTCAACTCGGAGGAGGAAGACTATGATCGATTGTGAAGTTATCCTTCATAAATTACCTAATTATAATATGAATGATCTACTTTTAATTGAACTGGAGAAAAAATTAATTGAAATACGCGTAAGTTGTTCCCCAATACGCTTAATGTTTTTCAAAAAAAAAGATATAATTCAAGTTCAAAAAATAAAAACTTTAGATACGATACTAATTTTTTATTTTTTTTAGTACCATAGAATTACCCTTGAAGTTAATAAAGAGTAAATATTAGGTGTAATGGTGGTGACACTACGTCCCTGTTATAACGTGATATTACAATTCAATAATAAACATACAAATAAATAGAGTGAGTCTCACTATTTTTTTTATAAAAAGTAGTTAATTTTTTTTAAGTGAACAAGTAATTTCTAAATTAAGTGTAATTCAACCTTTAAATATAGTTTAGGAACTAAGTCTAGCTTCTTGACTCAAAAAAAAAAAATGTGTCTAACATTTGGTAATTTAAAGGTCTCAGATTTAATATTTTTAATTTTCTCTGATGGCCATCCGCCCATCATCTTAGGGAAATATATTTTAAACCTCACTCAGATTCAGATTAGGATGATCATCGAAATCATTCTCAAAAGAACAATTAGTGGGATTTACTTATTAATCTATTAAGATCGGTGACATTATATCACAGTAACATTCACGAAGATAGGAGAGTCGTTCTCGTACACTTTTTGTAAAGGCCAGCCAGCCAGCCCAGTGGGACCGATCGACACCACTCAGCAATTCAAGCAGAACGCAGAATATACTTTGCTGCTCTGCTCTGCCAAATCTCTTCTCGAATCTCTCTTTTCCTTTCTCTTTCACCGTCCATCCTAAATTCCAAACCCTTTTCGTTTCCCTATACCCTCTCTCTCTCTCTCTCTCCCTCCCCCATACAAAAATGGAGATTTTTTTCGAACTCCTCATCATTGTTGGTCTCTCTGTTCTGGTTTCTTTCATTCTCGCCGAGCTTCTTTCAATGGCGTCGGCTTGCCACGTTGTTGAGGAAGATGTTGTGATGACATCATGTAAGGATGAGATCCAAAGAAAACACGACAAAAATTCTGTGCTTCGTGATTTTGAGAGCGAGAGAAAAGTTCGATGTTTTGAAGACTCGATAAAAGTTAACGCGTGTGAAGCTGAAGAGTTTATGATCGAAAAAATAGAAAATAGAGGTAGCGAATTGTCAGTGATGAGTTATAATAGCGTGATTCGCGATAATAAAGAGGTTTCTAGAGTCATTGAAGTTGTTCTGTTGGAAAACAAGTCCACGGAAGTAAAATATGGTAAACTTGATTCAGAAGAGTTGAAGGAAGAAAACGTCAGTGTCGTCGGGGATGACGTAGAAGAGAACGTAGCTGGTGAAAGTTCCAAGACGGTGACGATTCGTGAAATTGCTATAGAATCGGAGAATATGGTTGAAGAAAGTCTTCAGAGCTCGAATTTTCATGATATTGAGATTGACTTAATTAAGGATAATGGGGGAAGTCATAGTCATGGAGCAAGCTGTTATGCTGATGATGATAATGATGATGAGGAAGAGGGGTTGTTTGATGATTGGGAGGGGATAGAGAGAAGTGAGTTGGAAAAGCGTTTTGGTACTGCGGTAGTGTTTGTGGGTTCTAAGAGCAATGCTGCTCGTGTTTTGGGTCTTGGGAGTGATGTGAACTTGCGGTTATATGGACTTCATAAGATCGCCATTGAAGGGCCTTGTCTTATGCCGCAACCGATGGCATTGCAGGTTTCTGCTCGTGCAAAATGGTATGGTTTTGTCCTCTGTTTTTTTTGAGTCTCATTGGTTATAAAACATGAATAAGCAGTTTTGTGAATATGACTTTGCCACTAAACACTTATAACTTGTTTTGCATTATTTGTCACAAAGTGTTTATGTGGAAGGCTCTATTGGTGTCAAATTCAGGAAATATTGTGCAGACAGGCTCATGTTGGTATCATGTCATATTGATATTACCAAAACAAAGCTGATGACTATATGTTAAATTTACTAAACTAGTAGAGTTATGCATAAATTTGACTAATTAACACCTAAGCTTGATTGAGGAAGCTCATAGAATGAATTAAATCACTATTGCATGTCATGGTAGGGTTTGGAAAGAACTAGATTCATAGGACTATTGGCATGTAGAATTCATGGGGAACTAAATACTCATTAGCATGATGACCAAAAACAAGAAAACAATAAGGAGGAAAAGCAATGTAAACAAACAACTATGTGTTCATGGACAGATTTTAGAATGAGACTTAAAATGATTTTTTTGCAATTGCAAACCATTCAAATTGCTTATGCTGGATTGATCCCTTTTTTGTGGGATTATGTGCTCCAAAAACTATTCAAATTATTTCCTGTCCTCCTGGTTTGTTTGAGATCCCGCTTAAATTTTGAAGTGAATGATGTTTTAACAGTGGCTTGTAAGCTTTGCTATCGCACTCTTTGCATGATCCCAATACTATCAGAAGCTATGCAGTATCCTCATTCACCACTGCCTTTTTTCATTCCTACCCTACCTAGTTTCAGCGTCAAACAATACCGCTTTCGTAGTACTTTATACTTTGTCCTTGATGAAGTTTCACAATATACCTCCGTTGTTAATGATTTTTATAAAAGGGGATGTATGTTGTGTTATTTATGGAGAAGATTGGTTGTAATGTCCTAGGCATGCTTGGCAAAGGCTAGAGAACATGAGCAGAGATGTGGCCATGGAACAATATATTGCCCTTCTTTCAAGGAGCATTCCTGGGTGGATGGGAGATGATCTGTAAGTAACAGCCTTTCATACATACATGTCCTGCTGCTGTTTGTCAGTCATTATTTTACCATCGAAACATGGCAATTACGTTTCTTAAAAATAATTCTTGCCATGTAGAGATGGTAAGCAGGTTTTTCAAAAGAGTAGAACATCTGAAAACCAACTTAACCTGCATTTTACAGGAACAACCTGGTATTCAAAGTGAGAGGTAAACTTTTATGAATCTGCATATTCATGGTTAACTGGTGGCAATGAGATTAAAATTTGTTTTTGTTTATTTTTTACATTATACTTATTAGAATTTTGCCTCTCTCTCAATATTCTTTTATTGTTTTCTGCAGAAAGTCAGAAGAATTGAAGCCTCGTGTTGAAGAATGTGGTGCAATAGGGGTTGAAGCTCCAACTGTATAGACAAAGTATATATTCGTATTGATGTTGTTCCAATTTTTTTATACACTTATTATCTTTGTTGGAGGTAATCCATATTTGAATAACTTTAGCTACTGCATTGATAAACTTTAGAGTAGATGGTCAGGCATAGGTTACTGTTATGTGTTGTTTGCTTAGCGAACATCAGCATCCCCCCCCCCCCCCCCCAATCGGCGGCCCCCCGCGGTTGTTTATTTTCTTGGCTCGTGTTTATGGGATCCCACTTCCCAAATGGCACTATTAATTTGGTTTGACGATCAAGACAGAGAATTTTATGCATGTCGGTGTTGATCACATTTCATGACCGTGGCAGAATCTCCTTCAGCTCATCCAACTGGAACTGCACCAGCTTTTTGACCAATGACAAGGGGTTGGCTTTGAGGAATGAAAGCTTCTCATAGCCAAGCATATATACCACGTTCTTGTAAATAAAGAACTAATCATATGACTCCTATGCTAATTCATTGTCCAGTTTTTCATAGTATCCGTATGTCAATAGATTTTGGGACAAGGATATTCCCCCACTGTATTCCCATTTTTTTCTTTGAAACTGAAAATAGGAGAGATTGAGATACCCAATGGGAACAACTGACGGATGAGCAGTGACGGGACTTTAGGCAGCTTCGTAGCCTCCAGATTGACACGTGTGAAAATGCAGTCGTTATGGAACTCAAAAGGCGCCGAAGAGTAATGGATCGGAGGAGTCGAGTACACAAACTGACACCAGCATTTAAGACGATTTGACAGCTAATTTATGGAAATGTGAGTGATTGAGACAGAGTAATTAATGAGTCTCTACATCTTCGAGACCAAAAGCGATAGTCATGATTGTGAAGCATTAATTACTATTGCGTTGAGTATATATTCTCAGCGCACCCCGAAGTACTGTTCTCCCGAATATTAAACGCTCGGGATTAAGTGTCAAAGTGCCGATCAGAAAACTTAAATGACCAAGGATAGGGTCATAAGTTCTCGGCATGTCCTGAGAAGTCAACCTATCGCTCGAGTAAACTACGCTCGAAGATCTGAGTAGAGAACACTCATTATGCATGGGTAAAAGTGCAAATCATTAAATGTTGAGATGAAGTTTCAAACCTCAACACTCGTTACTAATTCAGGTATAAATACTCCTCATAAAAATGAGCAAAAATAGGCAAGACTAAACTGAGAAGAAAAGAGCCTCTAAACTTATACTTATTTAAGTTTCAGAAGGGATAAGTCGGGTGTTCATCCAATTCTTTTTTTGACCTTGTGATTGTTTTAAGTTTATCATCGATAGAATTGTTATTTTAATCTATTGTAGGAATTCTCCTGTGCAAGCAGCTAAATTGCTACTTGGTTTCGGTGAGGTTTTGTTGGCTGGGTTTCATGGTTTGCTTCAATGTGGAAGTTGTGCATACTGTTCTCTAGTCTTAATGTTTGGTTAATTTGAACAAAACTACGCAAATGCCGCTTTTCACACTGGTAAATATGGGGTTGAATCCATATATTCAAGTAGTTCTCCATTTATAAACAATTGATGATTTATTATTAGAGAAAATTAAAATAAAAAGTATTGCAAGAGCTCTAAATTCAACAAATATAGTGACAACATCCAATTGAGTAAATATTGGATGTAACAGAGTCACCATCCTGCAATAAACTTACAAGTGAATGAGGTGAATTTTATTTGATAATTATTTTCATTCGTAGGATGGTTATCAAATGACATAGAGGAGTGATTATTAAAATATATAGAATCCACTTGTTGAGATATTTTGTTCTTATTGTACGGTTTCTCAATAATAAATAGAGTCAATGGTGACTCCATTGTCGGAAGAGCCACCTCTTTCTTACTTGATAGGAGGCTTTCATTCACTAATGTAGACTAAAAGTGTTCTTCTAACCGTGTTGATTAAATTCCCAATCCATTGATTAGCTTACTATATATCATCTAGCCATTGGAGAAAATATGAAATATATTGGTGACACTCGTCATCATCAAATAGAAGTAGATTGAAAAACTTTGTAATTCATATTTGAATCTATTAAAATTTAAAAAATCAATACGATGATAAGTTGAATAATCCTTCTAATATTGTACAAATATATTTAATTAGAAGGATCAAAATTAGTTGAGTATTGATACATCCATATCCTTGATATGTGATAGTAGAGTTGATTTTATTTTTCAATCAGATATTATTACAAGAATGAGACGATCTTAAGGTTTAACGATGGGACGGTGATTATTTGGACAACATCTAATTGGATTGGATATGGGTTAGCTTGCTGAGCAGCCCAGCTACCGCTAGCCGAGTTACAAACTGGGCTCCGAGAAGGCCCAGTCCGCTTTCCAATCACTCACGCGACTTACAATTACAATCGTACGATCGGATCGGAGCGAGTAGTATATATTCCCTGTCCCGCTCTTTCTGTGCAATCTCTGCTCTCTTTCTGTTGTATCACTACGATGATCGACTAGAGATCTAGGGTTTCGAGTTCTGGAAAAAAAAATTCCCCCAAACAATGGGAGTAGTAATCGAGACCGACGTATGGGAAGCAAATCAAGCGTTGTATATATTCATATTCTTTTCTTGTTTCTTGTCGATTGTTTGTCTACCTCACTTCTCCTCCAACTCCAACAGAACTCCCGCCATCTTCGACCACGCTCTTCCTCCTGCGTTCCTTCGCTTTCAGAGAAGCTTTCTTCTCCTCTGTTCTCTCTCTTCAGGTCAGTGCTTCTCCATCCACATTTTGATTCTCAATGTTTACTCTGAGCTTTTTCACGGACTTAAGGTTGCTGAGATAATGGAACCAAAGAAGATTCGAATAAGCCTACGTAATTTGGCATTAGTGTCTTGTCTATTTTGCTGGATAATTGTTGATATTCATTCTTAGGGATCTGCTACGAAACGAAGCCTAAATGTTTAGTATAATTGAAAATTATCTATTGATTTGTTCGTTATTTTAGATTATTTACCTGACTCTCTCTCTCTCTCTCTCTCTCTCTCTCTCTATAGTGTTGGAAGGGCTGTGGTCAGTGTTTGGAGAGTCTGAATTGGCATATTATGGTGTGAGTAAAGAGCAGATAGTGCTGTCTCTGTGTGTTGGATATGCGGTTTCTCTCTTCATTGGCCCTTTCTTAGGCATAGTCTCTGATCTAAGGTAAGTGTACTTTCGTTTCTTTTTTTTTCTTTTTCTTTTTTTTCTTTAAGATACAGTGTTATATTGCATATATAAATTTTGGATTGTTGGAAATAATTTTCATTGTGAATAAACAGAATTATTAATTATATGGCATAATTGTCGGCTTCATGAAAAAAAATGCGTGATATACTGGGAAGCTGTCAATAGTTTGAAATTTGTTTCTCGGTGATTAAAAAATGCATGACAATGACAATTTGTTTGAAACAAATGAGCTTATATTTCTGGACTTCATAATGTACTTACAAAATTGTTTGAGCTAGTAATCCAATTTCAATGCTTTGGCACCATCATACTTTGTTCATTGTTTTATGCTTACTTGTGCAGGGGTCATAAGAAAGTTTGTTTATTGTTTTACATACTGCACCTTCTTGTTGGAATATGGAAGAGGATTATTGCACATCCAAGTGTTTGGTTAGCAAGTGTCTGTCTCTCTCTTGCCACTTCTATATCTTTGTTCAACTTTGAGACATGGATGGTAGTCGAGCACGATAAGGTATGCCTCATGAACTGACAAACACAAAGGTTTGGTGTAGAACCTCCAATTCAATATAATGAAATAAAATGTTCATTTCCTGGTTCCTATTGTCCTTCAGAATATACTTTCATGTGGGTTCTATTTCGCGTCATATTCATATAGTATTGAAACAGCTGCTGACAGCTAAATAATGACTGTGTTCTTGTGGTTATTCTTTGCAGCTAGGGCTTAGGCAAGATACATTGAATGACATGTTTTGGTTAATGACGTTTGCTGAGGCTACGTCTTTCATTGGAAGCCAAGTGCTCGCAAATTGGCTGGTTGGTAGTGATGCTGAGAAACTTATGGTTTTTCCTTCCACTGCAGCTATGTTGCTGGCACTATTCAGTATTATCTATGTCACTCAACGATGGAAAGAATATCCACGCACCGCAACATTTAAGGATTATAGAACGTCTTTCTGCACATATATTTTTGGCGGTACAAGATGCACATCCCTTTCTTGTCTATCTTACTTTCCTAGTTAATATAAATACTTTGAGATGTTTACAGCATTAACTTTATTGAAAGGTATAATGCAAAAGCATAGCACTCAAATTTTTTGAGTAAAAAATTATGTGAGGTAAAAAAAAAATGTTATCACACAAGAATTTAATTGAAAAGATTAAAATAAAATTATGGGGGCAATTATTGCTCCACAGAAAATCTTGGTTCTTCAAGTATAAACAACAAGCGTGTCATTTCTTCTTGTATTATACTCTCTCTCTCTATTTTTGTGCTTGTGTGTGTACATGCTATGTGACGTGCCCTTACTGGTTACCAGTAGGTCATTAATCTCCAGATATACATTTGCGCTTTGTTCTTATACATTCACTTCTTCATAGATTGAAGTTGTAGAAAGATCCCTATGTCTCTGAGATGAAAGATGAATAGCATGTCTTTTGGTTCATTATATCTTGTACTTGCGTTATATTCTGATTCTGTCAGCAACATGAACATTATGATTGCAGTTGAGAATAGTGAGTGCGTGACATTTTAGCATCAACGATGAATTCCTCATGTTTGTAGATAAAAGGATATGGCTTTTGGCATGGGCGCAAGCATGTGTCCAGTTCTCCATTATGGTTTTCTGGATTCTTTGGGCTCCGACGATTGTGGTGAGATCTGCAATACCATTTAAATATGACATGAATCAATCCTTTTCTGTATTTTTTTTGGCTGATGTATGATTTTATTCCTTATCATATGAGAGCTGTTTGAACAAAAATAATATTAGCCATTCTAGCTAGTTTTGTGTAGAATGTTTGTTTATTTTTCTTGAAGTGAGGTTTTGGTCATGGCATTTGTGATCAAACAAAGTTCAAGGCTTCAAGCTAATTAAAAGGTTTGAAATATAGGATAACTTTAGATTCTTAAAATTTTCAATAGAAATCTCTGGAAAATAGTAGAAAAAATGATGGCTGTTTACAATTTTAGTAACCAATAGAAAAGAAGAAAGAAAGGACAAATGTTTTCCCTACTGCACAGGAGGTTGTAAAAAATTTCAATTTAGATGTAAAGAATGTCTAAGACCCCAAAAAAATTGTGGAAAGAGTTTTAAGCTTCTAAACTTGTACTGTGGGGTGTGCAATCTAGAATTGTGATTTCTTCCACTTTAACTTGAAGTTGCATTCTGTTTTTAAATCATTACACCTTCCGTGTGATGAATAAGGTCACAACTCCTTTTATTTAACAAGACCTGAAAGAGAGGTATCCATATCCAAGCTTATATCAAGCCGTATGAATAAAGTCTTTGTTTACTACATTTTCATTGTGCCATTTTGGTTCGTTTGGATGATGCAAGGGATGATCAATTTTGGCTCTTTGTTTATCAGCTTGTTCCTTCTATTTATTTTCTTCACTTTTTATCAGTTATATGTAAGACATGAGCCAGTTTAATCAAATATTTTCTCAAAGGAAAAACCTCCCACATTTCATGCTTGAAGGCAGCTAGGTAATGATATTCAACAACTATGTACCTTGACCAATTTTGTATCAGCCCTTATAGTATTTTGCAACAAGTCATTAAATTTCAAATTTATTTAACATATGTTGATGTGTTTATAGGCTGATGGGCGAGAAATTGTTTTAGGGTTGATATATCCATGCTTGCTGGGTGCCAGAATGCTAGGAAGTACTGCATTCCCATGGTTCTCTAATGGACCATTATCCTTTCGGACTGAGGATTGCCTATTGTATGTGTTCATTATGATGGGCTTTGTTTTGTCAATAGTAGCTTATGATTATCAGGTATTGATGCATTCGAAGAAATATTTACTTCTATTTTAATTGTTCCAATAGGCAACCTTGGTATTCAACTTTTCACTGAGCGACTTTATGTGCAGGAAATTGGAGTTCTTGTAACAGTATTTTGCCTATTTCATGCTTGCATGGGATTGGTTTTACCTTCACTTGCCAGATTGAGGACCATGTACACTATTATGTTTCTTTGCTTTTAATCAGTATTCAAATTAATTTAATCCCTCATTTTTTATGAAGGGACATTTTTTCCTGGTTCTTGTTCTCTGTGCAGGTATGTGCCAAATGAAATACGGGGAGGAATGATAAGCCTGTCTCTTGCACCTGCAAATGCAGCAGTTCTGTTTTTCCTAGTGCAAGTACGTGTGATCAACCCACATCAGTTTAGGAAATGTGAATGGACCTACAAAAGATGGGTCCAATTAGGAACATTCAATTTACTGGTGGTTTTTCTTTGGAGATTGGTATTGGTCTTATGACATTTTTATTTTACATTGTGGATCGTCTAAGGACCATTAGTGGTGCTTCTTCAGTGCAGTACTTTTTACATTCAAGTAGTACCATTACGGACAACTACTGGGCACACTGAAAACTGGTATGGTGTGATAGATCTTCTGAATAGAAGTTGTGGGAAATACTGCAAACATTCCTAAAACATTTATGGGACCAGTGGCTTTTAGGAATATTTTCGTAGTATTGCTAGTTGAGCTTTTTTAGGGAAGGAGAGATTCACATATATTAAATAGGATTCGTCCTATTTCCGCATTTGGGTTGTGGCAACTGGAAAGAGCAACAGAGTCACGAGTCATAACAGATGTGCCTTACTCTCTTAAAGGTTAGGGACCAAATAGTTTCATCCAGGTTTGAGGTTTGCTGCCCAACTTTACCCATTGTGGACTGCTTCAGTCATTTTGGTTATAGTGCCTCAATATATACTTTGGATATAGCCTTATGTTTTATATGTCTTTATAATACTTATTTGCCCGATGCTTTACTGTGTTGATGGGTTACATTTTTACTTCATGAAAAGAAGTTGATAGATGTGGAATGTTTTTAGGAGTTACGTGATATTTAATTCTGGTCTTTTGTTTTAGCAATCCTGGGTGGAGTGGGGAGCATTAATTACTTGGATTTTGCAATAATTTGACATACTATGTTACATTGCTTATAAAAAAAAATTTTATATTGCTTATGATATAATTTTTATATCCATTGCATATTGAGTGTAATTGGTAATGTCACAGGGAGGCTACTACCGGAACATTGGCAATTCAACAATCCTAGCATTTGCTGCTCTTGGTCTTTTCTCTGCAGCTGGTTGCATGCATCTGTTGAAGCAATGGGGGAAGCAGATCCATCAAAACTGGCGCAAACTATGATTTAACTCTCCCTCATTTACGGTTCATCACACAAATCAGGTGCTTTTATTGCTGTTATCACGCAGTTGATGGTAAAAGTGTGGAAAGAAGTTAGAGACGAGAAAATTCTGTGCTTCCATATTCCAACTAAAGCATGAAAGGAAATCTGCTTGATGAAGGATGGCAACGGATATAAGCGCAACTATCATTTTATAATGTCCAAAATACATTTTTGCAGCATTCAAGAGAAGTGAAGAGGAGATTAATACGGTATGAAGTTTGATTTTCAACCCTTGAGTTTTGTTTGTATCGGCCCAACTTTGCATCCTCGGATGCGCTAACTGGAGAAAAGGTAAATATGGTGATTACTGATCTTGCAATTATGCTGATGAAGGCCTTTTGGTGTTCAAATCTGAGGGTCTAGTTCCTGGACACGACTGCGTAGTAGAGGGGTCAATATGAAAAACCTCATAATTAGTATTCTTCCATTCTTTAGCAGGTCAGCTGGATTGTCCTAAAGCATTTGGATACTTCCGTAATGGATGGAAAAAAAACATTGGCATATTCTGAAGTGGAGGGGAATGTGGGCTTATTTTGTGATATATTTCATTTTGTAGGTTTTTGAGGCATTTTTCCAAGGAGCATCTCACTTTATGTTGTGGTAAATTTATATCTACTGCATGCCAAAGATTTAAGTCGGGAACAATATTTTCCTGTAATTTTTCAACATCTCGAATAGAATTGAATTTTTTCTAATTTAGGCATGTATATAGCAGATTGGACTTCCAAACATTTATGTTCTGTTTGGTATGATAAAAAAATAAAAGGATAAAAAGTTACAAAGATAGAAAGTTGAAGGGATAAGTAAAATATTATGTTTGATAATGAAGAAAAATAAAAATGATGAAAAAGTGGATAAATGAACTATTTTTTCAACTCATCAAAATTATATTTTTTAAAATTGAAATAAAAGTGAATGAAAAATTAATTATTTGTGTTGAAATGTATTTTATTGTCTATATGTTTTTTGATATATATATATATATATATATATTTCATATATATAATAATAAAATATTATTTATACTTTTTTAAAAAAAATTAAAAATAAAAATTATCTTACTGAATACAAAAAAAAATTAATTATTTTTATTTTTTATTCGACTAACAAAATCCAAAAAAGAATATATATATATATATATATCATTTCTATTTTTTTTTTAAAAGATTAAAAATATATCTATCATATTTTTCATGTTTTTTATTTTCTATTCTTCTTATCAACCAGAGCATTGAATAAACATTCTTATCTGATTTTTCGATATGAAAAACAATACGGTTTTGTTTGAATAACCAAAAATGGCGACGGAAGAAATTCTCATTATGCCGCGGGGTCTATTGGGTTTGTCGAAGCTCGTTTGATGGTACGTGAGCGACCTTGTTTGCAAGGGAATCCATCTACATCTTTTTTGGCATATGGACTATATTATTAATGAATCTCTTAAAAAAAAAGAATAGCCCCGACAATACATTTTGTTCCCCATGTACCGATATTAATCATTCTGTTCTTCGTCCCTTATCCACTTTGTTGCCACCCATTTCTGCCCTTTGATTACTGGACAGCTGCCATGAAGTGATGTCTGCAATGACGTCCAAGTTATGGAAAATAAGAATCCAAGACAGAATTACGAAGCAATTGATGAGAAATTACATGTCATCAACATCCCAAAGGCAATTCAAATTATTTTCTTCAAAACAAAAATATGGTGCACAACTGAGGAAAAAACTTTAACAATGTTACTCACTAGTAGTGAACCATTAAATTAGTAGATCCTATTAGGTTCATTGAATATTTTATAATTAAGATCACGTCATATCATATCAGTTAGTGTACAAAAGTGATGTATATATATCATTATTGCAAAACCTATAAATGGATTTCTGCTTATGGTGTAGGGTTCCATACATAGTTGACTTCAAGTAGAAAAAAATTATAATGATTATCAACTGTAGAGTCCAACTGCAGAGACTTTATACCTTGATCTACTCAAGTTCAAGCGCCCTCGACTTTTACCAACTTATGTCTTAGAAGGCTGCCATTGGCTCTCTTTACATATGGCTGAGCTACCTGACTTGGACAAGGTTAGGGCTAATAACACTATCCAGTGGTTTCCCCTTTCCTAATTCCAAATACATTTATCCCAATCTTCCCACCCAACCAACACCTCAATATCCAGTATTTACGCATGTCATGAATGACATTTGTAATGTGTTCCATGCTTCAAATAAGCTGTTTAATGATCAACATGTCCTTTTTCCGCAGACTCAAACTTCTGGCCTCAACAGGTTGCCACACAACTCCCCCCAACCCAAAAACACCCCCGGGGGGATCTGCCTAGGCTATTGTACTTCTACCAACAACAAAGTACATGTTGACTAAAGAATGTACAGTTGACATTCACTTTGATGTTTCGTTTAATATTCCCAGTCTGGTAAAGCCCGCTGATACAGCCTTCAACAGGGGTTCAGAGAAATAAATAACTTGCTTTTCCTGTCAACTGAAACTGCAGTACTGAAAATGACAAGAAGAGATATCACTCACCGCATCAATTGTACCATTTGGAAATAGTGAATAAAATAGAAGTCCATCCCCTCTGCGTGGCTTTACTTTCAAACCAATACACTTGCGGAAATCATAGTTAGCATCCATGTTCAATCCATTCTACAGACAAAGCATAGGGTTACTGCCTATTTACATTGATAAAAAGAAAAGTGATTAAGAAAACACCAGAGAGAAAAAGCAATGAATTAGATCTTACCTCAAATGGGAACATGGTCTCCCCACCTTCTTCAACATCAGATAAATACAACAAAAAAGAAGCAATCTGTAACAAAGATTAAAGTTCTAGTTACAACTCCGGAGTAATCCTCAACTCTGAGGGCAATCAGTATATAATTTTTCAACAACATTAAGTATGACAGTAGTTTTTATAAATTCTATGTGTAAGCATGGATGATTTGTTAACAGTTATGGAAGTGATTCTGAAGAGAGTCTCGCACAGAAAGACATAACCTTATGACAGACAACAAAAACTTTGAGACACTAGAATACAATTTGTCTATGGCCATTAACAAACACTTAAAAGGATGGAACTGAGAGCCATAATGATACATTCTTTACATCACCGTAGCACAAAATTACGAAAAAGATGAGAACAATGATTTAAAAGGTGTAAATTTTGTTACTTGGCATCGATTGTAGTCATAGACCTTATTAAGATTATATGTATTGAGGTCGCACAACTATAATCACTAAATGCCAAGGCACAAAAGGCAGAGATCACCAAGGTTATTGTCCCAAAATAAAATGACTGCTCACACAACCAAGTAAAGGAAGCATACAGGCCGTTGTCCTTTTGAGACAGTATTTCACATACCCAATCTAACAAAAAATAGTCAAACAAAAAGCACTTAAACTGCAAAGACTTCCTCTCAGCTTTGTTTCCACAAATTTACATGAACAGAGATTACTCTCACTTGTTATTCCAAGACTTAAAAATTCTAGGAAAACATTCCCTGAAGGACAAGAAAGAAACCAAGACAAGTCATGACCTTCTGTGCCCGGAAACATAAATCAAATGATCTGAATATTTTATTTCGAAAAATTATAGCATCATAATCATCTTGAAGTGGTAGTCTTATGGAAATATCATAAACCATGCGGATATATACTTATTGCAAACGTGATATTTACTGCCAAGGCATCAATATTTTTGAATACCAAATTTTAATAGCTACCCAAAGGCGCGTCATGTCAAGGAGTTCCATTCATGTCATGAGCTTAGAATGAATCTCAAGTTCATTTGCTACTATCCCTATTGGCAAACAGTTTGTGGACACCATGAAATCCAGCATAGTTTATCCAGAGAATACAGCTACTTAATTCTTTGTAATAACAACACAAAGTATCAGTCTCTGCATCAAAGAGATCAAGCTTCTTAGAAACAAAAATGAAAAAAAAGAGAGAAAAGAATAGAAAAGTACTGATGTAGCATCAACCCAATCATACACCATTCCACAATCAACACAGGATGCCTGTAGTTAAAGGTTCCAACACATATTTGTATGCATGCTTGCATTCTCCTTACACAAAGATATAATTACTACAAATAATGAGCAGAACAAAATGCCAGTATATACCCTTTGGCTTTTCTGTGGGCCGTACTCCGCAGGGTTGAATGCATCATAATGACAATTATACCTCTGACCAATCTCGTATCGTAAGATATTGAATGCCTGAAACATGGTGACATCCTTCTGTTACTCAAAGAAATTACAAATGACCTGAAATAAAAGGTCAACTAATTCAACGACAACAACAATCATATAATTCCATGTAATAACTTGAGGAAATTTAATGAAGCCTCTTGGGAGAAGATAATTCAGTCCTTAGAACACTATCACAACATCAACATCTTTATTTTTTATTTTAAGGGGGTGTCCATCACATTATGCAACATCAAATACTGTTCCCTTCTTCCCGTTTAAAGTGTTTTCTTTTGAAAAACAACAACATTTGGGGAAAAATAAGCAATCGATGTCACCTCATAAATCTCATTATTATGCACCAAAATAACAATATACCATGAATTCCCGAGTTTAAATGTGGCCGTTTGTGTTTGATGGCGGGGCTGCACGGCAATGGAGAAAAAGGGTATGTACAATTACAATAAAATTACCTCTCCATGGATCCTGGGAATCATTGTCGCCTTTGCAATTTTCTCCTCAACAAAATCCAAAATCCCAGTTTTGTCTTCTGATGCACTTATAAACATGCCAGAACTGATTGGAACAAAAAGTGTTAACACTACTAAAATGGAGACTTGTAGGCAATGAGTTGTAAAATGTTTTTCATATCAAAGTATTTCTTCCTCGTAGATGAATGTTAAAGATAGATAACACAACATGCACAAAAGAGAGGCCCACAGTTCATGGGCTTGTGCGCACATGTGTGGGTGAATATTTGATTGCATGACTCCATACAAGAATAGTGTCTACCTTGTTCTAATTCCCTTGGTATTCTCTGCTGTTTCTCCCTTTCGTAAAGCTAAGGATGATGGTGCGAGGTGAACCTTCGCCGCCTTAATTATGCTTTGGCATTGTTCGGCAGTTACAAAATTGGGGAAGTATAACGCACGTGGTTTCCAGCTTAAAACCTACATAAGAAATCAATGGGACAAGATGAATTGTTTAATAGAAAATCCGATAAACATCTTTAATAAAGAATGTAAACAGACAGTCCCTAACACAACCAGGCTTAATCTCCTAACGAAATCAATACTTGTGTGTCTGTCAATAATTGTAACTTGTCCATGAAAAGCCACACATTCACATTATCAATTATCAAACTCTGTCGGTTGGAAATTCAAAATGTTACACCCCTGCCCAACCCAGATACATATGTTCAAGCGCATGCACACAACGCCTGCATGTGCATGTGCATGTGCACACGCAAACAGTTGTGTGCATGCACACATATGCATACATGACACTTGTTCTAAATTCTAAATATTGCCTAATTTCAAAAATTTAGGCAGATTTGATTCAATGGTACCAAATCAAAATATTAATACACTATGGAGCTAATTAATTTCTAATGTTCCAGATTCTACTACCAAAATTGAATGTGTGTGTGTGTGTGTGTGAGAGAGAGAGAGAGAGAGAGAGAGACTTTATAAATGCAAAAGTATCAAAAATCACGGAATTGATCACAAATTGCAATAATGGTTTATAATTAACACATACCATCGCAGACACTACTTTCCAACTAAGATGAAGAGACCAGTTAACAGTTCCATGATTCCCAAGTAATTTTATCTCTGTTTCCATTTTCTTTTACAGTAGAGAACTAGAGTTCCCAACATATCTTTAGTCCGCAATTATAAGCATCTTGAAAAAAGAACTAAAATTCATTTTATAAGTTTAACCAAGCCTAGGCTATGATCAAGTTAAATCAGTTCATTGAAAACTCACCCCCATAGAGACAGTATCAATACGTTATCCAAAAGAACTTCTAACTAGACACTCTTCAAGACTACAACTACTCGAACTGGACCAACGGACGGCAATCCCTTACTTAAACATTGATTTCCAGAGTAACTGACAAATAAAACAGTAAACATAGAATCATAAAATGAGAGTCGAAGAAGCCAAATCAAACACCTGAAAAGGGATCGAAGTTAGGGAATCTTCTCCGGTCCCGCCGTGAGGCAGCGGATCAAACTCTCTCCCCTCTTCCACTGATTTCAGCTCCATCGGTCTTGGGCGTGCACTAGATACATCCTGCTTTTGCTCAATTTATCAATCACAATCGAAAACACACAAAACCACATATAGACGTATGTGTGTCCACATATACATATACATATTATATATAATAATTGGAGTAATGAAAAGAAGACGAGAGAGAAGAGGGAAGACCTGGTTAGAGAAAAGGATGGAACCGAGAAAGCCAGCGAGGAAGAAGAAGAGGCATAAGAGGAAGACAGCAGGTAACCCTAAGCTCCTCCAACTACCTCCGATCACCAGTTTGCCTTTGGTCTTCATTTTCGCCGATCAATTGAATCTGAATCTAATTATCCTCCCTCCCAAACTTCAAAAAGATTAGTTCTCTACTCTTCTGATTTCACTAATAAATTCTCGAGGGTTCGTTGTTCTTGTGCCAGTTTAACGATGAACAGGACTAAGTGATCATATTCACTGGATTTGTGTGACCGACTTTTCGTACGCGGCGGGAATTCTTTTTACGTTTGTCAGATTTGTCGTGTTGAATTTTGGGAGAATCCTACGCTAGCCAGAATAACAAAAGAAATTCTGCAGTCTTTGCTTGTAATGCAAGAAGTTTTATATTTGAGAGTATAAAACAATTCTATTAAATCTTTTAAGATATAAAATAATTTTTTTAGAGGTTTTTTTTTTTGTTATTGAACATAATATACCATACACTCAAAAATATTTATAATTTAATCTAAAAAAATCGTAATTTTTGAACCGTAAATTTTTTAGAATGATTTCTGACGTTGTTGATGCCTGTTAATAGGAGTACAAGATTAAGTCAACGTTCAAGCAAATGACTATTGTTTTGTTGGACTCCACCAACGGAGAAACAAATGGCAGTGTTATAATGTGCGTGTACGTCAGACAAAGACCAAACCAACGGTACAGTGTCCTCGATGTAAATATTGCCATAAATGTCACCGAAACCGAAGTGTTAATCTCATCGCTGAGATATATGGGCCCAACTTATCCAAAATAATTTTATAACCACTAATTATTTTTATTTTTAAAATAATTTTTTTAGTACTCTAGTTCTAGCCTCTAAATTGCCACATTAATTCATGATTCCTTTTCATTTTTTTTTTTTTTTCAACAAAGTAATGTTTCCGCATTGGGTATTATTATTAATTTTTTTTTTCAATATCAGATCATCCATCAAATATTAAGAAGAGACTCACTTGAATATTAGCATTTTTATTTTAATTAATAATAGACAATCTAAGGCTTACAAGGAAAGAATTGAGACATTATTACAGCTAGAGTGGATCTATTATGTTCTCATTGACCAAGTCCCACCTTTGGGTGAAAATTTGAGAAAAAAATTTATTGCATATAAGGCACCCATATGGTACCTATATCCAATAAAAATTACAACAACACTGTATCGTCCAACCCAAAAGTTGTTTTTTTTTTTAATAAAAAAAAAAGTTGAAAGCTTCGCAAATAACTGCACTTAATTTAGAATATACAATATGTTATAAATGATGTACACCACATAATAATGTCACATATTGCCGGATGCCTCGTGTCTCCTAAATATTTTACCCTTAAAATTTTTTTATATATATATTTTAATTCAAATGGTCAGAAATGTTTGAATCAACTTACGTGTATCTCAATTAATCTCTTTTCTAGTCTAATCAAAGACAAATCTAATCATCTATACTAGAACAAAAATATTTATGAGATATAAATTCTTCATAATCTAACTATAAAAAAACTATTAAAATTCAAACTTAAAATATCTAAATTTACGGTTCTTAAGTTATACCGGAGTTTATCCTCAAATTCACTTGCTAGTTGCTACTCTCCAATAGAAATTGACAACTCGTGCATACATGCGCAATGCACAGAAAATAGCGTGCAAGTAAACATTTGCCACGTTGCAGCACAAGCCTACCCTCACTCTTTCCTCAACCACAAAAAAATAATATACAGTAACAGAAAATCTAATTATCTGGATATTCTCACTTTCTAGGCCCATTGACAGAGAATATGGCGTCTAAAACTTGTAAGCACAGGGCATGTATACATGAACAATTTAGTGGGACGTCCATGACCTGGCAGTACTTCATTGGCCAATCACTCTCGATGTGGCATAAAAACTGGGCCTGCATCCAGACAATTCCTCCCAAACATATCATCATAATTTTTTTGCATCCATTGTTTTCCTCCACGTAAATAATGCATGGTACAGAGAGTATCCAACCATTCCTTTAGCTACAGAGCACAGGAGTTTTGTTCTTCTTCCTCTCCTCCGTCTAGTTCAATATTCATAGGCTCAGAAATTTGGAATCAGTACAGTTCAAATTTGGACATAAATGCTCAGGCTAAATGTCTATTGTTCTCTAGTTCCAAGCACAAGACAAGTCAATAATATTGGAGGCAACTATGGCTCCTGGTTTATTAAGTATGACAGAGCCCAGGACTTAACTCAAAGGATTACCGTCAAGGCCCTGAAAGATGAGATGGATGGAGGCACCAGTCGATTACCTGGTCGGAGCTGGGATCCTGGGTTGGAAATCGAGGTCCCTTTTGAACAAAGGCCGGTATGTTTGCTGCCACTCTAAACTTGTTGGCCTTGTAATGTATAGCTCCTAAATAAATACAACCCCTATTTTCAACTCACGCCTCGTGCACTGGATTGTCCTTTACACAGTTCCAAGTTCCAACCCCCTTTGTGTTCTCTGTGTTTCTCTGACCCAACCTCGAACTCTTCCTGACTGATCTATTTGACATTCTGGCCACAGTTACTTAGGTGGGATCCCAAGATTCTATTATACAAAGTCGTAACTCGTAATGCCTTCTTTGATGTATAGCACTGGGATTATTCTGACCACAGTTACTTAGGTGGGATTATTCTTTCAGGAATTGAAGATGAATATCTTCTCTAGCAAGACAAATAAAAAAAAATTAAGTCATAAAGAATTTGAAAGCATCGATTGTGGGTCAAATAAGTTATGGATTCGGGAAACAGACTCATAGGGAGACAAAGCGCATCATCCATACATGCAATATACCATCATAACAATATGCTAACAGTAACCTGGTTCTTTGATAGGTGAATGAGTACTCATCCCTCAAAGATGGAGCTTTATACTCGTGGGGCGAACTGAGTCCAGGTTCCTTTTTTGGACGACTAGGAGGCCTCTGGCTAGTCACTTTCACCACACTGGGGGTGCCAATTGCCGCTGCAAGCTTTAATCCTTCCAAGGTAAGATGTAAGGTCTCTTAATTTGTACAATTATTGGAGAGAACATTTTATGAATAACAGCAGACAAATATGGGGATTTCACAGGTAAAGAATATAAACAACCATCTATGTAAGCGATTCCAGAAAATCACACTTGATGGTTCCAAAGATCACACATGACAAATGGTGACATGAAAAATGTAATTTTGGAGACAGCAAAACCAGTGCAAAGTACACAAGTCCTACACTTCTTAGATGATATTACAATTTTTCCTTTATCAGTGTCTTGGAATTTTTCCCAGCTAAAATCCGATGGCTATGTTATATAGTAAGTTTATACAGACTATTAGTTTGAGTAGGTAATCAAGTAGAGCATCAATCTTAGTAGATACAATTTTTTTCCAATCTTCTTCAAGATCAGACCACATGACTTCTGTCTGCTAGAAAAGTGGTACACCAGAAACAGAAAGATTGTCAAATCCTATTATTAGTTTTCAAGCAATTTACATGTTAATAGTAATTATGTGTGACAAGAGTAAACTTCAAAGATTAGGAAGCAAGGACACTAGACATCGTTGTTCCAAGCAAGAAGAATGCTTGCTTCTAAAGAAAAAGATAATGCGGGCAAACACATAATGTCCTGGACATCTTTATGCTCCTACACAAACATACTGACTTATCTCTTTATGACCCTGCAGGAACCTTTACGATTTGCGCTAGCTGCTGGAACAGGAACTCTTTTTCTTGTAGCGCTAATTGTCCTGAGGATTTATCTGGTACATATCTTCACTTTATAGACATTCAAATACGTGAGTGTATAAATACTTGTGCAGAAACCATCAATGAACACTCATTTCCAAGAGAAAGAGTTGTTAGCCGGTCTTGGTACCTAACTTTAGTTACCACATTACTGAAGCATAGGCATGATGTGATCCAGGCAAGATATTGCTGATGGGGCTTCTCACAAGTAGAAAACATAACAGGACAGCTGAACTTCTTTATTAGACAACACATAGGCATTCACTAATACTCCATGCTTAACTCCTAATGAATACAAAGAAATTAACTTGACCATTTAAAAAAACAAGTCCATGTTCGATCACAGTGTTTTTCCTCTGAGACGCTGCCAAGTTCGTGCTTCCCGTGTCTCCTAGAACCTCAACAATTTCTGGTTTCATGGTTGCCTCATTAAACTAATGTTGTTTATGTGCATTCCAGGGATGGAGTTACGTCGGTGATAGGCTTTTATCAGCAGTAATACCTTATGAAGAGAGTGGATGGTATGATGGACAAATGTGGGTAAAGCCACCTGAGGTCAGTGTCCATCTATTAGCCATTTATTTGCACTCTTTTTGTGGGAGAGTCTGCATGCCAAGATTTCGTGGTACTAAATTTTGGGTGTCAGGAATAAGGATCAAATCAGGAACTGAGATCTAAACAAATTATGTAATCAGGAACTACATCTAGGAAAATTTTATCATCGAACTCAAACCCCAGCCCTCAACATAAAATGAAAGATTGGATTTATCAACCTTCGCTTAGGTGACCAATGAATCTTACTCATATGAATAACTAATATTGTTTGGGGAAAACCTTTTATGGCGCTAACTATTATAGAGGAAAATACATTAAAGCATTAAAGAGATATGCCAGCATATTAATACATTAGGGCTACCCGTGCAAATGTATGGCAAGTATGTAAGATTAAAATTGGTTTTTAATATGTAAGTGAACAGATTTGTTGTAGTTCATATATAAATAGATAGATCTACTGTTGTTAAAAGGTTTAAATATGCACACGCAGATTTATTGTCGTTAAAAGGGTGAAATGAAAATTCTAAGACAAGATCTAAAATAAAAATAAGATCTGTGTGGTTGTTGTACTTTATGCTTTGTGTTATTATATAGATAGAGATGGAGAGCACCATACTCGGGGGAGCTACCTCCTTACACCACCATTCATATTACCACCCCATTTGGATGGACCTTTTAATTAGCAATCAAGAGCTCTTGCTTTGAAGCACAGCATAAGACCCCTCAAGCCTCCAATCTTGAACTGAGATCTAAAGTAGAACGATAAAAAGTTAGCAACAGGTTTGGGTACTTAATTACATATGTCAAATCATTAAATTACCAAAATGTTATTACCTCCCAACTGAAGTCACAATTGTTAACAATTAACTAATCTATCTAGATATACAAATGTTAACCACAGACACAAATATGTATAGTCTCTGTGATTCAGACTGTTCCATGAATAACTAATACCATCTTTCTTCTTTGCAGATCCTGGCACGTGATAGATTGTTGGGCTCATATAAGGTACCAAGTCTACCGACAAGTGAGCAAGATTAATCCAATTTGTAGTTTTGAGTATCAACAAATTAATCCAATTTGTAGTTTTATGTATCACCAAATTAATCCAATTTTCTTCAAAAAGGATACATAACACACATCAAAACATGTACATATGAGCACACTTGAACACACTTGAACATGCAAAGTTACATATGGAGAATCCCACAGTTATGCACAAAGACATATACAATTTTGTGCAAACCAATGTTTTGTTTACCTTTTTAGAAAAAAAAATTCACAAGCATCAGCATTTCAAGGGTGTGAGAAGTATATTGAGAAGATATGTATGTAGGTCAAACCAGTGATCAAATTGCTGAAACAAACACTAGTTGGAACGGGGATTCTACTAGTTACAGCAGTCTTCTTATTTAGCTTTGCTACGCCGGTGGAAGATTTCGTTCGTAACAGTTTTTCCATAAAAGAGAACAATGTTTCAGCTTCAAAGATCAGCAATAAGTTCAACATAAGGTATAAAAACAGACATATTGAGATTCTTAACCTCTAATTTGATTCTTTGAAGTAACTTTCACTTTTTCTTACTTTTCTTATCATGTACCTGTCATAGAAAGGAGGAGCTACTAAAATTGCCTGGTGAAGTAAAGGCTGATGATGATCTCGCGGCAGCTGCAGCTGAGGCTGCTGATGGAAGGCCAGTCTACTGCAGAGATAGGTTCTATCGCGCATTGGCTGGTGGGCAGTACTGCAAATGGGAGGATCTACTTAAGTAATGAAGGCAACAAGAAAGAATGTATCGTTACCACTTTCAGATTACTTGTACGGAAAGCTTGCATGCACTGCGATATGTATTTACCATATTCAAATTTTTTTTCATAATTTTAGAAAGAAAGTCCAGATGATTCAAACAATAAAATTATGAACAAAGAACAAAATAGAATTGGTATATATTCAATCATTGATTGATAATTTCATAACAGACAGTTACAAGACATGTTTAAGCCACAATACCTGTACAGATGTTCAATAAACAATTCAATGGAGTATGAGAAATGGGCTAGCTTTCATGGAGGACCTACAGCTTCTTATGGAAGGATCATAAACCAAGAAAAATTTGATACCAGTAACCCTACACTTGTCAATAGCAGAACTATTTCTTTAATAGCGCCACTTTCCTCCCCAAATAGCAACCATCTCACAATGATAACCATAGAACAAACTGCCAGAGAATGTTGCACCCAAAGTTGTCTACACCTGTGACCTATTAGAGTCACCAGTCATTATTGCTGTCAACTACCCACTCTCCTATGCAGCAATGCCTTAAAATGAATTCAGGAGCAGTCAGTGCAGCCAGCCCAAAAACAGACACAACTGAGAAAGTAGGTTCATCAATAAATTCCAATGGTCATCTTAGTGAGTCATAGTGGCAGCATACAAGCTGATATTTCCCTTAGCCCACTCATGGAGTCATCTTCGCGAACCCTCAGAATGGCTAATAAGATGGCTGTTTACTATGGATATCATTTATCACTGTAAGCAGTTCAAGATTGACAGAATTTCCAGACGCCCAGAGCCATTTAGCTTTCTGCTGATCATCGAAGAATGCAAAACATAGTTACTGGCTGCTAATAAGGCCCCGGCAACCATGCAGTTAGCATGCAGAGCTAATCATGAAAGCAATAAATGCATCCTTCTAAACGACTTTCTTGCACCAACTGAGAATTCTAAACATTTTGCTTTGGACAATATCCCTCACTCTTTGTTTCCTTTGCTTTGCATCCTCAATGTCTAGAGTCCTATATGCGAGAGCAAGCAAATATATTGCTGGATGAAGTCTTCTGCACATAGCAAGTACAACACAAAGTGCAATTCCATTACCATGCACAGAGTGAAAATAACACAACTTCTTGCCTCATCATTCTAGGAAATTCTACTTTTAAGCATCAAAAAATATAGGGAAGAATAGAACCGCTGGCCTCACATGTTCCCGAGGGCAAGCAGAAGCGCATAACTTCAATCTTTAGCAAAAGTAACACACCAATTCAAATTAAGTTGACTTCTAGGAGTTCATTCAGACATTAAAAAGTTGACGACGATGTGAAGAATTTTCATTCTTTCATTTTTTTTCTATTATTATTAAATAGAATTCCTATTAAAACTAATAAAACAGACCTTCAAATAAGTAACTATTTATTGGGATGTCTCTTAGTAATGGCTAATGACAAATAGGTCCAAGTTTAGCATGTGTTAGTTAGAGTAGATCAGCCAAAAAAGTGTTCTCCATCTGAGGAAGTTCAGAAAAGGGTAAGATAAGAGCAGATTTTAAGATTTCAGCAAATGCACGAGTTAATGTTTCGACCATATTGATAGTTTTTTACTTTTATATACGCCAAGATTTCGTGTTAGTTTTTGCTAGGAAAAAATGATGTCAAAGTATACTTCAAAAACCAACGCATCATATTGTAAGAACCAACGTTTAGTCTTGGTAATAACTAAAAATTCAACTCCTAGAGAAACTATAAAAGGCCTTAAAATTGCCAAGGACATGACTTACTTTTCAAACTGTTCATTTGAATCCAAATCATCCCAACACCTTTGGGATGGGACAGTCCGACCTTTTTTATCTCTACCAAATGTCTCCACATACCAACCGCCAATGTCATGCATGCCACAACGAGGCTCAAATAGCCAAAATCTGTTGAAAGAAATCATGCAATTATTAATGTGAGAATGCATGTTTCATGTTATATTCACAAGTGGCACGTTTTAATGCAAATAATTAACTGATAGCATGCTAAAATGAAACTCAGCAGAGGAATGAATTAGGTGTTCATATTTCGTTTTTGAACTTTAATATATGAGGTTCTGTTATGAATTCCCAAATCATTTCAACAGCTCAAAAAAAAATTTGTATGTTAATCAATTAATCCAAAAAATTGGCTAACAAACCATACCAATTCAGAAAACCAAAAATCCAGTGTATTCCATAGTTAATCCACCAGATTGACCCTATGCCCATCTGTTTTGTCACAAAATCCATTCACTCTGGAGTTTAGATTTTAGACCAAATTATAGAAGGACGTATTCTGATTTTTTTTACAGAATGTAATTGCCCACCAGCCAGATTGATGAACATATCTAATAGAACGTATGGCATTATCGAACATAGAGAAGACCAACTAAATAATATTCTCACACAGGATACACAAAAAAAATGATAAGCACGGTAATTTACTTATGTTCTGTTTTGTAGGAGAGAAACTGGGAGGAAGAAACAGGGGAAGGGAGAGTTTTTATTGTTTGTTATGAAGGCAACAGAAAATGAAAGACAAAGAAACAGGCACTCTTAAGTCCTCCAGGTCCATTTTTTCCCATCCCAAATTGAACATAGAGGAGGATGGAAAGAAGGAAACCCGTTAATTTTATATTTTTGCCTTCTGACAACATCCATGTGTTACCAAGTATAGAATAATGGAAATTATGGTAGTATAGCAAGCCTTTCTTTCCCATGGTCGACTAAACAAACGGATGGAAAGATAATGTCACCTCTCTAATGCCTCCCTCCTTCCTCAACTTTGTCTTCAATACTCCACTCCTCCTACCAACTTGAACCCTTGCTTGTAAAAAGTAAATTGGCATTATAAACTTTCATGCTAATGAAATGAGGATTAATGAATTATCGTTTGATGGGAGAAGTTGCCCTAAAAGACAGGACAACAGCAAACCAATATAGTACATATACATTTGAAAGAGCTTATTCATAAAGAAAGAAAAATGAAAGGCCAAAATATAAAAAGAAGCAATATTGGATGAGGAAAGTATGCAGCTTACTTGCTTGGTGGTAGCCGGGCTCTACTGCATCTGCACTCACAAACAGAAACCTCATCTGCCACTTGATACCAGTGCATGTGTTTTACCTGAGAGAAATTTCCAAACAATCGCAAAGTTAAAAAAACCTAGGTAATGAATTTTGGGAATAAATATATCTATCCACTCTATTATCGAGCATTTCTTGCACAAGGATGACAACATCCCCAAATTTAGATAATGCTGACTGAGCAAGCAAGAGGTAGCCCATACATTCTGCAGGCCAAAAACATTACTAGACGCCTCAGTCTTAGGTTGGAAAAATACACTATTAGTTAGCAGTTAATGAAACATCAATTCACTTCATCTAAACAGGGGACTAAGGAAAAAAATGTGGTAAAGACACCTAACACGTGGACCACAAGAGAGAAGTCCAGCAAGAAGTATATAGTAATGCCAACAAATTTATGATGTAGAGACGATGCATGACAATTATCTTTTGTTTCTTTTTTAGGTAATACTGGTTTTATAAATCACAACGAAAATGTTCAGTTACACCACAAAGGGGGTATACTTTTTGTAGGAAGATAAATTTGTTATGGAAACTCAAAATAACCCCAACAAAGCTCTAGCATTCATAACTATCAGCCATGACTACTTACACAACTAACTTGAGAATGTGCAGTCAATGGAAACCAAGCCATTTCACCCATTAAAAAGAAAAGAGGAAAAAAAGGCATACAACATATCCAAGATCAGCTGTTACAAAAATGCCACTGCAGGGTAAAGGTTTCCGGCAACATGTTATGCGATGATATTCATAAATACATTAAAGATGCATCTCGCTAAAAATAATGCATATCGAGTTAACCAGTGTATTCAAATAGTCAATGATATGCAAGAGTCAAGACCATTGAAATGCCAAGCTTTTGCCTCCCTCGCAACCTAAAAGAGACAAGGAAAGGGTTTTGACCTCTAAGGCCCTAACATATGTTAAAACCCAAATTATTTGTCAGAGAATTTTTGGCCTGTCAAATGAATGGGTCTTTAAGATATATATATATATATATATATATATATATATTTGGAGGGAGAGGAGATTTGAACCCTTGACCTCAAAAAGGCAAAGCCTTCACAAGGTAAAGAGTATCATTGGACCAAAGGCCCGTTGGTGAATGGGTCTTTAAGATATGCCAACAAATGCTACACAAGATTTTTCATATGCACCTTTTGGAAAACAATCATACTTACAGTAATGCAAAGGTCAGACTGAAAATAATACAATAAGGTATATTTTTGGAATAGGAATACCATTTTGAATTTAACAAGAATAAAATACAAAAGAACAGAAATTTAAAAGGAGCAAGTAAACACACCAGCAACGTTCTGTGCTTTATAATCACATGGGTTTTAACACCCCTGTTATTGTAGACAAAGCAAGATCCTTCGTCAGGGCTTGTCCCTAATCCAGTTATTGCTCCTAGTGGGATCCAAGATCCAACTGCATCACCCACAAAGGAATCTCTTAGAGACCCCTGACTCACAGACACTGCATTTGAGCTGAGATACACATGTATGTGATCGTGAGAATCTTCTCTCTGTAACCCATCACAATAACTCCTAGGTGGGACTCTAATGGCTGTAGCAACAACCTGCCCTGCTATCTGCAATTGTAGATCTTTATATGCATCAGATGCCTGATGATCAATACCTTTGGATTGCATCTGACTTGTTCCAACATCAGCTATGCCAGAGTTCATTCGAGTGCCCTCATTATCAACAGAATGGTACGAGTCTGAACCCACAGATGTAAAAGACACAAGTTTTCCCTTAAATACATGTGATAATTCAGGAACCTTGGCTGCTATGCATACCATTCCAAAAAGGTCTCGACCTGAAACCAAATGCAGCACCTCAGGAGTTTCAGATATAGACCTCTCCTCAGCTTCAAAACGGTCGGGAAGAAGATCTAAGGACTCAATCTCAGGGCCATAGTACGCAGCATGTATGGCTGAATAGAAATCCCTTTCCAGTACATCAAAATAGCCTGAGGCAATTACCACCCTTTTCTCTGACAAAATGTCATTTATGGCACATCTATACCATCTCAACCACTCAACAACTTCCATCTGCTTCACTGTTGCTCTATGAAATTCATATTTGTACACTAGTGTACCTTGTCTAGAATGTCTTTGAACAAGTGTTCTTTGAGACAAAAGATAACGATCATAAAGCGCCCTCTTCTCAGAATCTGATAATATCTGCATTTCATAACTGATAACTATAGTCAAGGCTTCCCTTGTATGTTTAAAGCAAACCAACCTGTTAAAATTTGCTTCCGAATACTATACATACCATATACATTATATCATATGGTCTAGAACCTTCAAAAAAGTTCAATTTAGCAATATCTACTACTAAGGAACGATTATTAAGCATAAGTTACAGATTGAAGTCAACATCTCTACATGTATAAGAGAATAAATCTCAACTCATTCCATAACTAATTTACTTGTAAGTTATCCTAGTTTTTTTTTTTCCCAAATCAGGTATAACATGTCAATCACCAATCCTAGGGTATTCAAAGCTGATAAGCAGGAAGCCAATGTCACGATTCACTTTCACGTTCATCCTGCACTAATAAATTCAGAGCAACAATTTGATGGATAAATGTAAAAAAAGAAAAAATGTTTAGACTACGACATTTAAATAGTAAGGCATTATGAATGCACATTACAGAATAGACGCATTGATAAACTCGGTCATTATACTCGGATTAAACAATATATGTAATTCTCATATCGACTTCTAGTTTTCCTGCAAGTAAAAGTTGCTAATTGGTGCTGTAATCATTGACATCTGTACTTGCGAAATCGTTCCACAACAATCAGTTAAAATACAAAGCAAGTCAATGACTCCAAATATTCCTAAGAAAGAAAACTGAGCAGCAAAAACAGAATGCGATACTCAACACAAGAACAAACCTCGTAAGCTGCGAGAATTTGAATGAACTGATTGGAAGTAGAGGAATCATTGGGCGATTGAGCGAGGTCGGGGTGGGTTTCTTTGGCCAATTTACGAAAAGAAGCCTTGATCTCGGCGAATGAGCTGGTCTCGGACACCCCTAGGAGGTCGTAGGCGTTTTTTCCCGCGAACTCAGGAGGAGTCGAGTCGGTGCTGGTACTGATCCATCGCTTCCCGCTACAACTCGGATGAATGCGGAAGAGGAATTTGTAACCACTGTTTTCGTGATCTAATTGAGGTGAGATTGAAGGATTTGGAGCATCGTGGTAGTAGCGGCGGAGGAGAGTTGTGCACCTGGCGAGAAACGCCATTTTCAGCTACAAATAGGGATTATCGGAGACGGTGAATTGGGGGGATAAGGTTTATTTCAGGAGAAATAAAGGTTTTGTGTTTTAAAAAATTAGTATTCAAAAAAAATTTAAAAAAAAAATTTTAAGAAAATATTTTTTATATTTTTTGTGATAAAAAATTTGTTTAATTAAATGATTTCAAAATAATTTTATAATATAAAAAATAATAAAATATGTTTGAACAACTTAAATATATGTTTGAATAGTAATTAAAATATTAATAAAAAAATATAAAAAAATTATTTTTAGATTGATAATTTTATAAAAAAAATTCAATAAATTAAAGTTTAAAATATAATATATTATTATATAATATAATATAACATATTATATATTATAATATAACATATTATATTATACAATATATTATAATAATATATATAGTCACGACCGAGTTCTTCAAAACTCCCATTTTAACGTTGAGGTTTAGGAGTTTCCTGTTCATCCGCCCAGATATATTGTGGGGATTTTTCCTTCTTCTATTTTATGAAAGATTGGATTTTATGCTTCAAGGTCCAGCATGCATCCGTCGCATGACCCAAGCCCCACCCCACCCCCTATTTGAGTAAGACGTGAAAGAAAGAGGGCAAAATGATGATGTTTGATACCTTGATTATCCCGAAGCCCTCTCATGCGAATGAAATTAACTTAACCAATGTTTTGTCCGGTTTCACTGAAGGAAAAATGAAAAAAAAAATAGAAAAGATACAAAATCACTAAAAGAAGATGAGCAGAAAAACTTCTTAGATACCATTGACCCCGGTATCTAAGAATTTCAAGCCTTTTCTCGTAATGTTCTTACCCCCTTTGACTCTTCATGACTCTTCATTCTCAGATAGGGAAATCTATGAGAATTTATTATATTATAATATATATTATATATTATGAGAGAAGAAAAAAAGTAAAAAAAAAAGTAATGAAGAAATTTGTTGCTAATGAGACTAGAATGACAGACCTCATTAAAATCTAAAATTATTCTCCTTATTTTCAAAATTTTCAAATAAAACTCGAAAAATAAGCTAGATTTGTTTTCTGTTTCTTTAATTTAAATCTCATTTTTTCTAAAAAATTTGAGAACAAAAATGATAAATAAACAAGTTTTGGATGTTTTTAAAATTTTGAGGAAAAAAAATAATTTGCGAAAAGTTAACCAAAAATGGCCAAATATTTTCTCTTATTGCACACCTTTGTGTTAAGTGTAGTACAGTGATTCTGTGAACATACGCTCTAAGAATTTTGAAGTTCAACGCTGGGTGGCACGTGACACGCCATCATACTAGCCAATATAAAATTAGAGGCCGAAAATTAATTGATTATGTGTGATTTCTTACTAAATTAATCGGGATGTAACATTTTGAATTAATTTTTATTAATAAGTATAAATTTATCACATAAATATAATTATTCACTTAATATTAATGCATGACATTCAACACATATCTTTATAATTAGGGGTGTTAAATTTTTCGATTGACAGTAATTTATATTGCATTTATACTTTACATTACTCGCAAAAAATATATTTAATTTTTTTATATTTTTGTTAGTAATTATAAGCAGTATTTTAAAACCTGCGCCCAGACCGGCGAGTTGACCCGGTAAACCGGAGCCTGAGCCGGACCGGTTTAGTTGTTGGATCGTTTGAGCAAAGAAATCGGACAAAATCCACTGAACCGACCAGTTTTGTAATAAAATCTATGAATCGGACGGTTTAAAACAAATCAGGACGGGTTGCTTCAAATCCTATAAATACTATATTTTTGGAGTTATTCACTTATTTGGGCATTTTTTGCCCTAATCGTTTTGCACCCAGCCTCTTCTGCACCTCTTCTCTTTCTTTCTCGTCTCATCTAAGGCAATCGATCTTGTCTGATCTGCCATCTTGATGAAACCTTCGAGGCGAGAATCATTCTTGATGTTGAGGCGATGGAACACTCGAAACCCCTCTCTCTCAGAGTTGAACTTGAACTCAAAGCCTCCACCACCAACAGCCGATTGATTGAAGATTTTCTTTACTTGTTTTGCTTCTCACTAGCCATTGTTTTGCTCCCTCAGGCTCTCTCAACAGGTACATCTCTTTCTCTCCATTATTTTAGTATTGATTGTAGACTAACTTGGTAAATTAGTTGATGATACTTCATATTGCATATGAAATTAAGGGCATTGCTTAGTTATTAATTTCCAAAATTACTAAATTGGGAATTCAGGGAGATGAAATTAGGGTTTTAATCTGGTTGATTAAGAGTTGGGTGGAGGTGAAATCTTACTGCCTAATTGAGCATGAGTTTTAGCTTAATTGTTACTGATCTATTTGATTGAGAATCTATTTTGGGATTTTGGGATTTTTGTTTGATCTAAAATAAATTAAGCATACTATTTTGATAATTTTTGTGATTTTTAAGCATATTTATTATTAATAATAATTTTTATTTATTTTTTTATTATATTACCGGTTCGATCAGTGACCCAACGGTTGAACCAATGACCCACTCACCTGGTCCTTTTCCCGGGTTGACGTCCGAGACGGGTTTTAAAACACTGATTATAAGAGTATTTGTGTAATATAATTTATATTATAACATTGTTATTGTTGTGGATGTTTAAATTGCTAAAACATTGACTTATTTTTTGTGTAACTTACATGATTTGTGGTGCGCTAGTGATCTATTGGAGCAGTTATGATTTTAATGTGTTTCATATGATTTAAACTTAAAAATAATTGTTATTATATTTGTGTAACAATTATGATGAATGAATGTTCATGTTTTTTTGTGTTTTATAGTAATTGTTGTTGTAGTTGTTTTAGTATTATTGATTTATTGTATTGTTAAATTGGTGCATGTTATTTAATTGAATTATTAAAATGATTCAAAAATTAATAGTTATAAAAGTGTTTACCTGACTTCCTATCCGATTAATCGGGTAGGAACACCACACTTATTCGGATAAAGTATACCAAAAAAAAATTCTCTTACAAAGTATCGGATAGGAAGATGAAAAATTATATTTTTCATACGGTGGGATGAACACCCCTATTCACAACAAAGCCCAAAAAGTCAACATATCACATCTAAAATGATTGTAAAAGTTTATTAAAGAGAGAATTTAATTTTGTATTTTGAAAGATTTAAATATTTTTATTTTATATTTTTAAAAATAAAATTTTAATAGTTTATTTTCAATATATTAAAAGTGTTATTATATTATCATTTCATTACTTTTCATTTTTTATTTCGTCAAAACTTCAACTTATTAACGTTGACAAAATGAATAAAAGAAATTAACAAAATGATCAAATTGTAACACTTTTAATAAATTAAAGATATAGTGTGAAAAATCTAGTTTATAAGAGGGTAAAATAATAATTCTTAAATTTTTCAACATACAAAGTATAATTTGTCCTATATTAAAATGACTAAAAAAGAGATAGGGAAGGACAAACTCGTCATTTTAAGACTGAATTGAAATCGTGGAGTGCGAGAGCGACGAGAAGGAGCGGGAAATGGTAAGCCCAATGGAACTTTTCCCAACAAATATTGGCCGGACATAGTTCCTGCCGTGTTTCCCGTTTTAGCTCACAGATCACATACAAGATTGCCATGTACGTGACACGTGTCAAACTAGGGACAAACAGAAAATTTCATATAATATCATAAAGCCATGAACGAAGACTAGCGCAACAAACAGCAATCTCAAAGCCACAGTGAGAGGGGGAGAGAGAGATGGAGAAATGTGCAGACCAGGTGGGTAGGAAAACGGAGGATGAGAGGAAGTTAGAAGGACTACCAGTGGAAAGTAGTCCGTACACACAGTACAAGGACGTGGAGGATTACAACAGACAGGGATATGGGGCGGAGGGCCACTTACAACCCCAGCCTGGCCGCGGCGCCGCCAGCTCCACCGATGCCCCCACCCTCTCAGGTGGCGCTGCCTCTACGCAGGCTCAGCTTTCCTCCGCCGGTGTTATCAACTGCCTTGGAGTCCCTTAGCTTCGATAATACTCTATGCTACGATGTTTCTGATCTGGGTTCTTTATGTATGGTTTGCTGCCTTTTATTTCTCTGACGTTTTAGCTTTTAAGCGCCTCGTATGTTTGAGAAATAATCCAGTTTGGATCGAAGTTAATGATGCAAGTGGTTCAATTTTGGGATATTGAATTATGTATTGTTCATCATCATGTGCTTATATAACCTTTTTTACACATCTTTAGTCGATACGGGTCGAATTTTTATTCGAATTAAATTTAAATTTATTATAATATATGATATGAATAATACATTTATAAATAAAGGGTGAGTTAAAATTTAGATGTAAATTCTTAAGTGATTTATTCAATCGGCTTTGGATTTTTCGGGTTGAAAGATCCAATTTTTAATAGATTTGATTATTCATAATCAAGTCAAAATCCGTTTCATAAACAGATCAAGTTGGATTTAATAAAATTTGATGCAAATCTAATTGATTGGCAGGCATTCCTTTCCGATGCCAATGAAAAGGGTTATACCCTCCCAAAAAAAATGTAGGGTTCTATTTTTTTTTTTTTGGGTCTGAATTTACAGTTCGTGAACTATTTTTTCGGTTAAATGTAAGGTTTTCTCATTTGTATATATAGTTTTGTGTTATCATCAATCTCCATTTTGGGACTGATGTGAGTATTATGAGTTCCTCCAACGAACGATGTTTATCTGTCAGAACAAGTTTTTCCATGAACAAGAACTGTAGGATAACCAAGCTGGTAAAAATGAATCAAACTTTTATGATCGTCTTTGATTTTCTTTGCATCGTTCAACATCTATGTCGTAAGTGAATTTCTGAGGTCACCTCACTTGGTTTGTAGGGGTCTAATGTGCAGTTTTAACATTTAGAATAAAGCGGCATTTATCAGGGTATATCCTGGAAAAGAAAAGGATGTAAGAGGTAAGATACGTTTAGCTAGCTCAATCTTTGGGAAAAGATTGCAAAATTTGTCAGAGCTGCTTCTATAATGGTTAAGGTTGATCAACACAGCACAGCTCTAGGCGGTAATAGAGATCTAAAAAACTAAGAGAATATGTAGAAAGACAATGGACATAGATAGTTGTAAATCAAAGCGAGGGATTTAAAAAATTAAGAGAATATGTAAAAAAACGATAGATATTGATGGTTGTAAATCGTAGTTAAGATAATGATACTATATTAATCGCTCGATAATAGTTATCTCTATTATCATTATGCTATATGGTATGGATATAGTTAAAAGTAAGTTGGGCGAAGAAGGTGGCACCATACCGGAGAATTGAAAATTATTAAGAGACCAAGAGAAGTTTAATTTTAGGAATAATTATTAGGAATATAATTCTTTTGATAGGATAATTTAACATGAACGAATTGTAAATTTAAATGTCTTGAGTGCGAATTTTAAAATTTTTTTGGAGTAAGGTCATAAATGATTTATTTTTCATAAATATTTTAGTTCTAGTATGAATGATCTATTTTTAATCAGATAAAAAAAAAATTAATCAAAATATGCGTAAATTAAACCGAACATTCCATTGAAAAAAAAAGTTTGACCAGCATGTTAAAGCACCGATGGTGCAAGCTTTGCCTCCAATAGTGCTCATGAATCGAGGAACAAGGTCGATGAATCCTTCCTAGGTATCCAAGGAGTCCATAACTATCCATTCGTGTCTATCAATGGAAAGTTGGGTACTGGAGAATAGCAAGGAGAGTTGGATGTAAGTATTACGATTTGAACACACTTCATGTGTTGATACACTACTTCAACTTTCGTTATTACTTCTTGTAACTTGTAACTTACTGGATCAAGTAAATCCAAAATTAAATAAACTTTGCACTTAATTAAGTAAATAATAATATTATTGCTGGCTTATATATGGGGTGGGGTTGGGTGTGGGGGCTGGGACTTGGTGTGTTTCTTTTGTTATAGTTCGATTATAGTCTTGTACATTGGACCGTCTTTTATAATTTTTTAAATACTTGAGTTTGCATGATTAAACAAGTAGTTAATTAAGGAAGATGGGTTGAGAAATTTTGTCGTTGTTTTCCTTCCTCTCTCCATTTTGAGCGACAAGTTGGATTTAATTTTCTTAGAAGTGTCAATACGGCTGTTCATATAATCTAGTCAGCCGATATGTTAACAACTGTAAACTTGTGTCCGAATTCCACATACAAACATTCGACATACAAAAATTTGGCTTAAACCCCTCAACTGGAAGGGACCAGTCAGCCTTCAGGCTCATCCATTACTGAATTGCAAATGTCATCAGATAGATGAACAGATGAACAAGTCTGCATTTGGAGGATAATGATGTTCCTTGTTCTATCAGAGATTCAAGGCAAGTAAAATTCACATAATTTTTCTCCATCATTTGTTTGACATGAAGAATTTGCAACTCTTTTTGTGCTAAATAAGATAAAAATAGAAAGAAAAAGCCGGAACGGATCAATGTTGTAACTTGAACGCAATGAAGAATTTCCGTGCAGATGATTGGAAACATCATTTTTTGAAAAAAGAAAATCATAAAATTTCCATAGCATAGCAAAATCAGATTTTTAGATCAATCAAAAGATCCATAGATAAGAACCATTGTTCCTTAAGCCTAATGAATATGAACCCCCATTATTTTCAACACCATAACATGTATATTACACTCTTTGTGTTGGGTTATAAAGACCACAATAACATTTATTGTTTCTTCCAATATGCAAACTTTGGAAAACATTGTTTGAAGTCCACTTGTATTACCAACCCTTTGCCTGGCGGATAGGTAAAGGCAAAAAGGGAATAGTAATTGATATCGAATTGCCACACACAAGCCTTCCATGACATATTTTATAATCTCTTACATTGAATATAATACCATAATCACAAATCAAAAATCACATTTGTGATTAGACACATGAACCCCTATATTTAAGAAGTTACTTCATTTTACATAATTTACCGTTGCGAAGTTCGAAGAGAATTAAATTTACAAAATCTTATCTTGATGTATTATTTAATTCACAATATATAAATTACAATAAAAACGACACAAAATCAAAATTAAACATCAGCCATCCAATGTATATATTCTCAGAGCTATATTTATCTACATACCAGGGATAACCTGTACTTAAAGGTATGGTGCAACATAAGTGAGAAGTAATGGATTTAGGAGAAGAAATTCAATGTGTATGATTTTGATAGAGATGTTAATGGCGTTGAATGAATCTATTTGAAACCGTCGAATAGACTTATTAAAGTCTATCATATTTTATATTATAGATGTAAGACAATTGTCTTTCGAGAAGGCCGAAGACAACATAGAGATCAGTTGGTTTGTTGTTTAAATAGGATGCAGGATGAGATCTATGCAATCTCTCTCTCTCTCAATGGTGTCCATCAGGAGAAAATATTCATCGTAACAATTGCCCTATACATAAAATGAATAGATAGTTATTTAATTATGAAAGATTTATTTGTCTATTTGTTATTTTATCATTTGACGGTTATACTATATCAACGTGACACGGTGTAACTATAACAATGAATACTTTTTTTTCCAGCACTATAACTTGCATTCCATTTTTCAAAATCTAAGTCGCCATAAGTTTCCTAGACTGAATATATATCTATGTATATATTCATAAATCTGCTGCATCATAATAATAATAATTTGAAAAGCAGGGTAAAGTGTTACTAATAAAGGTAATGGCCGGCTTGTTAGCTTCAATTTTCTTTTAGACTCCCAAACAAGAAAGGAACTTAATTTGGGTCGCCTGCATTCACTTCTCCGCTACTGTTCTATTTTATTGCTTTTTCAGCTTTGTATTCCACTTGTCCCTCCCCCCCCCCCCCCCCCCCCTTCTCTCTCTCTTTCTGTGTAAATTACTGAATCTTCCCTTCTCTATAAAACTCGAGTCTATTTCTTTCTTCACTGGAAATCTAACCCCCCAACTGTTTGTGTAAAACAACAGTTTCTACCTTTGAAGATGGAAGCAAACTCTGGTGATAAGGAAAGGGTAGAACTCAATTCAATTGAAAACAAAGTACAAGAAGAAGAGGAGGAGGAAGAAGAAGCATTGTCACTTTGTGATCTTCCGATCACTGAAGAGAATCAAGACATAAAACAACAAGCTCAATCTCAGGCCATCGAAGCCAAGGAAGACTTCGATTTCGGCTCGTTGGGTAGCTCTACTTTGACAGAATTCCAAATGTGTGCCGCCGATGAGGTCTTCTTTCAAGGACAAATTCTTCCCCTTCGTCACTCCGTGAGTTCCGAGAGCGGATTGGCCGGACTCCGGACCGAGAGCCGGAATCTTAGCCGGAACGTCTCAAGGTCTGAGTCTATGGATCGTTGTCATTCAGGTGGGTCTACGACTGCCAGCAGCAGAAGTAGCAGTATTCGAAGCCACAATTCATCAAGCAGTGGGTGTTCATTAACTACAAAACCGAACAAACCCAGAAGAATTCGAAACCAGTTTCATTCACACCCAAGTCCAACACCCCAGATTCGATTTTCAAATGCCCGGCAAGGAAATCTCAGTCACCAGAATCAAAACTCCACAATTTGGAGATTTCTCCGGTTGGGTTTGGTACAAACCCCAGAGATGGCATTACAAGATCTCAAGGTTCGTAGCAACAATTCAACCAATAATCAGAGTTTTGGTAGTCGTAATAGCACTAACAGCACAAGTAGCAGTGTCGTCAGCGAAAGCAAGAACAAGACGAAAATTGAATTTAGCACTGAGAATAAAAAGAAGCAACGGTTCTTCGATCGAAATGGCGCGTTATTTGGCGGCTGCAAGTGTTCGTTTGATGCAGTTGAAACTGTTCCTTCAAGATCAAGTGCTTCCGTGATTAAGAACAATACTAGTAGTGTGAATGATTCAGAAGCAAAAGAAGAGCAAGCAACGAAGAAGACAACAAAGCAGGCCATGTCACGTCATCGAACATTTGAATGGTTAAAGCAGCTTTCCCTCGAAGGTACTCCTGAGGAAGCATAGATTCAAGGAGAGAGACAATGCAGCGCATGCATGATCTTATCATTGTTTTTTCAGCTAACTTTTTTGTTATATGCTTTTTGTTCTTCTTTGAATTTGAATTAATTTATTTGTTAGTATTAGATTGAATCTGAGGCTCTGCAATCTAGACCTTACACTTTCTCATGCGGTTGAGTTATAGGGTGAATTTTATTTTATGCCTTAAATGATTTAAGAATTTTTATTTTATACTCTTAAAAATTAAATTTATCACATTACACCCTTAATGTGTTAAAATTGTTACAATGTGATCATTCTATTAGTTTTTTATTGCTAGTCAATAGGGTGAGTTTGGACGGAATAAGTAACAGAAACTAACAGAAGGACTACATTATAATATTTTGAATATATTGAGGATGTAATGGGATAAATCTTAACTTTGAGGGTGTAAAAAAAAAAAAATTAAATTTTCTGGATGCAAAATGAGATTCTTCCTGAGTTATAATACCTATTTTCTTTTTGTTGAATTTAGGATAAAATATACTAATGACCCCTTAAGTACATCTTTTGAGCTATTTTTACACCTATATTTTTCCATTTTGTAACTTTAACCTCTCACATTTTTAATCCTTGTCACGATAATCAAATCAAAATGACAGTTTAACCTGGTGCATCTCAAATGTCCACACTTAAGGGGACACTTCTGATATTCCTTGAATATGGCCCTATGAGATGCAATATTCACTTCTGTTGGTGAATATAAAATAAAAAAAGAAAACATTAAAACAACCGAGATGAAAATAATGTGATACACAAACTTGGGGGGCTATGACTGTATTTTATGTTTGTATTTATTAGTAAATTAATGGTGGGAAGTTTGCTAGCCGTGATGGCGTGGGTATGATCAATAGGGGTGGGGGGGAATGTTGGGTGGTAGTGGAGGTGCCTGTCATGATTAAAGTGTGAACTTTGTTTCTTTTATCTGTGTGGTCTGCAGCGTGTGAAAATGGCATTTCGTGACTGCCAAAAAAGCACAAGAGAGACTGGGAGAGGGAAAGATAAAAAGACATCTGCAGGAGGAGTGCTGGATCAATACACTGAATTTTGATAATTTTTTTAAGCTAAAATATCAGAGATTAGTTATTGTGTGTGTGCCGAAGGCATGTAATAATAATAATAATAATAATAATAATAATAATAATAATAATAATAATAATAATAATAATAATAATAATAATAAATATATTTGTATTCATATTCAAAATCAAATTACAAACATAAAAAAGAGATAAATGAATTTAAATATTGGTTGTAGTGAGAGCGAGAGGTTGTGAGCGACAATGGTGGTGGTAGGAGACGATGATGGTTGTGGTTGGGGGCAATGTCTACGGTGGCGGTGGCGGTGGCCGTGGTCGTAATGGTGGAGGCGGCGACAACGGGGGTGGTAGAGACAATGGTAGGACAATTTCAAATACTATTTTTTTAAAGTACTTATAAGAAATAATTCGTAGAAGTATTTTTAAAAAGTCATCCAAACACACCTTTAAAAACCTATTTTTACTATTAAATTTAGAGTATTAATATTAATCATTAAATTAACTTTAAAATAAAATTTAAAGCGATCTGAACCGCAAAAAGTAAAAGTTATTTTATTTATCTTTTAAAATTTTAATTGTAAATTATTTAATTATATAAATTTATTTTTTATAAATATTTTAATTTTAATGTAAATGAACTAATTTTAACTAAATAAATGAAATAATTAATCAATATGTATACCAACAAAATTTGAACCTTACTGTTTTGAAACAGAATTTGTGGGGGAAAAGAATAGCACGCCAATTGACGCCACTACTTTACTTGACTTCATGGCCACATCCGGTAACATCGCACCTGGGACCAGTTTGTTTTGCCAGTGAAGTGGGTCCACATGTTTGCTGCAACACTCGTTACAGGATAAGTACTTATTTTTTCTTATTTAATTTATATTAGATTTGATTTAATACCTTTGTCGCTTCTTCCTTTAGATTTCTAACCATAGATTTTAGTTTAATTTATTTTTAATTATTAATTATAAAATAAAATAAATTTACACGTGTCACATTTTTATTAAAAAAAATAAAAATAATTTTTCATATCATAATTAAATCATTTTATAGGTTCTACTTGAATACATTACAGTTAAACTGGGCCAAATATCTGAAAGAAGCCCATGGTCAAATTAGTCCAGAACCCGGCCTACATGTGATGATCCATGACATCCCGGGCCAATCTTTTTGAAAAACATTTTGAATTTTTCAAACCGCAGTGTGACCCCATCGATATCAAATGGGCGGCGGACCACCACTACCAACAATTGAATTTTCTACCTAATACATCCTGGCCCAGCCAAGGTCTGCAACAAAACAAGTTTCATTCTTTGTTGTACAGAGTTCAAATTTGAAACTTCTAAGAGGCAATTTTATCTCAATTCAAAGTACTCTTTATTACACTTTTTATCTTACTAATAATGTATTAAGTCTGTTCCACGTGAATATATTTAAATAATATTTTTTTATAAAAATTTTAAGTTATAGGTGTAATTTACTTGAGTAATAAACTTTTATTTTAATTATGGTCAACCCTAATTATTAATCTATTTTATCCTATTTTGAGTATCCAATATATTATTTATTTATGTATCTCTTTGACCTCTTAAATATTTTTTATTTTGTTTATAACAAATATTTATTGTAAGGTTATCATTATTCAGTATTTGCACATCTAATTATATTATAAATTTATGACATTTTTTGTCACAGAAATTGATTAAATTGCCGCATTATTGTTTGTATTGTAATAATATAACATTATTGTTTACTAAAAAATCAATTATAACATATATTGGACTATAGAATAAAAAAATATAAATTGAATTTTATTTTTTATGTAAATAAAGACATAGATACAAAAAATTATATGCAAATATACTATTAATAAATGAGTTCAAAAAAATTAAAAAATCAGATACGATTAATAAAAGAGCCTAAAAGAACTTAAAAATTAAATCGGTATAGGAAATAAAAATTGAAGAAAATTAATATAAAATTTAGAAGTCAAATATTATTAATAACAGAGTTCAAAAGAACTTAGAAGTGAAATAGGTATAGAAAATACAAATTAGAGGAAATTAATATATGGGTATCATTGATTTTATAATAAATATTAGGGATAAAATAGGAAATTTTTTTTTTTTTACAAATCATGACATTTATAAGTAGTAAATATAAATATAAATTTTATTCAATTATAAATGATCTATCGTATAAGAATATAAGTAAGAGACCCGTTTATAAATAATGGGTCTCATTTAAATCTATCGTTATCGTAAAAGATCTCAATCCTTGGTCATAAGTAGGTTCCCGGATGTCACGGTTGCCTAATTGCAGGATTGCAGCTCTCATAAAACTATGAAAACAAGGAAGCATTGAGAAAGCAGCGAAACAATAATCAGAGTCTGTTTCTTGCATATAAGACAGGGCTAGGAATGGTAAACAGAGTGTTACGACCCTATCAAAAGTTTAATCAAATCAGATTTCCTAATGTCAGGAATTTTTGAAACAACGGTTAAATTGAAACAATTGATATTAGAATAGGCACCATATAACAAGTTTGTATAAGTAATGTGATAAGTAATTGAATATTGAAAGGGAAATAGAACTACGAAAGAGTATCATCGGACGATTAAGTTCTTAACACAGTTATCCTACACTTTAATGATTAGATTAAATAGACAGAATGCTCTCATCCATACAAATATTACGTTGCAAAAGATAGAATTCTTAACGGGTAATTTTATGATTACTAAATTTTTTTTATGAAATCTTCATCTCAAATGATGTGACACAATTTTTCACCATCAGATAAGTGTGTCATATTAATATTCACTGACGGAGATTGTGCCATGTTATTTGAGATGAAAAATTTGGTAAACATAACATTTTCCTTTCTTAACATACTATAGGGTGTGTTTGGATTATGTATTAAAACAATAGGATGTATTGGATTGGACAACCACATCCATTCCATACACATTCAGCCGGATAAGAAAGATAAATTTAAAAGTTATGCCTCCTCATTCAATAGTTGGTTCAAGTATTAAAAAGTAGTGAATCTCACATTTATCTCATCTAATACTTTGTTTGGATGTAATATTGAATGATAGTATAAATATTAAATTATTAAAACACTTAAAATAAAGAGTGTTATTTTTATCTTCGAGATTTTGAGGGTAAAAATATTTTTTGTCTAAACGCGCCCCAATTAGATTATTTAAACTCATCAAATAGATAAATTTATTTAAAAAACTGCAGGTGGGTTTAAATATACCATTTATCCGGGCTTGGATTATTTCTAGGTAATAATATTAAGTCTAAAATATATATACAAACATAAGAGTAAAAAAAGATAAGGTGAGTCCAAATATTATTTTGTCCATTACTCCCCCTTAATACCAAACGCTACCTATTTGCATAATTACACCTACCACCTACAAAATAGTATGATCTTATACTAAAATTTTGACAAGATATCACGACAGGTTGGGGTGAGTTGTTTATCACTATTCTCCTACCTCTGCCGTATTTGGGCTTACCAAGGAGATTCTGCAACTGGTACGATTCCGAGAACGTCACCAAATTAGCCAAAAATAACTTGACCTTCTTGATCCAACCATCTCAACCTTGACTCGATTGAATGGAACAAGCCCAATCTACAGTTTCCATTGCTTGGATCATGGGCAATTTTTTCAACTTTTGATTCGTGTGTGTGTGTGTGTGTGTGAGAGAGAGAGAGAGAGAGAGCATAATTACGAAAGTCTGCTTTTCACATAGCAAGTCAAGTTAGTCGTTTGTCCTTCGTAGTAAAAAAAAAAGTCCTCCCAAGAGGATTCCCAGTCCAAACGCTGCAGTCAAAAAAAGAAAATGTGTGCACAATATACTAAAAATCGTCGGGATAATGTGCTATTTTTCTCATTGATTACACATTTATTTGAGTTCGTTCGACTCAACCTTTGAAAAATAACAAAGCAAATCAAATATTCCCTATATTTCAAAAATATCATAAAAAGGCAGCCTCGATTGAGATCATCTCCGTTTTTTTTTTCTTAATTTTCCTCAATAATAATTCATAGTATTCATACAAGTGGGACCTATAAATTTATGACCGTCTATGATAGATGATCATCTACCAGTAAGAGTGTTAAAATATGACATAATTCGTTAACATGATATGAACACGGTATGAGATTAGAAGTTTTGGATTTTTATTAAGTCACTCGTTTCGTAAACGATTGGACCCATTACAACACGATTAATAAATGAATCAAGTATGTGTCAAACTAATCAAATGAAATATACGACACAACTCGTTTATATACTAATTATACACAAGTTATACACAACACAAACTCGATATAACATAACTCAATAGACACGAATTAATAAATAAATTAAGTATGAATGAAGTACTTTTCAACACGAACCTGTTAAATCCTAATGCGAACCCGTCTCACCCGACACGATTGACAAACCTATCCACCATGGCGTTAAATTGGGCAAAAATATAATGGAAAAGATCTAAATCCATCAATCCCCTCTTTATTAATTACATATATATGTCGACATTACTAAAATGACAAAAACATTCTTCTCAAATTGAAATTTATGAAAACTTATGTTTTCAAAATACATTTTTAATTGGGAAAATGTCACTCTCCACTTTTCTTCCTTTATAATTTTTTTTTTATAAATCACTTTCCACTCTTCAACCATTAGAAGTTTTTTCAAGTCATTGATGAGCCAAATACCTCCAAAACGTCTAATAGATGGGATAAGATCATCCTTATTCTTGATTGATACCCGTATGATTTATCTAATTTCAATTACAAGAAGGTAAATTAAACCTTTCTACAGCGACCATTGTGGTATCTCGTGTCTAAACAGTCAGAAACAACACGAAGGATTTTTTTTTTGTTCGTCGGTTTAGTAGAAAAGATCAAAGATGTCAACAACAACATTATTCAACCCGAACTCAAATCCAGCCAAAAAAATGTGAAAAACAAAGTATTTTTTATCGATAGAACAGTGATATTATGTTATTATTATCATGTCGGATTATTTTCGGATTCGTGTTGAGCACTAATCAACCCTAACTAACTATGTTATGTCAACCTATTTATTTTCGTATCACGTTCGTATTGACCCATATAATTTGTGAATAAAAATTTTAACACTTAGTTTTATGTCTAAATTTCATTATCACTTAATCGAATTAATGATAATATTTTTTCTACAAAATAAAAATTAACTTAATAAATATAATAAAAAAATAATATTTTATTTTTATAATATTACTTAAACATGTTAATCGTGTTAATTTTGTGTTGTTCGTGTTTAACACTAACCTAGCATATTTATTATTCGTGTGTCGTACGAATTCATGTCGAAAAATAATCAATCATAACCCGTTAATTTCATATCAATTTTAAATTATATTTTCGTATTATATCAAAAATTGTCACTCCTGTACACAACGGTGATGATGCACTATTTCTTCCTCCTATTATCAGAGTTTAAGCAGAAAAGGTTTTTGTTGGGACTTTTTGGAATTAATTACACGTAATGCCTCCATACCTCCATCTCCATACAGTGTGAACCTAAACATATTTTCAGAGTCTTTAAAGTTTAAAGTCAAAATGAACGTGTATTTTATTTCCTTGATATGGCATTCTAGAAAGGAAATTTTAAAAAAAAATTGGAATAAGGCCGTCTAAGAATGTCCTTTTATGGCTGTGTTTGATGAGATGAATAAAAAACACAGCCAGATTAAGCACTAGTACAAAAAAACAAATAAAAAAAACAAAATTTAGAAGATGAGCTTTCAATTCATTTGGACACGTTTACTTATCGTATTCATAAAACAAATCATGATTAGTTTGAATGATCAAGACTCTTTTATTTTTTGACAAAAAATTTCAAGATTCGAACCCTCTTATATAGTTCATTTTATAAATTTGTTGGAAAAGGTGAATGACGAACACGTCCAAATCCATTCTCAGCGTAGCGGATGAGATTAAGCAATAAAAAAAAAACAAATCAAAAAGACATAATACAGAAGATGAGCTCTCAATGCCTTTGTGCAACACAAATCATGATGACCTATTTTTTTGACTGAGAGTAACAGATGTGTGTAATGCAAAAGGTTGATTATAAATGTACCCTCAAAAGTTATAAATAATTTTTAAAAGTTGTAAATGACTTTAAAGATTATAAATGATTTCAAATAATTATAATTTAGATCATAAAAATTAAAATATGACCTTCAATAATTATAAATAACCCTCAAATTTTATGAAAAAAAAATTGCGATACTAAATTTTTGAGTTAATCTCACTTTACACCTCAAAAGATATTTTTAATTCTCAATTTGTACTCCTAAATATTAAAAACCTTAATTTACACCCTCAATATTATGAAGTAATAGTGTGGACCTAACGTAAATTGTCATTCAATTTTTCATTATAAATTGAAGCACTCGAGTTACAAGTACTTCAGACGTAGATTTATATGTAAATTCACAGACTGTTGGCGCCTCATGTGAGTTGTAGATAATAGGGTTAGCCTTTATTTGATTAATGAAATCTTATTTTTCATACACAAACATGGTGCCAAATTGATCGCAGACGAAAATTTGCAACTGTAGACATACCTTATTCTTATGTTCCAAACATTTGCAGTTCATGTGTTTCAATTTATGACAAAAAATTGAAGACAATATGAGTCAAATATTGATACTAATTCATAACATTGAGATTATAAACTAAAGTTTTTAATATTTAAAGGTATAAATTAAGAATTGAAATAATTTTTAAGATACAACGTGAGATTAGTCCAATTTTTTATTTTTTATTTTGGTACTGCAGGCTCCTCCTAGAGAAAATTATACAAAAAATGACGTGGCAAAGGGTAACAGAGCTCGAGGTTTCTAAGTTCTCACCTGAAATTGCCTTTGGACAAAACAGTGCATAACTTGCTCCATCCACGTCAACGCCACAGCTTACCAGCACTTTTGTTCCATCTGATTGAACTCACAGTCCTCGTACAAGATTCCATTTCCCCCTCCCCCCCCGCCCCCAATTTTTAAGAAAATCACCAAACCACCCCCACAAAATAATATTTAAACAACCCCAAAATTGCAGAAACCCCGTTCCTCACACTTCCCACAACGCCACCACCCCAACTTTTTCCTCCCGCGACTTCCTCTCTCATTTCCCCTTAAAAATATTTCTCTCTTTACCAAACAATTCCACCTCTTCTTCCCTTCACAGAGTAGACTTTCTCACACACACCTGAACCAGAATCCACAACAACTACGAAGACATTCCATTTCATACAGAGAGAAAACTAGAACAAAGTCAAGATTCTTGAGAGAGGTAGAGAGATGTTGGAGTCGTGTTACAGGCCGTTGGAGAGATGTTTCGGAGGTGGTGGAAATGGTAGGGATGAGCTTTTGTGGCACATGGACTTGAAGCCACATGCCTCTGGTGACTATTCGATTGCTGTTGTTCAGGCCAATTCTTCACTCGAAGATCAGGGTCAAGTCTTTACGTCTTCGTCCACCACCTATGTTGGTGTTTATGACGGCCATGGGGGACCTGAAGCCTCTCGCTTCATCACCAACCACCTCTTTCCTTACCTCCACAGTACGTTTTTAAACCCTAAATTTTATTTTCGTTTTCATGTAAATATTTACATGTGATTCTTTGTGTGTTACTTTCTTTTTTTTCCTTAGCTGCCGTTTGGTTGGTGAGAAAACAGAAAACACACACACACACACATTTCCGAAGCACACAAATTTGTCTTTGTATGTTTATCTTAACATAAAACCCCTTTGCATATTTCCGAATGCAATTGGGTTACAAGTAACTAGCTCAAATCACATGGAGCTAAAACGCATTTTACCAGAGTGGAAAATTCTATTTCTTAAATTTATTGTACCCCTCAAATAAAAAAGGGAAAAAAATGAAAAAAAAAAAAAAGTCAACTGGGTTAAATTGTCGAATTTTACTTATTTGAGTGGAAATTTTCATTTCCTGGATTCTAAATTTTGAAGATTCTGAACAATTTTTGCATACTTTTATTTTTTTTGAATTTTATGGGTTTTGATTAATTTATCTATTCTTGTATCACAGAGTTTGCTACAGAAGGAGGAGGATTATCTGTGGAAGTGATAAGGAAGGCATTTGAAGCAACCGAAGAGGAATTCTTGCATTTGGTGAACCGTTTGTGGCTGGATCAGCCGCAAATTGCTTCAGTTGGTTCATGTTGTCTTGTTGGGGCAATTTCAAATGATATTTTATATGTGGCAAATCTTGGGGACTCACGAGCAGTGCTTGGCCGGAGATTATCTGATGGCCATAAGAGTAACTCGTCACCTGTGGTGGCAGAGCGGTTATCTACAGATCATAATGTTGGGGATGAGGAAGTGAGGAAAGAGGTTGAGGCTCTTCATCCTGATGATTCACACATTGTGGTATATACTCGTGGCAGTTGGCGAATTAAGGGCATTATTCAGGTATTGGTGGTAGTGTTGATATGACTTAATTTGGTTCTTTTGTTCAAGATCTTCAATTGCTTGTTCTTTATGCTGATCATTGCTTTATTTATTCAATTTCTGATATTTCCATTGTTTAGCTGGCCCAAATTCCAAAATTAATCAACTAGCAGTAGAACGGCGAGCTGTAAGGCTTCTTTGATGTGATCTTAAAAGGTGCTTATTAGGAAGTGAGACGGAAATCAATTGGATGGTGTCATTGAAGTCTGGTAGAAGAATTTACTCTACGTTCCTTGGTTTGTTTATCTCAGCACTGCTGGTCTTATTTATACCGGATTGCAAATTAGGATTGGATTCTGTAATCTAGTGGAACGTCTGTTATCCTCTTTATATATTTGTGGTAGTGTCTGGATATGCTAGAGTGCATATATGTTTTCCAGTATTTACAGCTTAGTACTGGTTTACAAGGGAGTTTTAAGAATGCTTGATTTTGCTAGGAAGTTCAGTTAGTTGTTGGGTTTTGGTTTTCATTTCACCTATCAGAATTCTAAAGTTTATTAGAGGTCATTTGATACAAGTTGTGGGGTTGATAGTTCGATGAAGATAGTCACATTATTTGGGATTGCCCAAGATCTCTATGATGTGAATTATGTTCCTACTGTATATTGGAAATCTCTTGTCGTAGAATTTTAATCCTCAAAAGTAGGCAATCCTCTGGTTTATAAACCCTTCAAAAATCTTTGTCAAAGGCCAAAAATGCATAGTTGTTTAATTAGGAAGTTGTAACGATATTTTGCAATCAATGCAAAAAGTTAGCCCCCCACCCACCAACCAAAAAATAATTCTTATGCTCGTGGCAGTCTTCTATGTTTTGTTCATGCGAAGTGTTAATTTTTTTGTTTTTATAATTTTGGTTTATTCTCTGCATTGGGTAGTATATTTGATTTCTCTGTTCAAATCATTGCCATAAACATCATATTATTACTTTTTTGGCCACTTTTCCTTGCGGCTAAGAATTGTAGTTTGCTCATGGGGCTTTTGAAATGAGCACAAGGTACTTAAGAAAGTGTTTTATTTTAACACAAGTGATATTTGTTGATCTGCCATTTTTTTTTGTCTGAGTGATGCAAATCAGATATCCTGTGATGTTATGCTCGCCATTACCCTAGTTTCGTGGGGGCTAAGTTTTGTAGCTGTTGCGAGGTTACAACTATCCATTAAATGATTTAAGGATTTCAAATTCTGGGCCATTCCAACCTTAAACAATTTTGGATCACCAGTCTGAACTGGAAAGGGTCATATGACATGCCATTGAAGATAATTTTGTATAAATGCCAAAGTAAAATGATTCTTCTTGGAAGACGCTACTTTGTTGAACATTGTAACTTGTGATGCAAAAGAGATATCTTACTAAACACCTCCATTATTAGGTTTCCAGATCCATTGGAGATGTTTACCTGAAGAAACCTGAGTTCAACAGGGAACCTCTTTTCCAGCAATATGCATCCCCTATTCCATTAAAAAGAGCCGTAATGTCAGCAGAGCCCTCAATACTGTTTCGGAAGTTAAGGCCACAAGATTTGTTCCTGATATTTGCATCAGATGGCCTCTGGGAGCAACTCTCTGATGAAGTAGCTGTTGAAATTGTGCTGAAAAATCCCAGAGTTGTAAGTGCTTTCCACTCACTGTTATTTCCTTTAGACATCCTGTAATTATAGGCTTTGATAATGTGAATGTTAGCATGCAGTCAGTGCACATCGGGATTAACCTCTTCATGATTTCAGAGTTATGCTATGAATATGAAAGCTATTTTTATCATGGTAACTTGATATTTTTTCCAGGGAATAGCAAAGCGGTTGGTAAGAGCTGCCCTCCAGGAGGCTGCAAGGAAAAGAGAAATGAGATACGATGACATAAAAATAATTGAAAAGGGGCTAAGGCGCCATTTTCACGATGACATTACTGTGATTGTAATATATCTGGATCATCATCAAGGCTCTCCAAATGGTAGATTCAAGAAACATGGTGATATTGGCTGTACTAGTACCCCGGTAGATATCTGCTCTTTAAATTCGGTTGAAGGGGATAACACGCCTCAAATTTCTTTCTGATCGAACAGACCTACTGGCAAAAGAATTTGTGCTGGCTTGTAGATATGACTATTAGTTTTAAAGAAGACTGGTGCCTGTTTAGCGGCAAGGGGTGTTGTACACAATCCGATAAAGGGATGATGCAAACGAAGCGGATGACTTCCCGATTGGGTTTTGACCACATTTTAATTCCCTTTTGTTCTAGGGGGTGACTCATTTTGTTTTTCTTTTTGCATACTTCTGTGTAACGAAATAATTTTGATTGCCTTTATTGTAAGGGAGTGTTTTCTGCTTTATTTCTTCTGTGTAGCCAACCTGTTGTGGAATCAAATACAAAGCTTTGAGTTTCTGAATCAGAAATATATTTGAGTAATGTGACATAGACTTAAAAATTAGATTCGATAATTTTAATCATTGATTTAACTGTGAGTTTTAGTATTTATTGGGATCTATTATTTATTCAATGGTTGAGATTATCAAGTCTAATTTTTAAGTCCATTTAACATTACTCTATCAACTAATTTGAAAGGCTAATCTGTTAATCGTATACGGACTATTCTCCTCATATTTTCTTATTAGTATACGTTAAATTTTTCATATTTTTCTTATTTCATAACCTTATTTTTTGATCGGAGATAAATTACAATATTTCTACTTAAAATAGACCCTTATTTTAAATAGGGTTAATTCATTTTGCACCATGAAAGATCGTTTGAATCTCAATTTATACCTTCAAAGATTAAAAATCTCAATTTGCACCCTCAAAGATAGAAAATTGTATCAATGTACACCCTCAAAGATCAAAAATCTTAATTTGCACCCTCAAAGATAGAAATTTGTATCAATGTACACTCCCAAAGATAAAAAAATCTCAATTTGCACCCTCAAAAATAGAAATTTGTATTAATGTGCACCTAAAACTAAATTGATAAATTATACCTAGATCCCCTCATGTTTGTCACTTAATCATTTGAACCCATTCACATTTAGAATATTACCCCTATATCTCATGAGGTTTGTACATGTGTAAACATAACCACTTTTCGTTGATATCTATTAATATAATCGTTAAAAAAATATGATTTTATCCTAATAAAAAATTATAATTTCATATTACCCTTTATTTTGTAGATTCGATATACTCTAAAGTTCAAAATCAAGCTTACCATTTGAATATTTAATAGAATGTAGATATTTATAAAAAGGAAAATATGAAAAACATTATATAAATATCTACATTTTATTAGACATTCAAATGGTAAACTTGATTTTGAACTTTAGAGTATATTGGACCCATAAAATAAGGGTAATATGAAATTATAATTTTTTATTAGGATAAAATTATATTTTTTAACGGTTATATTAACAGATATCAATGAAAGTGGGTTACATGTTGTACGTGCATAAATATCATAAGATGTAGGAGTAATATTCTAAATGTAAAGAGGTTCAAATGATTAAGTGACAAACATGAGAGGATCTAGGTATAATTTATCAATTTAATTTTAGGTGCATAATGATACAAATTTCTATATTTGAGAGTGCAAATTGAGATTTTTTATCTTTGGGGTGCACATTGATATAAATTTCTATCTTTGAGGGTGCAAATTGAGATTTTTTATCTTTGGGGGTGCACATTGATATAAATTTCTATCTTTGAGGGTGCAAATTGAGATTTTTGATCTTTGGGGGTGCACATTGATACAAATTTCTATCTTTGAGGGTGTAAATTGAGATTTTTGCTTTTTGAGGGTGTAAATTGAGATTCGAACTATCTTTTGGGGTGTAAAATGAGATTAACCCTTTTAAATAAGATAAGTTTCACGGCATGTACAATTCTTTAACCTAATTAAAAAGGATAAATTACACTGCATGTACCCCTCTTAGTTTCTGATATTTTCACTGCACCCCTTCTTGTTTGTAAAATATCATTAACACCCCTTGTGATGGGACAATTTGTAACAAATTTCTACATCAGTTATTAGACGTTTAAGGGACAAATAACTTCTGCTGATGTGGGTCAGTTTTGCCTGTGAAATAAAAAGCCAAAAAACAAACCTATTTAAGTCTATCTTTTCTATCATGAAGCTATTGTGGCAATATCTCCCTACCAGCTAAATTGCCACTATGAAAGACGTTGCCACTCGTTACCTCCACCCTCCATCAATTCACAACTCAAAGCACAATAATGATTAAAATTGTTTAAATTTGATGGCTAATATTATGATTTATATTTTAATCTTTTAATCACAATAAAAAAAATATACTTTGTCCGGGGACACTGTAATAAATAAATATAAATATTATATATAGTGAGAGAGAGAGAGGTGGGGGCAACGGGGATGACATGTCCATGATGTAAAGGTGGAGGTCTGTTTGACTAAGAAGAGATAAAAAAAAGGGAATTTGTAGAAGGGATGAACTTGTCTGACACTAGATTTAGGGGTAAATCATTTACCTTCCGAAAGAAAAAGAAAAAAAAGATTTAGGGATAAATTATACTAATGGGCTTTGAGGTTTGCCACTTGTTATACTTTCGCCCCTAAACTTCTAATTTCGTCAATTTTATCCTCAATGTTTATACATTGTCTTACTTTAGTCATTGTCCTTAACTTTTGTCCAAAAAACTAACGAAAATGGTCATATGTCAAGCACATGATGGTATTAATAGATATTTTTGTCATTATATGCTCAAAACATTGGGCATGAATGAGAAAATAAAATAATCTCACAAAAAGAGAAAATAATCTCTCTTTTTCTCTTCTCTTACTTTGCCCTCTTATATTCTCGACGCCTCATAGACAAATATAGTACACACCCTAACCTAAACAACCATTTCAAAACCCATATGCCTGACGCCACCTCCGTCAACCCACCTGAGCAGGCTCACCCCCCCAAGAGTTTTCTCCATTTTACCCCTAACCCACTGTCAATAACTCCACCCCCTAAAAATCTCTTTGATTTTTATTTCATTTTTTGTTTCGATTTCGATTTTAAATTCAAACTTGATTTCAAAAGAATTGGGGCTTGATTGCCCATGGAGGTCTTGGAAAATCCAGTTTTGAATCCATGTGTGTGTATGTGACTATGAGTTTTGTGTTGTGGATGTGTATTTGCGATTTTTTGTGTTGGGTTTGAGGATGAAGACATAGTAACGAGAAAGGAGAGAGTAAAGAGGGAAGATGTGTTAGGTTTGGGGTGGAGACACAGTAACAAGAGATGAAAGACAAGAGAGGGAGATGTGTTGGGTTTGGGGGTGGAGACGCAGCAACGAGAGAGAAAAGAGTAGAGAGGGAGATGCATTGGGTTTGGTGGTGGAGACGCAGTAACGAGAAACGAGAACAGGGGATGTGTTGGGTTTTACGCTGTAGAAAGAGAGAGATGTCTATGTGTGAAAAAAGAAAGAACACAGAAGGATTTATGCGTGTCAGGAGAGAGAAGAGAAAGGAAGAAGAAGATGGGTGTTTGGGTCCAAGGATAATTGTGTTTGGATGTAGGGGTGTTCACCCTACCCTACGAATAGAAAATATGCTTTTTGATCTTCCTATCCGATACTTTGCGGAAGAATTTTTTTTTGGTCTACCCTACTTGACAGGTGTGGTATTGCTACCCGACTTCCTACCCGATTAATCGTGTAGAAAATCGGGTAAATATTTTTGTAACAATTAATTTTTGGATCATTTTAATAATTTAATTAAATAACATTCACCAATTTAACAACATAATAAATCAATTAACACTAAAATTTAAAATAAATACATCAAGAATTATAATAAAACACAAGAAAGTATGAACATCACTCCACCATAATTGTTACACAAATACAATAACAATTAATTTAAGTTTAAACTTTAAATCATATGAAATACATTAAAATCACAATTGCTCCGCCTGTGGTTAGGATTTTTTTAAGTTTATATATATATTAAAAAATTATTGCTGGTAGGATAGGGTAGGAATGCGAAAATGGATGACTATTACGCATTCCTATCCAAAAATTATCGAAAGACCAAAAACTCTTCCGCATTCCTACCCGATTTTTGCGGTTAGCCGTTCAGTAGGGTAAGGTATGGTCGGGTAGAGTAAGAACTTATGGCCGGTCGAAAATTTGAACACCCCTATTTGGATGTATAAATAGTTCTAAAATACCAAAAATATCCCTTAATACCCTCATGTGCTTGGCACATGACATTTTTTGTTAGTTTTTTGTACAGAAGTTAGGAGTAAGGACTAAAGTAAGTCAATGTATAAACATTAAGGACGAAATTGAAAAAATTAGAATTTTAGAAATGAAAATGTAATAAGTGGTAAATATCAGGGACTATTGGTACAATTTACCCCTAGATAGGGGTGTCAAATGTGTCGCGTTAAACGGTTACGTGTCGGGTTAAACGGGTGACGGGTGAAAAATATATAAACCCGTATATGACATGTTTAGTAAACGGGTGAAAAATTTCAACACGAACACAACCCGTTTAATAAATAAGTAACACAACACGACTTGTTTAACTCATTTAATTTTAAAAAATTATTTAAAAAAATTTTAATACTCGACTTTTTTTATTGCGAATTGCACTTACCTCAAAAAAGAGAAATTTTTAGCCAAATCTCATATCTCACAAAAATAAGACTTAAAGGCTTAAAAAAAATAAAAGCAAGAGGTCATTGCTTTTTATAGGCAACTCAACCCTCCCCATCTCCCCTCATTTTTCAACGTGGGACAAAAACAAAAGACATTGGTTTGCCTTTATCTTTGAAGTGCTCCATATCTCTTTTTTTTTTGTCTTTGAACTACTACTTTATTTCTTTTTTCTTATTGATTTATTTATTTCTTTTTTTCTTGCTAATTTTTTAAAATAATTATTAATTTATTAATTTATTAATAATATTTAAACAGGTAAACGTGTGATAAACGGTTTGACATGTCTCACTCAAACACAACCGTCTATTAAATGTGTTTGACATGTCAACCCATTTATCACTCAAACCCGTTAACATTTCACCCAAACCTATTTAATTCGTATCGATTAATCGTGTCGTGTCGAATTTTGAGAGCCCTATCCCTAGAGATCCAAGGTTGTTTGATAGTTGGATTATGTTGTTTGGAAATAGGGTTAGAAACATAACAAATAGATAAGGGTAAAATTGATAATAGTCAACTTCTGTCAACCAATGTGTGCCGACAATATTGATTAGGGTGTCAGTGCAATTTTGAAAACAACAAGGTGTGCCATTGTAATTTACTCTTTTAAAAATTAGAAACCCTAGGATTGTTTTAAAATTGAATAATAGATAACCTTAAGATATCCGTACTCTGCAAAAAAAACAGGGTTTTGTTTTTTTGAGTAAATACATTGTGTTCTTCCCAAGAACTCTCGAAGACTGTGAATAACACTACTATTGATCACCCAGCCATAGTCCATCCACCAACCACGGGCTTAGGAACTAGGTGGTACCACCTGACTTGCCGTGCAGATGGCCATAGTTGGCGGTGGTGTGGTACTGCAACTCTTCAGTCTAGGAGCTTGTGTGGAAATTAAATTTCCGAAATCCAAATAAAAACAAAAAGGACCACCCTTCTAGGCTACTCCAAAAAAAATAAAAAAAATCCTACCCAAAAACACCATATTTGGGTACGTAATAATCGCCTGAAAAAAATATAACAAAAATATATTTTTCGAAAAAAATAATAAATTATATGTGTAATTAAATTGAATAATTAATTATTTTATTTTAATTATTTTTAAACTTAATTATTGATCTATTGTACCATTCTTCAAATATTTAATATGTTATTTGTTTAGGTATCCCTCCAAATCCTTAGATATTTCATCTTTTATTTATAATAAATTTTTATTGTAAGATTGTTATTATTAAATATTTACACATCAAATTATAATATAAATTTATTATATTTTTATCAAAAAATTAATTAAATTGTAATACTATTATTTGTATGTGAAAATTGGGATTGAGTTCCATTTAGGAGACTTTTAATTAGTTCACTATATCACTCAAATAATTTTTTTTGAGTGGACTTAAGTCCAAATAAATTTTCAAAGGAGATTAGCCGCCAAATTTTCTTATTTGTATTGTCATAATACGATATTGTTATATACCAAAAAATCAACTATAACATATATCATACCGTAGAATAATAGAATATAAATTAAACTTTATTTTTTCATATAAATATAGCCATATATATATTAATATATATAAAATAAGGATAGTTTAATCTTTACAAATTTATGTTCTTCAAAAATTATGAATAATATTATTTGGAGCAATCTAAAGAAAATATTAGATGGTACCCTATTATATCTATCCACTAATAAGTGAATAAATAAAAAAGTCAGTCCTACAAAATTAAGTAACCATCGTCTTGTAATATGTAATCCCCTTATGGAAGACAATGAAATTCATTTTATCAATTTTTAAATTTCTTATTAAACATTTATATCATATGACAATACTAACGTAATATAATCGTTATATTTAATATTTACTTGTCAATTTAACCACTACAATAAATTGCATTAATAAACTAAATTTAAATAATATTATTAAAAAATTATAACTTAATTGTACAAGTTTCGATACCATTACCTTCTCCATACCATATGGTCTTCGGGAAAAATCAAACAGATCAAAGTCGGTAGAAAAGAAAAGAAAAAGGAAGCAAAACTGATCGTTAAGAAAGTAACAGAACAAAATGGGGATAATCGAAGAAGCTCACAACGTGAAGTTCATTGGCTCAGGAGAGAAGACCATCGTCCTCGCACATGGGTTTGGCACCGATCAATCAGTGTGGAAGCACCTAGTCCCTCACCTAGTCGACAATTACCGAGTTCTTCTGTTCGACAACATGGGTGCCGGAACAACCAACCCGGATTACTTCGACTCCGAACGTTACTCCACTCTCGACGGCTACGCCTACGACGTTCTCGCCATTTTGGAGGAGTTTCAAGTTCATTCTTGTATATTTGTAGGCCATTCCTTGTCCTCCATGGTTGGTGCAATAGCTTCCATACTTCGTCCTGATCTCTTCTCCAAACTCATCATGGTCTCCGCTTCCCCAAAGTGAGAATTCCTCTGAGACTCAACGCTTTGAACTCCCCAGACAGATTCAATGAGTTTTGAATTCTCTCTCTCTCCAGCTAAAAAACGGTTGATCACTTGTCTTCAATCTGTATCTTTTGTGGGTTTCACCTAGAATGGAGTTTTCTTGTCCAAAAACATGAAATTTTTCAGTTGAATTACACTAAGATCGTGACATCATATCATTTGTTTGTTTCTTTGTCTAGGTGTATATATGTTTGACATCATATATATACATTTATTTACTATCCTACTAAATCTTAGGCTAAGGTTATATGGTAATAAACTTGCAAATAAGTTATGGGTAAGCAGTAATTTCTTGAGTTTGCTGGCAAATGTCTTGATACTTCTGATTTGTTTCTCTTCTTGAACTGTTTTAGGTTTTTGAACACTGCGGATTACTATGGAGGATTCGAAAGAGAAGATATCGATCAACTATGCAAAGCTGTAGAATCCAACTACACGGCGTGGTGCACCGGATTCGCGCCGCTGGTGGTGGGCGGCGATATGGACTCCGTCGCGGTTCAAGAGTTCAGCAGGACGTTGTTCAACATGAGGCCGGACATAGCAGTGAGCGTGTTGGAAAACATATTGAACTATGACCTGAGACATTTGTTGTGCCGTGTGACTGTGCCTTGCCATATAATTCAGAGCACCAAGGACTTGGCTGTTCCGGTGGCCGTCTCCGGGTACCTTCACAGAAATCTCGGCGGCAAGTCCATCGTCGAGGTCATGCCGACGGAGGGTCACCTGCCGCAGTTGAGCTCGCCGGAAATTGTGATTCCTGTGCTTGTCCGACACATTCAACATGATATTGCTGACTGATTATAACAATAACGTGTTCAACTTTATCTTTCTTCCTCCTCCTAGTAAGTTTCCAGAAATAGTCTAGAATGTTGGTAGAACTGGGACATGGGTATCAAGGTATTTATGTTTGTCAAAGTCCCATCGGAACTTTGTTTGGTAGCCAAGAAAGTCTATAAGAATTGAATGACAATCATCAATGTGTCTGTACTGATTAAGTCTTGAAGTTTATCATACATGCATCAATACTTACTTTTTCATCAATACCCTTCCCGGACGGTTGATCCTGTCTATCCGGTAAACCTTTTCAGGCTTAATCATCTTGTTGCATGCTCTCGCACACACAAATGCACCAACGTCAAACATCTATCACCATTACCACAATAACCACAATATTAGTCATTCAACTATGGTCAACCCAAATTTTAAACCCTAAACTCTTATCGTCAACACAATTAACACCACCCCCACTTCTATCACAAAAATGGGTAAAAGTCCCAGTTGTCGGCGCTTCCTTCCTCATTACCAAACCCTCGCACCACAGTCACTCTCGTTGTTGTTTCACGCCAATCACCTCGAATCCAAACTCTCAATGTTATTAAAACATAATTTATAAATAAAATAAAATGTGATCATTGAATTTGAGTACATTTAATGCTAAGACTCATAGATAATTTAATAAGTACACTCATTATCTCCCAGCAGCATTGCTCCGCATTATAACCTCAACCAAAACAATTATTTTCTCCATCAAACTAGCGTCACCACCATTAAATTTCATGCCTAATCGTTGTCCTTTCTTTACAAGACCAAGGAAATAAAAGTACCAGCTCTTAAGAGTCGTTAGGTAACCACTTTTATTTTTAGTTTTTTATTTTTGTTTTCATTTTTTTTGAAAATAAAAAATGACAACGTGTTTGGTGATATTTCAATATTCTTTTCATTTTTTTTTTTGAAAATATTTTTAATTTAGACCGAATTTTTGAAAACAAAAAAAAAATATTTTTTCAAAAACAGCAAAATTAAAAATAAGCACCAACCATCTACCACTACCTTGTCATCACTATTACTATCACCTTTGCCACCATCACCACCCACGAATCACACGTCACTATAACTGCCACCGTCATGTACTACATGTAGTCACCACCCACACTCACCCCACCATTGGTCACCACCACAACACACCCTTATTATCACTCCAACTAACATTTATTACCACCCCCACCCTTAACCACCATCTTCTGCCACGGCCATTGCCGCCACCACCACCAAATGTTGCTAATAGAGAAAATATTGAAGACAATAAAGGGATATTATGTAATGGAGAAGACTATTGTATCACCAAAAATTTTTTAGTGTTGTACGGTAAAAATGTACAAGTTTTTGGATTCTTTTACAACTTTTGAGATTATATTACAATATTTATAGTTCAAGTTACAATTTTTATGGGATTATTTACTACTTTTGAGTGTTACTTGTTATCGATCCTAAAAATTTTATGATCAATTGCAAGTGACTCTTAAAAGTTGTAAATGATTCTCAAATATTGTAAATAATTCACAAAAGTTATATATGATTCTCAAATTTTGTAAAAAAAATTAATTTAGAGTGAATTTTTTTTAAAAAAAATATCATCTCAAAAATAGCAAAATTGAAAACAGGCACCAACCACCTACCATCACCTTGTCATCACTCTTACTACCACCCTTGCCACCCCCCACCACAACCATCCGCCACCACCAGCCAACAGTTACTCATCGCCACCACCAGCCAACAGTTACTCATCGCCACCACCATCTTGTACTGCATGTCATCGTCACCTACACTCACCCCACCATTAGTTACCAGCACCACTACACACGTAACACACCATTACTATCACAAACACTTAACACTTACATTACCACCCCTCCACCCCTAACCACCATCTTCTCTCCCTGTCATTGTCACCCACTAAATATTGCTAATCGAAGAATTATTGAATATAATAAGGGGGTATTATGTAATGGAGAAGACTACTATACCACCAAAAAAAATTGTTACTGTACCACTAAAGTTCATAAGTTTTGTGAATTGAAATACAAGTTTTTTGATTTCTTTACAAAAAAAAATTACAACTTTTGAGGTTATATTACAATTTTTATGATCTAAGTTATAATTTTTGTAGGGTTATTTATTAAATTTTGTTGGATACTTGTGATTTTAGGATCAATCTCAAGTGGTCTTCAGAAATTATAAATAATTCTCAAATTTTATTTAAAAATTGCACAAAACTTGTAAATATGAGTACATTATTTTTTCTCCTTATGTAATTATCTACATGTAGTATGGTATCACATCACCATATTGGACCGTGGCCCACCACAACATTTACATTTGTTAGAAGTGTCCTTCATCAAAGCAACCAAATGAAACGAGGCAGCAGAGAATCATTTGATACAACGCGTAACAAAGAACGTATGACGTGGCAGTCAAAACCTATTACATTCACCCAAATTACATGCGATTAAACCACCAAAATACACGTCAACACGCCCAGTTGTACTCTTTCTTATCACATTCTCTCTGTTATTCTCCGTCTCTCTCTCTGGAATCGATGAATCGGAGTAGCGTGTTTTCAATCGCATTTGTGTGCAGCATAATCGCCGGGGTGGGAGGTCAGTCTCCGGCATCGGCTCCAACTAAAGCTCCTCCGGAGACAGTGACAATGCCTGCCGCATCACCTTCTACTATGGTAGCTCCGAATAAGCGGGCCTTTTAAGCCACATTTTTAATACGTCATTAATATAATTAAAACTCATATAAATTAAGTCTAAATAAAAAGACTATATAATTTAAATTAACAAAAGATTTTTATTCTCTTAACAAAATTGGGCTCAAAAATTTAAACTTATTTTCTCTCTAACCGATCAAATGAATCAATTATATCAATTAAACAATCCTCTTAATACATCAACCTCTCTCTCTCTCTCTCTTAATTTTTTTTTTTCATCTAAGAACAAAACAAATGATTTTTTCTCTCATTTGGCTTGTGACCACCTTTTTTAAATTGCACAAGCAACGTCACCGAATCAACCTTGGTATATTATTTGATATTCGCACTTTCTCTTTTTTAATTTTATTTTGTAAAAAATATAGTGTTAATTCACTTATTATTTTTGTTTTATTTGTTTTTATAGGTGATATTAAAGGAGAATTACATTATAATATCTTAAATTTTAGGAACACTAGTGATAAAACTAAGTTTTATAATTTTGATTTTTATTAAGTTTTTTTTCTTATAGAGGGAATTTGATTGATTTATATATAAAAAAAATTGGATTGTTAAAAATATGTGGGTACTAAAAAAATAACAATTCAGATACGAGAAACTTAAAAAAAGAGAGAAAAAGAGAAAAATTAATTGAATTGTAAAAAAAAGACCCCTTAATAAATTTAATTCTAATAATAAAAATATATAACAAACGATTTAGGTGAAAATTCCCAAATGAACAAGTAATGGATTTTAAAGAATTAGAAGATATTGAAATTATTCACCAAAAAAAATAATAATTAAGTTTTTTATTAGGAAGGTTAAACATGAATTTGAAAAAAATAAAAAAAAAAATTGAATAAAACTTTTTGTATTAATAATTAAAAAAGAAAAAGAAAAAGAAAAAGAATGCCTCTTTTAGTATCCCCGGCCCAAAAGAGCTCGGCCGCCCTTGTGTAGGCTCCGACTATAGCTCCACCGAGAGTGGCTTCCGTTCTCCCAATATCATTATGATAATGTAAACTAGAAAGAATTAATGCATTCAAGTGAACCGCAGGTGCAGAAATTGAGGCAATGCAGCGGTGTATACAGCGGAGACGGCGTCAATCAATGCACAAACATACTGATACGGTGCAAAATGGGACTACCTTATTTACTCGAAATTGAATTGTAATAATTAATTTTTTATTTATTTATTTGGTATCTTATTAGGATTACAAAATGTTTGAAACTTTGAAACAAATTGCAGAGCAAAGCAGAGAAATTGATGAGCGTGTAGGTGGTGGGAAGCTTGGTATTGGGATGGGCTGCTGTCTTCAGCTGGATCTTCTAGTGTGTATTCAGTACACGAGATTTCTGTCATTATGGAGTTTAAGAAAAATTAAATATACGTAAGTTAAATCTTCTAGAGGTGATATATTGTATTCGAGATCTGTCTGTTTAAGCTTTCTGCCGTATAATTAAAATTTCTTATAAACAGTCTCAATATCCACGTTCCAAAAACTCTCAGTGGAATTGGAAAGGAAATGGATGTATTCCTATTCTTATATAATTCCATGTTTGGCTAGTGTGGTTAAAATTGTGGTTTCCATGGATTTCAAACTTTTTTTATTACAATTGTACCGGCATACCCCTTTAAAAGAGTTCAAATTTTTTTACTCCCGTAAACAGAAGGGTTATTTTCGTGATTCGAATCTGTAACCTCTAAATTACAATAAAATAATTTTACCATTGCACAAAGACCCGTCACACCCCCCCCCACCCCACCCCACCCCACCCCACCCCACCCCACCCCACCCCAACAACACACACACACACACACACATAAATATCCCAAGAAAATTGAAAAGAACGGGACAAATGGTTGTAGTGTTGTTGTAGAGTGGGTATGGGAGGGGAAGAAAACCGACTATGATGGAGGGCAAATCTCACATGCATGCAGAGAATCTCCAAAAACACGAGTGAAAATGTACGAAAGAAATGAAAAGAGAACTGAAAAATGACGAGTAATTACACGAGAAATTCATGAGCAATAAGGACTGGTATTAGAATTTTTTTGGCTCAGTTACCCCTCAGCGAATCATATCTTTATACAGTTGTTCTAACAAATCAAGGAACACCCAAAAATGTAGGATCTTCATATGCCAAATTTGCAACACAAGATTTACATACATCATACATCTTACCATAAAACATCGCATAACCACCAAATGTCATTCTATCCAAGTCATCCCCTCCCAGCATTACCATGTCGTTGGTTTCTGAAGAGGCTGAGCAGTAACTGAGCCTGCAAGCAGCCCAAAACACACATTATCATACAACCACAATTATAACGAAGCAATAAAGAGAAAGCACAAAGTCATTAGCACTAGACCTTTTCTTTGGCTCTTGGTGTGCCAGATTGTGACAATATTACTAATGGTGGAACGGCCCCTTCCTGGAGAATGATATTGCAGAACCTATTGCTGTTAGAGCATAGCTGTAGGAGAACAGCAGCTGCATTCTCTTTCGATCTTGCAGAACCCAACTCAACAACCTCGACCAGAACAGGGATCCCTCCCGCCTGACCAATCGCTGCCCTTCCCTCGGGAATGGTAGAGAGATTGGACAAAACAGCAACTGCCTTATCAACCATCCCAGCAGCAGGGTCCATCAACTCTACGAGGTACTTCACAGCACCTGCCTGCACAACACGGGCCTTGTTTTCATGCAAGATTGACAAGTTAAACAACGCTGTGGATGCATCTTTTTTCCCCCTAGGAGTTCCGTTTCCTAATAAATCAACAAGAGGTTGAATTGCTCCAGACCTCCCAATCCTGACCCTGTTACCCTCAGCCCCCGATAGGCTAAAAAGAGTAGCAGCAGAATTCTCCTTAGCTTCAGGGCTCCCTGTCCTCAGGACATGAATAAGAGGTTCAATTGCATCAGCATTTGCAATTGCTGCCTTGTTATTATCACTTATTGATAGGTTGAGAAGTGCAGTAACGGCATTTTCCTGTATTTTTGTGTCAGTTGAACGAAGAAGAGTAACCAACAAGCTGATGGCCCCAAAATTTGCAATTACAATTCGATTATCCATGTTATGCTTTGCAAGTAACCGGATTTCAGCAGTGGCGCTTCTTTGCGCATCAAGAAAAGAGCTCTTCAAGTCCTCAACCAGCTTCCGGATTTTGGTTTCAACTCCAGAAAGATCAGCCCTCGTTTCAATGGCAGGAGAAGAAACTATCCTTGGAACAAGCCTCTCAGATGGTCTGCACCAGATTGCTTGGCTATGAGATCTTGTTTCCAATGGAGATGGGAACTCGGGCTCTCTCTGTGGGGCAGTCAGCATAGCAGCCGGCTGGGGTTCTGATGTTGCCTCCCCTGAAGAATCAGTGCTGTAGGTTGTTGCCTCTGAGGAGACCTCATTACTATCACCAGGCATTCCTTGTGAAACATTTGAATTAGAGTGTGCGCTGGAGGCTGAGATTGTACGATTGTGGCCCATAGATGACTGTTTGTCTGCCCCAGCATTACTAGAAAATTCTTTTCTTGATGGTGACATAGAAAGTTGGCCACCTGAATCCAAACTTCTCTCTCCTGAATTAGCCAAACTGTCTTCAGAACTTTCAAGCAATATTCTCTCAATATCCAATCCATGGCCCTTTTCAGCTACTCCAGACAAGGAATCCTCTGAGGATGAACGGGGATGCAATGGAGAGGATACTTCTCTATGGATTTCACTTGATGAGATTAAGTTCCTTCCAGGCGAGCCTATTGACCGAATTGTGTCTGGTGATGTAGATTGGTTGTTCCTTGAATGAGGAAAAACAGGTGAATCACTGGTAGCACCAGATTCTGCATCCGTAAGAAGAGACGTAGGCTGGTTCAAGCTCATTGACTTCATGGGGTCAGGCAGCTTCACATTGTTTGAATCACACCAATTTGCAATCAGTGCCTTTACAGTGTAATTGGGAATAAGATTGGTATGGGCGAGAGTTTGCCGAGTCTTGGGGCAAACAGTGAGCCCAAGGTCAATCCATTTCCGAATAAAATTCCGCTCATAAGTTTGTCCAGAAGAAACAATCACAGGATCTGTCATGAGCTCAAGTGAGAGGGGGCAGCAGTAATCAGCAGGTATCAGTATGGGATAACAGCTCTGGGACTGATTCATCGTAACAAAGTGGTCATGCATGTTAGTAACAAGAGCTATCATTTGATCAATATACTCAACTTCCCCATTCTTTTCAGCTTGTTCAGCATTCTCCTTCAACTTTTCGAGGGCCACAGCCTCAATGAAAAAATCCTGGTTTGACCTTAAGCTCAGGTAATCTGCAATTTTAGCTAGGCCCTTTGAGCTGGGTTCAGAGACCTCCACTCGATCACGATTAGCTTTTGTAATAAGAGCTGGTATTTGCTCATATCCCATTTGCTTAAATTTCTGAACGCAGTGCTGCAATCAATTGTGCTGAGTGTAAGAAATCAACAAGAATACATCATGCATATCTCATACCGCAGAAGTAAAAAAAGTGCTAGCCTTCAATTTGGTAAGATGTAAGATTTGCATATACTTGATCTTTTCATCTAAACATTCCTAATTCATGTCTAGAGAAGAGCTACTCCATTTAAAACCAACTTACAAAGGCAAAACCTAGTAACATTTTTTTTCTTCATTTTTGGTAAGTGTAAAACAACTCATTTCTCATTGCTACCTCAAGCGATGTTGCACTTAATTCAGCAGGGAGACAATGATTCAGTAGCTCCAAATTTTCCACGCCATAAATCCGAATTTTTGCTATTAATGATTCAGCTTGCAGAACCTACACACCATGCAAACATGAGCTAATCAGGAAAAATTAGGCATGAATTACACGAGGCACCACACATTAAGCATTGCATTCAACACAAGAACTCAATACACATCCAACTACAAACAACATACACAGAGTACAGGAAAGAGAGTTCCTTTTTAGTTTAGAAACACAAAGCATTAAAAAATACTCGAAATATAGATCCTGAACATACAAAATAAAGTTTACTCATCAACTGCTGACAGCTTTCAAATAGCTCCCTAATTTCATCAACAGACTGACCCATTCCAGCAAACGCCTTTTGAAAGGTTTCATTTGAAGCTATTTCAGCATCAACAATGGCATCAAGTACTGACTTTAACAACTTCAGGATCCCTTCAATCTTGAGGTAATATCTCAGGACCGGTTCGAATTGTATGTTGTCGCTATGTAACAATTGAAAGAAACTAGAGATGTCATTGAGAAGCACTTTTAGCAGCGATATCTCCATCAAATCTGTTTCAATAACGGATGACTAAGGGTCCTCTCTATAGTCAATCAAGAACAATTCATCATCAGTTATTGAAATAAACACTGCAAGTGAAACTGCAAACACAATGCATAGAATATATGGCCAGTTTACCAAACAAAAGAATTGACCTAAAACTTTGCTAGTAGTTATGTAAAAATAAGAGGTCCATGATAAACTGAAAGAGAATCTTGCAATTCCATAATTAAGATCAACTGAAATAATTCTATGAATAAAGAACATTAATCTTGCAAGATTCTAGGATCAGTAATCCATTCAATAAAGAATTTTGAATGTCAGCTAATATGATTTGTTTTAAGCTTTTGCAATACGTTTCCCAAATCTTAATTCACTTACCCTTATATAATACAGGAAAATCTAGGAGAACTGTAGTAGATAATACTACCCTAGTTCAGCATAAATGTCAAAACTATCATCATAAGCCCTTGGTAAAAAGGGCTTCCGCCCTTCATTGAAGGCGTGGTGAGTAAGTTAGTTATAACTACATGAAGACATAGGTGTGAACATTACTCCTTTCATAACTGTAAGAAGTGCACGCCTTTATTCCTTCCACAACCATAAGAACTCATTTAAACCCAAACATCAATTAATTTTCTTATTGAGCAAAAAATCATTCTCCTTTCACTTTTAGAATTGAAGAGCTTGTCACCACTTTAAATGCAATCTATACATCACCATAGTCATCTAAATTACTTCAAAACAAATAAACATTGAACTGCAGAAGTCATTAGTGTCAAAACCAACTGACTCTTTCAACAGACCAGATCATGAACCATGATCAACATAGTCAATTCAGAATCATAATCTCATGAAACAATTATGTGTTACCAAACAAGTAGAAATCAATACCTGAATGTAATACTCCAAGGAAGCAAAAAAAAAAGGCAGTTTGTTACTTTGGAAAAGGAAAATGAAACCATGAGACAGAAACATCAAGACATAACAAAAAGGAATAGATTTTTTCCAGATACAAAAAATGACACCACAGAATTAGAGGTGACCTCAATTCCAATTTATCCCATAAAGTGTTCGATTTTTTATAAGCAGCATCCCAAATCAGGGTTTTTAAGCTAAAAACCAAATGGGTCTTTGTTACTTGTGTCTGAATTTGAAGTCTGTAAATTGAAATGCTGAGAGGGTCTTGGCGACCAACCACAGAGCACGATACATAATATATGTAAACAAGGAAACCACTGAACAGACGGATCAAACCGAGAGAGAGAGAGAGAGAAGGTCACCTCAAATGGAGCGAAAACACGAGCAATCCACTGTCTTTCCCTCTTCGCAATATCTCCAACCAGACCTCAGAAAATTCCTCTTATTCTCTGCTGGTTTGTTCCGTTGTCAAAGTTCTTTATAACAGGACTTTCGGCAAAGAGAAATCAAGCTGAACAAAAAATATTGTTAGTTTTTTTTTAACAGCAAAACTGAAATTTCATTCATCTGATAAGATAAATGAAGATTACAATCAGAATATAGAAAAGTCTTTAATTCGCGTGGGGATAGCAGAAGAAGAGAATTGGTCGTAGCAGGAACATACACAGAAAAATAGTCAGTTCCAGAATTTCCATGCCACATAAGCAAGAGAGCAAGGAAAATGAAAGGGGGACTCTTCACCTTGAGGGGTCCCATGCAATTTTTTATTTTGTTTTTTAGGGTGTGTTTTGGGCGGGGGTTGCCAGGGGTGTAGCCCACGAGAGAATATTCGATGAAACGGTGACATCATATTATTAGAAAATTTTAATCATATTATTTTTATTCATCATATCTTTAAATATATTTTCTCTATTTTTTGAATTTTCACTAACACACTATTAGATTAAAAGTGTAAAGTAGAATTCAATTTTAGTAAATTATCATGATATATTTTAGAAAAAATTCCATTCACACCCAAATAAACATATCTTTAATGAGACCCTCTCTATTTTTTAATTTTATTTTACGTATTAAAATTTAAGGTGATTAAAATTATATTCGAACTGATTAAAATTCAAATAAATTTTAATAAACTTGTATTGAATTTTAATTAGCTCAAGTTTTAGTACATAAAAAAAAATTTAATCAACTCAAAACGAATTTTAATCGACTTTAACAGCTTAGGTAGAGTTCAAATCGACTCAAATTTTAATACATAAAAAAATTAATTAACTTAAATCGAAATTTAATCAGCAAAAATTTTAATATGTAAAAAATAAAATTTAATCAGTTCAAATTTTAATTTGTAAAAAAATGAATTTTAGTCGGTTTAAATTTTATATAGAAAGATTGTTTAGAGTTTATGTAGGAAAAATTTTAGCATTTTAAATGAATTTTTTTTTGTTAGAAACAGTGGTTTAACGGCATGAGATGTCAATGATGTTTTAAATAATGGAAGGGATGTCCTTGAAAATATAATTAACTAAAATGAGTGTGGCTAAATTTTTTTTTTTTATTAATATCACGTGATGTCATCAATAAGTAATAGCATACCAAGTGAATTTAGTGAGTTTCGATGTTTTAATAACTACAAATAACTATCTTATCTAATACCGGTTATGTTGAAATAGTGGTGTTCACAAATTCTATTTATTGTTTTATAACTAATTAGTGATACCACATGAGATTAACGTGATGTCACCGTTACATCTAATATTTACTCACGGTGCATAAAATTCTTATGAGTTTAACACACCACTTCACAATACTAGATAGTGTGCATAGTCGATGAGTTTAACACCCCATTGTTACACCCTATTCTCTCAATTTTTAAAATTTTGATTTAAGTTAATGCATTTAACCTAATTACATTTCACTCTATGGCTTTACCACTCCTTAACTAATTAATAACTGTTCATTTAAATTTTTAAAAAAATTATTTTCTATCACTCCAATGACAAGCTATAGACATATCAGAACTCTTTCCCATCTCTATAGCCTTATCTTCTCATATTTTACTTACTCTAAGCTCATTTTTTGGAACAAAATTGGGATGAAAATCTCAACTTTTGCCTCATCTTTTTTGTGGGTCTAGTTTTTGATCATAAACCAATAATTGGCTAAATTTTTGGATGAAGTGAGATAAGCAAAGTGGGTGAGAGAGGAGTGTAAATCTGTCCATCGCACGTGATCATCGTTAGTATCATATACAAATGATTGTGGTCTACTCGTTGAAACCGGATATCCCTCAACTAGTATTCTGGTTTGACAAATCTTTGTACTTTAATGCTTATCTAATCTACTTTGACCAGGAATTGAGACTTCTTCCACGCAGCAAATTGTGTAAAATTCAGGCAGACTTCAAAGAATGGCATCTTCGTTCCCTTTTCCTTGGCCCTGCTGGGAATCTGCTTGAGACAGAAACGTACGTATGTACACATACATTTCACACATATATCTATTAGAGAAGTCTGCGGTACTGGAGAAAAAAAATTGGCATCGTACCGCCATTATTATTTTTTATAACCCACAAGAATTGTTAGGATCAATTGCAAAACTATCACAAAAGTAATAAAAACACTCATAAAAGTAATAACTTTTTTTCTTATAAAAATTAGAGATAGGGTAATTTTTTTGTTAGTACCATAGTCTTCTTCATTGCTAGTTATTATATATGTGTATGCATGTAAGTCTATTAGATAAACACAGAACTAATGTACGATAACAATATATATATTATAAAATGTTGGACAATTAAAAAACACCACTTTAAAAAATTTTAGTTGTGCAGAAATAAGAACTTTAAAAGATGAAAGTTTGCTAAAACAAGAGATAAAATTATGAATGAATGTATTCATAAAATCACAAAAATAATATCAATAAAAGATAAATTAAAAGCGAATCGATTTAGTTGATTTGAATATGATTATCAAATACTTAGTACTGCACTAATGATAAATACGAAAGACGTAAGTTAAAACTATGTATGAGATGGTAAAAGGGGTATAATAACAATTTACCAAAAAATATAACATTCATGTCCACGTAGAAAAACATACATATGCTTAGTACCTCTAAATGCTTGAATGTTTTAGGGGGAAAAAAAAACACATGAATGCATACTGTTATATGTGTAAAGTCTGAATGAAGTAAAGTCATCATTCTGTGTTTTTTTTTCCCTAAATTCATTGCCATCGCGAGCTCTTTGCCACTCCCTATGAACATGAAATTATAAACCTAACCCACAACAATGGCATCCCTTCCTCACACATCAAGATTCATTATGATCATATGCTACACCTGCACTCATTTGATTCTTGGAAAAGAGTAGAAAAAATAAAAACAAATCACGGAACCGACTTATTGGTCAAGCTTTTGATCCAATGATATCCTACTACATTCAGTTATTCACATACAGATTGATATATATATATATGCGAGCTACTGAAGACAGGGACCAATTACCTTTTACATAACTATTGCGCGTTCTTAAAAATCACCTAACACTAAGGGTCTTTTGTCACGTATAATCATTTTTTTGCTTGCCAAAATTCAAATCGATCCCATGGCTGTGGTTGCAGATTTCATCACCAGTCAAAATGCCATGCCATATTTTTGGCATAAATCATCAGGGCCAAGACAACTTCACCGAGTCTATAGCGGCTGGAGTTCTTGCTCAGGGACAACAGAATCAACAGGTTTGTATGAGACAAGTGATTGCTCCCTGCGTCTCCAAATGAACCATGCACCAGCAGCTGATAACCCAATGATTAATGTAACAATAACTGCTACAACCACAATCAAGTAATGTTTGTGCCACCACACCCTGCATCATTTGCAAAAGTACCCAATAAAAACAAAAAACCTAGGATGATACCATTTACATAGAATTCAGAAAGCATGTATGTGATGCAAACAAGGAGATAGGAGATGCACTGATAGTACAAAAAATATGAAAAGAAAGCCCACAATTACAGATCCATAAAAAATGTTTTTGTTTATGGCAAGATAATTACAACATCAACTGGACCTGAGATAAAAAATTAATTAAGGCTCAAATACACAGAACAATCATGTACATAAGATCAAGCCCACATTAAGACGAACAAGTGAGGAGCCACACATCCGTCTGAAATCTAAGCCATCTAAAAGTTGTTCCGTTATTCTAAGAGTTTTTATTTTTCCTTTATTTTCTTCATATGTATATGTGTCTACATCAGGAAGCCTCGGCCACTAGTAAACATTGTAACTGTGGACCAGTCACTCCACAGTCCACAATCAATTTCTCATGTTTGACCTTTCGTGTTTAAAGAGAGAAAACTTATAAATGTCATACAGACATAGTTTTGTAACTTCATAAACTTACACACACGCGCACAAGTGTATTTGATTGTTAGCAATGAAAATTGAACCATTTACCCCTCGCTGTCACCTACAATGAGATTGAACCCCAGCAAAATATACATGAAAAGAAGAGCCATCCAGGCCATAATATGGGTTATAAAGACTTAACAAAATGAAGCTAACTTTTCTATTTTGGTAGGTAAATCTCAGAATGGCCATTCAAAAGTGGCCTTACTTATGATACCAAGAGTCAAATTTCATTTTTTGTCTTCTTGGCAATGCACTGGGGCAGTTTGATTCACAATAGAGTAACCCCCACTGTTTCTACACCAGGTTGACTAAATTCTAACAAAGCACTCATTCTAAGTAGTTATGGCAAAGTTTAGTCTGAGTTCGCATTATATAGGAATTGTCAGATGGAACAACCCTCCCTCCTCAACCGAAACTGGCAATATGCCAGAAAATGAAAAGGTCCCACTCCACACTGTCATTTGTAATGCAGATTAACAAGATGCTCAACAAACAAAATTCCCTCCTTGTAACCCAGCCCCATCAGGGGGGAAAAAAAAGAGAGGAAGACGAGAAATAAACTGCATACCGTTTTGGTGGGGGCTTAATTTTCAATTCAAACAACCGATAACTTCCAAAGGTATCAGGAAGATGCACACGACTTTCTTCTATCTGTTCAATAATACCCTGCCAACAATTATAATCAATAAGCAAATGTTTCTACTCTTCTACAAGGAAACTCCTTGCATATCTCAAAATGGTAGCTCACCTTTGCAGTGGCATTAGATATGTAATCATCAGATCCAGCTGGGAAAATGGCCCATCTTATGAGGGAACCATTTCCTTTAGATGTAAAATTCAATACGTGGACCTGCAACCACTCTTCTCAAGTTATTGTCACTTTAATTCAAAAAACTTCACTGAGAAAGGAGTACAGATTGTAACATAAATATTAAAAGCAATCAGCAAGTGGAGCCTAGCAATTTAATTCAAATGCTGCTACAAGTTGCTATGAAATGATCATGAAGTATGATCCAAAGTTAAGCTACCTGTGTAGCATCAACATCTAGCTCCTGGGCAATGAACTGAGCAAGCTCTGTGATGTGAGGCTTCAGGTCTAAGTACTTGACATTCAACGACATAGAAAATGTTATGAGTCCAACTTTTGTTTCCCCTGTGCAAAGCAAGGGTATAAGAAAATATCATCAAATATCACCAAGTTCAAGAGAATAAACAAGCTTTTATTTCTCCAATAATAATGCTCATAATCTTGTGCCAATTGAATAAAAATAATTGAATGCAATGCAGAGTGTATAAAAGAGGGACCTCAACGAAAGAAAATTAAAACAGAACTATAAACCATTCATGACTCCTATGGAACCAAGAGAGGGGCTTACTTGCCTCATGGTCCAACTAAACATTCAGCTCACAAAATATTGTTTCAAATAACTGAATTGACAGCCCCGTACCACAAAAAAATTATGCAGTTCGTTTCTTCAAAATGCACCATGAGGCATTGAGAAGCCACTTCCCACACCATACACGTCCTCCCAACCAAACGCCTCTCCAGCCATTCCACAAATCAACCTCCATCTTTGACAAAGAGACAACCCACACCAAAAAAAATTAATTATAACGATGACAACACCCCTGAAACCTACAATGAATGGGGAGGTGAAAACTAATTGACCATGATCTTTCCCCTTCGGACTAAGTTATATATTGCAAGAGAATCCAAAGCAAATTGTAACAGAAAAGAACACAAACTTTAATGGAACTTCTTTGCCCCAAATAACTTTTTGTGGTAGGAATCATCAAATATCCCAAGTAACACCTTCAAACATCGTCACTTCAAGCTTTCCTCTCTTTGCCAACCCCAACCTCACCACATCCCCTCCTCTCCCAATTGTGCCTTCCCAAACAACAACATATCAAGTATCTCGACCACATCCTATAACTATAAGATACGAAAAAGATGGTATCTTAAAGGTTAATCAAAAGGTAGCAGCTTAGTACCTGGATGAACATACTGTGAAGGCTCGCTAGGAGCCAATGTAGGATGCATATCTGCAGTTGAGTTTGTCTCATTTGAAGCTGAAGGCGCTGGTGGAGGTGCACCAGAAATGTTAAGTTTTTCCCATAAGTCAGAACAATTAGTCTTCCAAAATCCAACTTTTTCATGTTCACGATCATAGGACACAAGGGTATTGCGGACAATGATTCCTGTTATAAAAATATTTGTAAAGCAAAAACTCACAGACGTACTCATTAAATAAAGAAAAGGGAAGTCTTTTTCTCAAACATAAAATGGGGGAAGGAAAGAAGAAAATTAACATGAAGCAGGCCACATAATGGTTATAAATGGTCCAAATACATGTTTGGCGAAGCATATTACCTCCTAAAAGAGTGGTTGGATCCTTCCCATTCTGAAAAATCCCCAGGCAATACGCCCCATGCACCTTTGAATGCTTTGTATAGAAAATACATGCAATAAAGCAGAGAAGAATATATGTTAGTGCGGTCATATAAGGGGTTTTCTTTTTGCTTGTGGGGTGGGGGGGATCAAGTGAATACCAAAATATATTGTTTTCAATTTATCGTTTGGAGGACTCCTTGTCCTCAAATGTATTTTATTATATTTCATATAAATAAAATTTTCTGGTCTCCTATCAAAGAAAAAAAATATTGTTTTCAAGTAACAAGTTTTAAAGAGAACGAAAAGTTAGGAAGAGGAAGAATAAACCGGATGTTTACCCGGAACAAGTAATTTTCAGGAGATAGAGACAGCTTCTGTCCATTGTCAAATATCATATCAACAGCCGGAAAGGCTTTCAAGAGTTGAGAAACCTCACTGCAGCAAGTTTATTATTGCTTGTGACAAAAAGACAATCTATCTAATTATGACAGATTATTATGTTATGCTACAATGAATACCTTCCAGCACCAGAGAAGCAAATATCATTATAATTTGGATCAGGACCATGGATCCGTTTCAAGGACTTGAGTTCTTTCATGACCTGGATGCAAATACAGGAAAAATCAATATAGAAAAAATGATGATTTAAAAATAACAAAAGCTAACAAATTTATTGAAGTGTACATAGTAAAGCAGCACAGTCCATTATTTAAGTCTTTCCTCAATTCTCAACTATTGTGAACAGATTTCTGAATAGAAAATGAATTCCCATAGCAAAAGTTGCAGAAAGATTCAGAAAATGATGAATGTTTTAACAAATGTATGCATAGGCACAACGGCATCTGTGCACAGAAACACATAGAAAAACATAGATAAAGGGATAGAAGGAAAATGGTGCGTGCTTTTGATTGTCTTGGAGTTTATGAGGTTCTAAAAAAATTTCCCAAAAGTTTGAGGAGCTTCATGGTCAACACTATTAAATGAAGTAACAATGGTGTAACTAAAAAGCTTAAAAAAAAAAATTGGGAGGGAAGTGGGGATTAACATATACGGCAGCAAGGAGCCCATTGTTTATAAGTTCTGAACCTAACATGTACTATCATTTGAAAAACTTGCCCTAGAAACAAAAGTGAAGAAGACTAGTTAAGCCACTTATCAAGCCACGACAAGACTAGATTGCAGTAAGCAAGTATACAGGAATCACAGAAGAACAGAACCCTGGAAGGAGACCTTTATATTAATTCTTCCATAGGAGGGATAAGGCACTAGGTGCAGGAGCCTTTGGTTTGGGACTAAGGATTGCTCCAATGTGTTCATTTTTTATACTCTTTAAGTAGACAAAACTAAGACTACATGCAAGCGGATCAATCTTGCAGATTGTAACTAGGATATACTAAAAGGAAAATCCAGAGGATGTGAATCAAATAGATGGACCTAGCTCCCCAAAACCCTCAGTAAATTTGTCCAATTAATCCAAAGGTCATGGTCAACATCTTCTCTCTGTGATTCTATTGGTTTCTATCATGAAGCTTATTTTTACTGCAGAAGAATATTAGTTGGTTACATTTCTCACTGAACAGAACACAGGTGCAAAAGTAACACTCATCCTGCCCAACAAAACAACTTTGGAAAAGTCTCCAACCCTCATAATGCTATCTCATTTGTATTCTCATGGCAAGAGGTTGAGAAGTTTAGATGGACCAGCAACTATTGAAACTGGTTAGTAGCAAGAAAATAGTTTTAAAAAGGGCCCCGGATTAGCAGAGAAATTTTTAATTTTAGTACTAGAAGAAGAAGAAACAAAAGTCAAGCTAGTGCGTGACACAGACTACATTTACAATATATCATGAAGCTCTCTAAAATTAAAGATAAGCAGGCGAGGATAAAAAATAAAGTACAGAATCTTACAGCATCCCTAAAAGCTAAAAACGCAGTTTCTGGCAGGTAAGCATACGTGGTGCCACTATCTAGGACTGTTCCATGCTTTCCATCAAAAACCGTTGGGTTTAAAGGCAATTTCTTCCCAGCAACATGAATCTCATTCAGCTCAATGTTGTAATATGGACTGTTTCCATCCCGAGACTAGAGTAAATGTGTGAGATGTATCAAACGTATATGGTAGAAAATGCAATGTTTTTCATGTATTGAAGAAATATTTTCCAAAACATACCTGCGGACAGGGTTTGAACGAGTAAAGACCATCTCGGCAGGCGGTGAAATTCCACCAAGAACCATTGTGCCACCACCAACATCCATTCCACCATAACACAAGGAAAAAGAATCACTAATTACACCTCTGTCAACAAGTTGATCCACAACACTCAGATCTCCACGGCCTAAACCCATTATGCCATCAGCATGCTGACTGTAAAGGTCACCTGTTTCAACGTTTTCACAACCAAAAACAGCACGTTGGGGTGTAAGTTCACTTTGATTGCCAAAGGATATAATATCCTCACCAAGAACCCCGCTGCTAGAACTCATTTCAGCATATTGTCTTTCATAAACACATTGTTCCCTATCATTATCACAAGCGCAATTGATATTGCATTTCACAGGCTGGTAAGTGCTAGACAACTCTGGCTGGAACTTTGGATCCTGGTGAGAACAATAATTTGCAATTCAAATTATTGAAAGAAAGGCAAAGAAGGGCAGGGAAAATTCTAAGCAGGCACAGGGGTATATGATGCATTTTAACTGTAAAACATGCAACTGATTCATTAATAAACTCTCATGAGTTAGATAACCTAGGACATTTATAAGGAATCATATCACAAAATGAAAACATATTCTGCACAGCATGTATTCATTCACAATCTACTAACTCATCATAATGGAAGTTGAGGACATTCAACTGAACTGAACTGTGACAATGACTTACATTCCATACAGAGAACAGCAATCATGTTAAGCTACAGTCCAGTTATGGGATATGATATTTCCAATATTCTGATGTGTTATGGTGCTATTATGCTTCCATTTAATGCAAGTTCTAAAATGTGGATCGATTATATAGTGATGAAGTACTTGCTGCTCTTATTTAATGCAAAATTCACTTGATGACAAAACAAGGAATTGTTAATATAGCATAGATACATTATTTTATTTTTTTCCCTAATTTCCAACATATACATACTATCTTCACACCTCAAATTGTGGCATAAAATTTTTTCCGCTGTTTGATAAAAAGGATTAATCAAGTGATACAATAGTGTTCTTCGAGTAAACAGTTATTCCTTATGGAAGCGAGACAAAGGTAGTGCAAAACACCACAAAGCTGAATAGAGATGGAAGTTAGACGTTACCTGATGCCTGCCACACTGTTCACACGTAGAGCATGGAACATACGTTACAGTACTCCCAGTATCAACGATGAGAGCGAATTTCTGCGGGGGAGTTCCGATCCAAAGCCGAGTAGTGTAGTACCTGCAACATCAATTTAATTTCGCAAAATCCCAACTAAAGTTGATGAAATACAAATATAAGCACGAACGAGATCAGAAATGGTGGATGTATTACCCGTTGAGGAGGAGATCGTCGTGAAGTTCCATGCGAGCATTAGGGCTGCGAGAGTCGAATTTCTGGAGGTGTCGACGGGAATTTCGTTCAACACGGGAGGAGTTGGGAGGAGAGAGAAATAGAGGTAGGAACATCGTGTGGCGGTTACCTTCGCCGTGCGGTGGACGGATAACGACGGAATCCGGATCGTCCGAAACAACTGGAGCAGATGACAACAAAACGACACCAAATGAATTCAATACGATGACGAATAAGATCAGGATTGTGGGGATGATGGTGGCGAATCGTGACCGTGCCATTGGATTAGCGACGGCTTGAGAGATCGAAGATGAATGGCTCGAATTTCGCAAGTGAGTGTCTGAGATCGGAAAAGAGAGAAGTGAGGCAGATGGGGAGGTTTCTCTCTCTATCTCTCTCCCGCTCACAGAAATTTTTAGAGAGAGGAAGGAGAGATCTGGATGGAAAGGGGGAGGGAAGTCAGCGGGGCCGATGGAATGGACTCTTCAAACCTCCTCATAACGTACTCGTATGATTTCGGTCTTTGCTGGTCCTGCACTTTAAACATTTCCAAATCAAAAAGAAATCGAGAAACGGGATCTGCATTTTAGGGGCTAATCAGCCTAATCTCAGCTTGTACTGTCAAACATCACTTAAATTTTAATTTATTTCTTTAAAATTTAAAAATAGTAATTTATGCCCTAAAATATATACATACGACCTGATACTAACTATCATCTATTTTTTCATTAAAAAATTTAGGTTAATTATAAATTACACCCCTTAAAATTTAAATATTTCACATTTATGTTTCAAAAAAATTTCATTTATTAATGTTCGTTAAATAACGCTCAATTGTATTGTATCATATCATTTTTATGTAGTATTCGAGCCAATAAAAAAATATTTTTATATCAGGTCAATTGCATTGTGTCATATATTTCACATTTACGACAATTCATATAATATTATTTAATATTTTTAAAAATTAAAAAATATCTATTTTTTGTCTATAATATTCGTTAAATAATTATTTTCTGTCTACAGTTGTGTTATTCGTATCTAATTTTAATTTGATTGGACAATCAAAATATTTGTGTCTAACTGCAGATAGAAAATAACTATTTAACAAGTATTATAGCCAAAAATAATAGATACTTTATAATTTTTTTTAAAAATTTTGAAAAATATTTTTTTTACTGACTCAAAAATGATATGATACGATACAATTAAAAGCTATTTAACTAGTATTAATGGATGAAATTTTTTTTTGACCATAAATATGAAATATTTAAACTTTGAGGAGTATAATTTATAATTAGCTCAAATTTTTTTAACGGCAAAATTGACGGAGTTAGCTTCATGTGCACATTAATACGAATTTATATTTTTTAAGATGTATATTAATATTTTTAATTTTTAAGAATATAAATTAAGATTTGAGCGATGTTTTAAGGTGTAAGTTAAGATTAGCCCTTTGTTTAATCTACCCTCGAGGGCAGGCAGGTTAATGGATAAGGATCCTTCTTCGAAGTTTCGTTTGGATTTATTCGATACCTTGCTCAAATTATTTAAACGAAAATTTAATTATTGACTTAAACTCGATTTTAACTTAGCAGGCAAAACTTGAACAAAATTCTAACCTCAAACTTGATCGTAATTAAATTTAGTTTTAATATACTCAAACTCATAAAATTTAAATCGAATATAGGTAGCATAAGAAAATATTTTTTATAAGAATTATGCCATAATGAGAGGTGCAAGTGGGACGGGTTAGAGGATCAGCTCGAGTCCAACTTAAGTTATAAAACTTTTAATTCTAGCTCAACCAGAAATTTGACTTTCAACACAATTATTGCCTAAGTTAATTTCAGACTCAATTCGGAATATTGCCTAAGTTAATTTCAGACTCAATTCAAATTAATCCTGGTTAACTAATTCAAGCTCATAATTTGAATTCGTAATTCAAATTTAATTTTGAACATGACACAAATTATTGACCAACTTAAATCCAATAAAAACCTAAAATACACTTAAATGGTGTGATTATATATAAATATTAATTTTGAATTGAACCTGAATTGTGACGCCAATTGAGCCCAATTTTAATAATATGTATTAAATTTGAGTTAAAACCATGAACCCAAAATCGCAACTCGAATATGATTCAAATTTAATTTAGGTTGAAAATTTTCAACCCAAACCCAACACATTTTAAAAACTTTAACCCAAGTCCTATTTTTTTGGGCTGAATTTAAATTGAGTTCAGATTAGGCCCCCCCGAGTTGCACCCATTAATACCAATGAAATGAACAAGACAAGCTGAGACAGCGGTCATACGTATCGCTGTTTCAGATGGAGTTTCTGCGGGATCTTACATGTTTCAATAATACCATTACATTAACATAATATCATTGAATTAACGTTTTCGAAATGCCCAAAGAAACAGAGTAACTGCTAAAAAAGGTACACATGCACCAGAAAATTTATAAGCCAATCAATTGGTCTACCATCTCCCTTCTATAGCTAAAGTTGCTACGGTGCACGAATTAATACGGCTGGTATGTAGACTGCATTCCACTGCTTGGATAAGTACCATAAGTCGATGGAGCCGCATTATAGGCGGTGGCATTAACCATGTCATTATGTGGATAGTAGTATGATGTTTGATCATAAGCTTGCTGAGCATATGCAGATTGGCCAGCGGCTTGGTAATCATAGGTTGTCACTCCTGCATATGTTGCCCTTCCCCCGAAAACTGGTGGAGCAGGAACAGCAGTAGCAGTACTGGCTACAGGTGCACGGGACCCATAGAATCCTCCATTTGCTCGGGGCTTCTTGAATTGGTGGTGTTTACCAGAGTCGCCGGACCTCTTCCTATCAGGCTTTAATTTCTCCAGCTGAGAAACCCTTTTCTGAAGTGGATCAAGAGGATAATCAACCTCAAGCTTGTAATCTTGAACACATCGGATTATAGCCCTCAGTGCCTCCAGTTCTTGAGCATTTGCATCATTCTGCGCAAAATAAGGTGGCAGAAAGCAACATGATAAGGGAGAAGCAAATGATGTCCTAATCCAGGTTAAATAGTTCCTGCGCACTAGCTGCACCCCCAGAGTTACCTACCTTTCCTTGTGAGTTTCTCCTTAAATCTTTCAAATATGCCTTCAAGAGCGGCACAAGTGGAAAACTCTCGGTAAGCTGGAAGGCATGGATGAAATGGACAGCATCAATTTGTTTCCCACTGTCAATCAGTGCTTCGACAACACCTGTGCAAAAACACCAACTAAATAAATTCCCCATTAAGATAATGGAATACAACCTCCAAATGCAACTGTACCACACCTCTCCTTATGTGATCATTATGTCCATAATTACCCGATAAATTAACATATTACGAAGCACTAAAGAGTTCAAGTGCTAACGGCACCTTATAGAACGGTCCAGGCTCTGGACCTCATCAGGTCAGTCAATTAAAAGAACACCAACCTGGCACTTTGTGTGTTAACCCAACAGAACGGCAGAGCTCAGGTGCCTGCCTGTGGTGAGAAACTGCGAGAACAAGCTTGCAGAGTTCTTCTTCGTCAAACTCTGAAGCAATCATAAAAGTTGCAATGAGCTGCAAAAATGCTTTGGCTTCCAATGAATTTCCATTGGCAGCATCGATGCCTGCACCAGCCAACTTAGGCTTCCACTCATTAGCAATGGCCTTGGCTTGCTGCTTAATTTCGGGGTTCAGAAGGTGATCAGCACCTGGGTCAGCCCTTGCCAACAAGGTGGCCATGGCTTCCATTAACATAAGACAGGATTGAAGCATGCCCTGGTGGGCAGCATCATTTTTATCCCCTTCTTGGGTGGTGTCATCAGGAGGGAGGAACTCCCCCAGTGAAGCCAGTACCAGATGGCCTGGTTCAGCTGCACTTTCAAGTGCTAAAGGAAGTTCATGACGAAGGGAAGGTATATTTTTTTGATTCTCCATAGTAAAATTCAGAAGCCCTTTTGCATCCATCTGCTCGCAAAATTGCAACAGCTCTGGACAAGGCTTAACCTCGCCAGACACACCTTCAGCATTTTCACCAAGAGGGCTGCTTACCTGGTCATCTATGTTGTCTCCATCATCCATAGGCTCCAAAGATACCAGCTGGTTATCTGCCCGTGTCTTCACAATAGCAACAACAGCAGCATCTTTAAGCTCCTGAATCTGATCCAACAAATCTTGCTCTTTAGCAGCAACAGCTCCTTCCCTCTCAGTAAGTAATTTTCGAGCCTCAGATTCCTCTTCTCTAAAAGTCTTCTCCCTAACTTCTATTTCTAAATATTTGTTCCACATCATTGTCTCAAGGTGGCGGAAGTGTTCTTCAACCTCCTTCCACTGGACCTCATCATCGGTAACATTCTTGTAACCTTCCAATTCGAGGAATGCAATGCCAAGCTGTTCTATAAGAGCAGGTGTTGCATTGATTACCGCACCTAGATTCATTTCGGCCATCGTATGTAATGTATTGAGATGAGCTGCAAGCAAAAGACTACACAATGCATGAAAGGATTGAAAAACCCAAAAGACATATAAAGTCAATATATCTATATATCATGATATTGGAACTGAAAGCATAGTTAAATAGTATAAAATATTGTTGTTGAAAGGCCAAGTGCAGATCCCAGCCCCCACCCAAACACCAAGCACACGCACACACCACCAAGACTCAAGAGTGTAAAGTGACAACATAAATTACTTCTCCAAAAGAGTTTTCGCTGCTAATTTTATCAAATATAGCAAAAGAGGGAAAAATTGTGATAATCAAAGCAAACAAGGATAGAAAACAACAGAAAATAAATGCCCGACATGCTGCCAGCAAGTCATGGAGAGGATGGTGTACGCCAAAAATCAAGAAGACATAAATCTACTATCTCTACAAAAAGGAAAACCACAACAACAGTAACACATTCTTGGTTCTGGATTCCTGAATCTAAACAAAAAAAAATTAACACATTGAACCTGGGGGATTTTACAATATGGGAATTTCATAGTGGAGATAAGACAAGTCACAGTTATTAATTTATCCCAGCACTCTCAATGCTCGATGGGAAGTATACGTTGCCGGCTCAAGAAGCATTCAAGATCGAGAAGACATAAACTGAATCCAAAGTTTTTACTTGAAGCAAATTGTCACAGGCCGAAGAGTTAAAGAAGTTCAAAAGTTGTTTCCTTTTCTCCATGCTCCCACCTCTAACCCCCGAAAATATAAGAAGAATATAACCTTAGGTTCTTAATAGTACACAATTGGATGTCAGCTGACTACTGAGGCTAGTTTGCAGACATTGTAGAAATAGTGGGAAAATTGGTAACTTGAAGATAGAAGCTCGGCCAGTCCCCTCCAAATGTTATTGCATTTTTCAACTTTTAGTAAGTGAAGAAGCTATTTTATTATGTCAACATTTCTCCGATTGCTTTTAAAACTCCATATTAAAACTCCATATTCTGGGACTGTGTAGTTATGGCGATTTTTGGGTGATAGAAATGGAGAGAAAAAATATAATTTTTTATGACAAAGTTAAGTATCACGAGTTCCTATGGGCAAGAGTAAAGTTCTTGCAGGTTGCGGTTCCTAAAATGTTTTGGGGAATCCTTTTTTTTTTCATTCATGAAAATTCCATTGTGGCATATGGTTAAGAGGATAATTCTCTATTGTAGTTTTAGCGTTTATTTTCCTATTGCTATTGGGAGGTAGATATCTGTTCACTTCTTGTGCTTTCTTCTATCTTTAATGACAATTTTTGTTTCTTATAAAAATTAGAATATAACAGGAATAGTAATCAAGCTTGACAATGATTACAATAAGCATTACTTCATAAGCATGGAAGGCCAAAAATATACATTTATTCAATTTTATCAGCACCACACAAGAGTTTACGTTTCTAGTTGAATCTAAAGATTATACATCACAATAAAAGTCAAGTTTAGTTGTTCCTAATACCACTGCCATCAGCTTCACATAGGCACCACAATAAGAACAAACCGCTTACATGATCACCGCCTATCAAGCACAAACACCTCTTTCAGGCTTGCATATCATTGTCAGAAATGTTTGCGAAATGGGCATACTTGGGCTCTAAAGTGTCATTTTATTTCCCGACTATCAAAAACATTGGGTGACTTGAGCACACACTCTATTTGTTGTTTTCAAATAAATTAGGGGTCAAATATGAATTGTAAAAAAACTCGGTATTTAAAAAAAAAGAAAAAGAAAAAAAAACTACAAAAAAGAAGATAAAATAGAAGACACCACCACCTTACAACCATTAGATTTTTAAAAAGGGACAAAATTATGAAAAGGAAATGAGATGTAATCTCCCTCGACCATAACCTCTATCAACCTCTGTCGTCTTCCAATTGTTTCACAAATGACAGTCTACAAGATACCCATCAAGCTAAAAGTCCTTATCTCTTTCATTAAAATTCATTTTTCCAATTTGGCTTTAGGACGTGTTGATCTTGAAATACTTACAGTTTTGTCCTTCAATTCTGGTTTTATGACTTCCACGAAATAATGTTCTGGAGTTGGATAATATTTAAATCATAGAATTGTTGTATCAGTCCTTATTCCCTCTCCCTATGATCTCTGCATATTATTTTTTGAGAAATTTCATGCTAACCACCCACTGGTGCCCTATTTTCACATTCGTGCTTCCTTCATCACCACCTTTGGTATCAAAACATCGGAAGCAACACTGACCACACCACTACAATTGCACCATCAACACATATCCAGATATAGAACTACAATACTGACTCAACCATTGCCATTATACTCTCAACGCCACATATGCTATAGTGCTTTAATCAAACGCAATTGCCATACAAGATCTCCTCTCATATCATCACTACTGCTACCATTGCCTCCAAAATGACCACTTTTCAACATGACCTGTTGCTAATCCACTGCCAACAACACCTTTGCCATTACCACTAACCAAATGGGATCCTTTTCTTTTTAGAAGCATTTTTTTTTTTTTTGCAAATTTAGGTTTATTTCGAAGCACCTTTACAATTTGATACTCTATACTGGCTTGTCTAATACCTCTATACTAGCACATTAGTGTGGTGTTTTTTTGCAATTTCTTGGTCGCTTAGCACATTACGTTATATACTCTATAGACATATCTCACATTACAATTACAATTACAAATTTAGTGACCTTATCTACAATTACCAGCCATAGAAACCAACATATGGAACTAAAAATCATCTTGTTTTAATTTTCTCTTCTAAAACTACAATGTCTTCCCAGCATGAGAGCGCCTATCCATATTCTCATCCTCGCCAAACATCAGAGATTCCCAGAACACAGCTTCCCACATTATCACATTAGAAAAATACAAAGAAATCCACAAACATAAATTCGTTAAACATATCTAAGGCTCCAGAAGAAATAGTAATCCTAACTGACTTCTATATCAATAAATTTAAAACCTAACAGAACAAGAGATACACATACATGTAAGTATACACAAGAAAATGTATGGCGTACCTTTGTGAATATAACGAATATAAGTCGCACGGAGGATTGGTGAAAAAGTTAATTTGAAACCCTAGTCTCTGAGCCAGCTCGAAGGGTATGAGACTTCAACACAGGACTGAGGAAATAAATTGTGTTTTCCTTCAGAAAGTACGAAACCCCTTGTTATTGGGTCTAGATTTTCCTTTTTTCGTTAACACTGATATGCGTTAAAAAAAAAAAAAATTGGTAAAATACATTTTCAGTCCCTAAAGTATGTATTTAGTGTCTATTTAGTCTCTAATTTTTTAATTACATCTATTTGATCCCTGAAGTTTCTAATTTATATCTAAGTGGTCTAATCTCAAACGCCGTCAGAAAATCGTTGACGGTTCTAATTACGCATCAATCACGTGGTTTTTATTTTATGTCTATTTAGTCTTTAAAGTTTCTAAAGTGTCTATTTTTATCCCATATGATTGATGCGTGACCAAACCCTTTAAAAAATTGTTTATGAACTTTTGAAATTGGACTATGTAAATACAAATTCAAAACTTTAGGAATTAAATAGACACAATTGAAAAATTATGGACTAAATAGACAATACACGCATACTTTTTGGATTAAAAGTGTATTTTACCCCAAAAAAATTAAGTTAAAGAATTCGGATTACTTGAAATTCGGGTAATTTCAGTTTGATCCCCAAATCTTTTAATTTTTGGTAAATTACACCAATATCCTTTACTTTTTATGGCCTTACTTTTCGTACCCCCCCCCCCCAGATTTTAAGCCAATGAGATTGTAAGACATGTAAAATTCTTTTATTTTATTATTTTTATGATCAATGACTATAAATAGACAAATTAAATATTTATGGGCAAAAATCTGATAGAAAAATTAGTCCAAAATATTGTCACTGTGCTCAAATAGAATTGTTACTAATCAATATTTAAGGTTTTATAGTTATTACTAGTTCAATATTTTTTATTGTGGTGTAGTTCAAATTTGTCCTCACTACGGTTAATTTATGGCTCTCTTATTTATTAATTTATTATTTCTATAATCAATGACAATAAATAAACAAACTAAATATTTATAGACACAAATCAAATTATAAAAACTAGTCAAAAATATAGTCACCGTTGACTGGTCCGATCCGGACCACGTACAGATCACAGTTGCGGGCTAAGCCCAAATTAAAGTTGCGAGCAGCCAAATTTATCCTCTTGAGAGACTCAGTCTATTATTAGCGCACGTGGAAGTTTTCATCTTAGGAAGGGAATCATGGAACGCAGTCATTGGACTGCGCATCGCTAGCTTCAACCACCTCGCATGTTACATCGGCATCACGGATTCACCTCTCTCCCAATTACGAGGGTAATGCCTCAATCAAGGCTCCCTCTAAGGTGCTATAAAATTGTATTCGCATATAAATTATAAGTCTCGCCTACACATAAGAGGCATCACACAAATCTCAACACCCTCCATACCTTGAGTAATAAAACTCTCCGCCCCACCGTCGCCATTTTCAATGGAGTAAGTCATCCAAACAAACCCACATAATTTGTGTCTCTTGTTATATTAAGCATATCCATCACATACACCATCATACTCTTGATTGATTTTGCATAAACTCATTTTATGCATACTATGGTAATTTTTTGCTCCACCCCTAAAAAACTATATTTTGTTAATTTTATCAAAAAAATTGATAAGGATGAAATTTAAAGCATGAGCCTTCATGATCCAAGAAACCCAATTAGCCCAGGAACCCTTTAATTACCAACAATCCGAATAGGGGACCCACAACCTACCCATGTCGGAAATCTAAAAGGCTGAACTCTAGGGGGAAAGCCCAACATCACCGGAGAGCTTGCAATCCAACATATCCCCTATCCAGCCTAGCTGATGAGTAGCCCAAAAAGATGGGAGCCTGGTCCAAATGTTTTCTTTGAATCACTCTCGTTGAACCACGTGTCTTGGAGGCTTAGGGACTACTTTTTGACATATATGAAAATCACAAAATAGAGGAGGATGGAATGCATAACCAATAGAGATCACAAATACAGTGGTGCCGGATGAACAGAGTTTGCTACAGGGTGTAGACGGGAGGACCAACGAAACTAGCACAAAAGGAGGAGCAGCAAAGAAACTTTAGAAGAATCATTGTATAAATAAAGAACTGCTACCCAAAAAAGGGGGATCTTCATATTCTCTGTTCACGCTCTCAAGCCAAGAGTCTGATAGTTAGAACAGAGCACACAGTCCCTGTAAAGAACCCAATGCTTATATCAACGTTGTATTCACTAAGGATTAAAGTAATATACGATTTTAAGGAGTAAGAAGTTTTATTATAGTGGACGTAATTTTAGTTTGTCGGCTAAGGTAAACCACTTACATTTTACGCTCTTTTAATCTCCTAGATTAATCCCCTCATCACAAAATCACACTCAAACTCTTGAGTCTTTATCGGTTGGGATTGGACTATTATTTCTGAGCATCATCAAAAATAAAAACCTTTTTTTTTTTTTTTCATATCCAAAGGAGAGTTTAATTCTGGCTCAGAAAAGAACATCAACTATATAATTAATGCATACAAGTCAAACCTTACTTTACGGGGAGTTAGGCAAAAGAAAAAAGAAAATATGCGTCGGTGCCACTGATGATACAAAACGCTTTTACATGTTAGAAAGAGAGAGAGAGAGAGTTAAGTGGACTTTTGCGGCATTTTTTGTAACCACAAACAGTCCAGCCGACTTTTATTATGGCTATGACCGCGCTTGAGATCGCACGTGACCATTCAAATAAACGCTATCAAGAAAAAAACCAAAGCCAGTATATAGTGAACGTTACAATTATGATTACGACTTGCGAAATCAACTCAGAATTAGTGAATATGAATGAAACTAATTTCTAACACTGCAAGAGTTTTTCCAGGATGACGTGAAAACTAACACTCACAATAATGCCTGAACACTGAAGCACAATTCCTCCAGGTTAGTTGACCACACAACGGTTAATACCACACCAAAATCACATCCTGAAAATTTTCCTCACTAAGTTGGCATACACAACTGCCCAGAGACAATGTATTCATCTAGTTACATGCTGAATGCATGCAGACTCGCACAAAATCAACCAGGCAAAAAGAGAAAAGTATGTGCCTGAACATGAACATGTGTGTGTTGTATTTGTGTGTGTGTGAGAGAGAGAGGATCAGAAGAGCAAGGAAATGAACAAGCCAGGAGTATTAAAGAACAAAGCCACAGCACAATACCAACAGAAAGTTGGGGCATTGCCCACTTGACAAGTAAATTATTACACTGTTACAGCTCACACCCAAAGCATCACTCGTATTTCAAAACTTGAATTTGAAATAGATACACTGGTCGGGATCTTCTACAGGGGAAAGAATTCTGTTCAAGTAGCAGCCTTGCTCAGCCTTCTTTCTCCCATCCTTCATACACGAGGAAATAAAAGCAGGTTCACAAAGAAACTGCAAATGTTCGTTGCATACCGCAGAGAGGAACTAAGCTAAGCCACTGGATCATAGAACTATGCACAAAAGTGGAGAACATGCTTTGTTTAGAAAATAATAATTTCCTTGGCACAAGCAGTTGGGTAGCTGCAATTGAAAGTGCTTCATGAATCCAGTATTGTGCCTTCAACACGAGTGTTGGACGAATGATTGATCAATTCCTTTGAGCAAACCTCTTGGCTTGGACAACCCAATGGGAAAATGTAATGCCTCTGAAAATGAGGTATCCTATGAACACAATGTATGCAGCTGTGAAAGCAGATACCACACAGGTGAATAAGAGTCCACTTCCTTCAGAAGAGAAAAATTCCAGCAAGAGGTACCCATTGATCACTATCACCAAGGCAGCCACAAGCCATGAAACCACCTACAAACAAAATTCATCTTCACTTCATGGAAACTATAGAATGGAAGAGCAAACCGTAAGTGGTGGAGGCAACGGTCGAGGAACAATAAGGAACCAAAAAATACTTAATACAGCAAATGTAACAAATATATCTGAAAAGGAAAAGTTTTAGATGAGTCAATTTGATAATCATTTTGCCATATAAGCTGCTCGCCACATAGACAAAGTGAGAAACAACCAAAGCTTTGAACGAACCTTCTAAGAGGAATAAATTCAGCCAAAAAAATTATATATAGATTATTCAAGCTAACTAATACAAAATACAATATATCCTATGTATTTGCATTAATCTAAGAAAGCATCACTAACAACGACTGCTTACAGACACATGACAGACCACATATGGATGTCAAACAAGAGGGTAAAACTTGGTCACAAGACATGAAAACTAATCAATTAAGGCAAATGGGTACAGACATATCCGTACTGTTTCAGTACCAATGATTATAACAAGAAAAAGCGCTTACATCAACAATGCTATGCATCTTTTGATTTGAGTTCAGTAGCACGTCATTGTTAAGTTGAGTCATATGTAGAAAAACACATAAGATCCAGTAAATCCTATCAAATCCACTCAATAAATGTATCTAAGTTTCATTTCAGCAGTTGATCAGTTAGAGTATTGACATTATAAAATAACTCACAGACTGTGGGGATCACAAAATCCTAGGAGCACTAGAGGTAATGATCAACAAGGATTTAAAACCGAAGAAGCAGGAGAATGAACAAGAACATACCTTGAGAACAGGACCAATCTTGAAAACACCCATGACCTCCTCCTTGGACACCAAACAGAGAAGGGGAATAAGGGCAAAAGGGATCTGAACTGACTGGAGTATATTAAGCCATTCATTTAGAACATCTAATGTGTCGTCAGAACTATCAAAAACAAGAGCAACAATCAGAGTTGGGATGATAGCACAACTTCTTGTTATCAATGCCCTCATCCATTTTTTCAACCGCAAGTTTAGAAAACCTCCCATGATGAACTGCCCGGCATAAGTGCCAGTGATAGTGCTACTTTGGCCAGCAGCTAACAATCCAATAGCCCAGATGTACAGAATTGGGAACAACCCTCCACCATACTTCTCCTGAAGATACTGGCCCGCATTAGCAAGACCAATATTATTGGCTTGTTCAGTTCCATAAAACTCCTTTGCAAATACCGTTGTAACAAATAGATTGATTATGAAGGAGACTGCAAGGGCAACACCAGACTCTATCGAGTAGTAATTGAGAGCTTCTCGAACTCGACCAACCTTGTGGTGGTCGATCTCTCTTGACTGTACTAGTGCGGAATGTAAGAAGACATTGTGAGGCATGATGATGCATCCCACAACTCCCACAGCCTGTTGTATTGTTTTTGAGTTGAGTTTTGGAATTAAAATACCTACAAGGAGGGTTCAAATTGGCAATGCTTTAGATTCATAGAAGCTAATAGTTTGTAATTACAGAAAAAGAGGCCACATATTGAAACAAACTTCCATTACATCAAAAAGATAGTCCTTACCAAGAAGAAGCTCAACACCACTGGGTTTTGTTTCACCAAACATCCATGCAAAAGAAAGTGCCATGGTCGCAATGAGGATGGCGAAAAGTGCCTCTAATTTCCTCACACCATAGTTCTCAAGAAATAGAAAAACGAAACTGTATAAAGAAAATGAAGGAATCATATATGTCAGATAATGAATTTAGGGTCTGTTCGGTTTTAACTTCCTAAGAATAAGTTTTAAAAAAAAAAAGTAACTAATTTCCATTTTCTAAACATAATGTTCTCGGACTCCCCCACCCCGGCAAAAAAAAAAATAATGAAAATAAAAATGTATAGTTGTCTACATAAAAAAACAAGTCCAGTTAAGACCTACACATAAAAGATGCAAGATTCACATCTTCATCTTATTTTTTATTCTATTTTTTTTAACCGTGAGACCAGATGGTTAGGTTATCATCTTATATGAAGCACAAAGAAATCCAACTGCAAGTCACACCCATAAATACATACGTAGAGCTAACTCAATCAACTGAATGAAATATTTCAGGAATCAACCAGGGTTCCATCAAAATCAAGTAAATTGAAACAGTACTTAACACTCAGATGCATTCTTAACATGAAAGAATCAATAAGAAATCACAGCAACGATGGATCTTGGGCAGGCCCAAATATTTGGAAACCCCTTAAACAGTACTTACCAAGGGACTTTTACAGACTCGGCTCACTGCCCCCTAAAGACTAATCAAAAACATTTGCTTTCTAGACCTAATTCCAGGATCCTCAAAGCACAGGAATGCTCAAAATGAAACATCAGAAACCTCAAGATCAAAAATTTTCAAACCCTACACCAAGAAAAATTCACATATTTACCCATTGAAAGTCCAAAATTATGCTAAAAAAGAAGTGAGTGTGAAATTACCAATCAAGAGCAGTAATGACAACACCAGACCATAGTGGCAAGACACCATTACTCAAAATTTTAAGAGCAATGGCACTTCCAATAACCTCCTGAATATCAGCCCCAATCAGAGCCAGCTCAGCCATAACCCACAACAACAACATCGCCCACCTGGGATACTCATCCCTGCACAGCTCCGCCAAGTGGCGACCGGTGGCGACACCAAGCCTCGCCGAGAGAAGCTGAACCAGAAGCCCCATAACCGTAGCCCAAAACAAAAGCCATAACAGAGAGTACCCTGCAATTGCACCCGCCTGGAGATCACCCTCCAAATTACCCGGATCCAGAAACGCTATACTCATCAAGAACCCAGGTCCTGTGAAAAGCCACAGCTTCTTCCATGAAAAAGGTGGGATTTTGGTATAGTCTCCGGAATCGTGTTCTTCGGCTTCGTCGACTCCGATTATCTGGACTTTTTCAGTCGATTCGTATGCTGTTTCTCCCTTGTCGGAATCGATTGTTGGGTTTAGTAGCAATGGTTGTTCTTGTTCTTGAGGAAGCATGATTCACACACACTATGAGGAATCAACAATCTTTGTTTGAGGATTTGCTTGGTCAGTTTGTACAGTGGACCAGTGTAGAGCAGAGAGGAAAGAGCTGCTGGTTGCTATTCCTTTTATGGTTAAGTACACGAGAAGGAACCTCAGAAGAAAACTAGCGGTCCACTCTAATATCTATGCTTTTTTTTTTTTGGTAAAAAAATTATGTTGCTTTTGTTTGGTTTTTGATTTTTCTTAGATGCCCTTTTTCTACAAAAGGAGAGATTAATGGGATCAAACATTAAAATAATAGAAAGTAAATTATAAAAAAGTGAGAATTTCCCCTTATTTTTAGATTTTATTATTTAATTAACTAAATAAGGACCTAGAAATGAGATAATTGATTGACAATTTTTATTGCTCATTAGATATGTTCTTAAACTCACTTGAGTTACAGTAACTGACTCAAGACTCAAGAAAATGAACCCAAACTTAAACATCTTGTAATAAAAAAAATAATTATTGCACTTTATGTTATCTGGTTGACGGGAGACACTTTAATATTTAAATTAGTAAAGAATATGAGGTTAAGAAAAAAAATTGTTGAAAAAAAAAATGTCTTGTTTATTACATTCAAATTAGATTACTTACTTTTCACATCACTAATCGAGATTGCCATTATTTATTTAAAAATATAAAAAATCAAATGATATGGTATTTTTTTTAGTGTCACTTTTATTTATTTAAAATTTAAAATTTTATTATAACATTGATGACATATCATTTAATCTCTACTTTTAATTTTAAAAAAAAAAATCAATATCACGATTTGAATAATCAAAGCTCACACAAAGACATCGGGAAGCACGTAACTTTTCACGTGGTGATGGCAAAAGTTAATTCTTTTCCAATTATTTTATTTATTTTTTTTGTAAGTAAAATAAATACAATTATTCTATTCCTTACGTTGATTCACCTACTCAAAGCTAACCACTTACCTGGCAATGACATGTCGTTCCTGCACGCAGCTCCTCAAAAAATATGCTATGCGATGTTTTTTGTGTAATTACAGTGCATAAATTTGGATTAATAACTAAGAGTGTAATTTGATCAAATTAATTTGAAAAATAAATAATTTTTTTTAGAGAAAAACAAATAATTTAAACACCGATCGATAGTATTTGATAGGTATTCGTATATGTTGTATGTATGAAATGGAAAAGAGGGGGATTAAAAAACAAAGGGAATGAAAGAAGATAAAAAAAGTGTAGGTGAACAAAAAAATTTGTTAATATCAAATGGTAGTTTAAGTAATAATAAGGACAAACTGTAAGACATCCTGAGATCAAATTTTAGTAATTTTTTAATATCAAATTATGAGAAATTTATCTTTTATGAATACCGTAGTTCTAGCGTAAATAATATGTCTTTAATCGAATTAAAGAAAAAATTAGTCAAGATACACATAACCATTAAACAACAAAACTAAAAACAAAAAATTTATCCACGATAAAGGGTGAGAACAAAGAGAGATAAAAGACGAGGTTGATTGGATTTTAGTCCAATGCCTCTTTCATTGTTTTATTTTGATTTTTAATCAGGTTGTTCTCAAATCTCTCTATAAATGCTATACTTATACTTTATTGCTAATTTATTTTAGGAAAATATTTTTTATACTTAATTTAGTGACTTTATCTAATGACATGATAAATCATAGTCATTAAATTAATAATAAAGTTCAACTAATAGTGAATCCACTGTTAATTTAATGACAGAAAATAACAAGATCATTAAATAAAGTCTATGCAGCATTGCCTTTTATTTTAACTTTACAAATTTATTACAAATTTGTTCTTTTTTTTGGTAACTTTATCACACCGCCATAAATAAAAGCAAGTTTGGGATAAACATGGTTACATTCCGTCCAATTTGGTTGGTAATCCGAAATTTGTAGCCTTGTTCATTACTTCAACCAACAACAGTTTCAAAACTTAAACTTTACGTTGTGGATCGACGTGTGTGTGTGTGGGGACACAAGCGAACGTGTGTCTTTACGACGCTTTCCTTGTGGTGGCACAAGCTTCTCCGTTGCCATTCTACGACAGAGCAAACTTCAAAAGGTTCGCCAGCCATAGACCATAGACCTTGATTTTATATATTTAACTTTCGTACAAACACTTAACTAATAGAAACGTGACTAAACGTTAGGTTTAAGTAAAAATAAATTTATGAAAAATGAATTGAAATTTGATGTAAAGTTTTAAATATCAAATAAATATAGAATGGACCTTTGGGTCTTCGAAGTAGCGGTGTAATTTGGACGGGTCAAAAATTTGAATTTCAACCCGAGCACAATTCGAAAAAACAAGGCTTAGGTTAGAATTTTGTGAAAATTGAAGGTGAGTCCTTCGAGATGGACTTATAATAACTTGAGTCTTAGAAAGACATTTATTTGGAGGTAAGTCCATATTTAAACTTCAATGTAGATACTTAAATTTTTATTTTTTTTTAAATATCAAAATTACCCCTAACGGTGTTAGTTTTGTATAGTCATAAAAAGTCACATAAGTTAGATCATTAAGGTATATATGGAAATCCTTGATTGAGTCATATATGAAAATCGTCTATTAAATATTATGATAATTAACGAAAATTTCATATGAAAATTATATATTCTGATAGCTATATATAGTAATTTAATGTACGAATAAATCGTTGGTCTATTAAATCAAAATCAGATCACAAATTTTTTTTAACATTAATATTACTATAGTGACACAAATGTGATTATTTTTCTTAAAATACTCAATACCCAAAATGAAAAATTTCACAATTTCAAATAGTAACACAAACTCAACCCCAATTTTGATTTTATTCTTTAAGTTCACTGTAGAATCCATTGACAAAGTTACAGTTGATCCTTTGCATACAAAACATCTTCACAACATTGAGATTCAAAAATAGAGTTAAGGTATGTGATTTTACATGAAAGTTGATGTTCATTGTAGGATTTTAAAAAACTTCTTCATAATACATAGTTTAAACTCTTGCTTCCAAAGAATCATGCCCTCTATCATCTCGATGGGAGCTTTTCTACCCTAGTTAGGGTTTCTCTTGAGGCCTTCCTCATCTTTCGTTGTACTGCTCCTTATTTCGATGTACTCTTCCTTCCCGAGGCTATAAAGAGCGATGTTTCATTTTTTCAGTTATCTAACTTGGGCCTTATTTAATTCTCTTTAACTCCTCCACCGGTTGCCCTGCCTTTCCTTGGTCTTTTTCTTGATCTTTTGATTTCTACTCTTTACTTTTCTTTGTCTTTATCTTCTCTTGTCTTCACCTTTGGCTGTCATTTTCTTCCCTTTTGTGGTTCTTAGCTTTTGAACATTTCCCCATTTGGACTCTGTTCTTTTGCCGTTTTGCTACACTTCCATTTTATCTCCTCTTCTTGTGCTCTTGTTGTCCCCTTTCTTCGCTTTTTAAGGTTGTCTTTTTCTGGTGTTTCTTTTTCACTCTTTTTCTTGGCTTTATGGAGCGTGAAACAGAAGCCGATTCGCCTTTTGCCCCTCCTCCTTGTATCTCTTTGTTTGCAAACCCATCCACCTCCAAAAATATCGAGAAACATTGTCTTGTGGGCCGATTTTACACTAATACCAACCTTAATAAGCAAGGAGTCTGTAATGTTCTTCAGAGCTCATGGAAGACTTCGAAGGGCTTTTCTATTACATATTGGGAAAAGAATACGTTTATACTTTTGTTCAAAGCGGAGAATGATAAGTTGAAAATCTTGGAGGATGGCCCTTCGTCTGTTATGGGTGCTTTATTGGTTTTCAAACCCTATCTGCCTCAAAGCATCATCAGTGACTTTGAATTTCATTATTCGGAATTCTGGATGCAAATCAGAGGGCTACCACTTGATTTGATGACTAAAAACAATGCCTGGAGAATTGGGCGTGTGATTGGGGATCCTACCCAATTGAAGGATGTGGATGGCGAAGTTCAATTTCAACGTAATTATATGCGAGTGAGATGTCGAATTAATCTTCAAGAGCCTTTAAAGAAGGGTTTTTTTCTGGCTAGGGATAACCAAGATGATATTTGGATTACCCTAAAATATGAGCGGCTTTCTGATTTTTGTTATCTTTGTGGTCGAGTTAGGCATGCACAAAGTCAATGCACTGAAAGAGGTAAATTGGGAACCAAAAGTCAGTTTGGTCCAAATTTGCGAGCCTAGAGTAGTTTCTCCTCCAGTTTTTTTAGGGAAACTTGGTCCCTTAAGGCTAGCGAGAATCTGGAGAAAAAGGAAAAGCTTAAAGGTAAACTTCATTCTAGTGATGTGGATGCCCATTCTGGTCCAGCTTCTCCAAAATAATGTGGGATTTCCATGAATATGCCTCGAGCTGATCCAGAGGTTTCCCCAGGGGAGGTCCCAAAGCCTTATAATGAAGCCCCAGAGTGTCAACAACAGACTCACTCAAGTGGTTTCTTTTATAACTCTCATCTGTTGGCGGTTGTTCCTTTTGTTACAGATGCTCGAAATTGGGACCATAGCCCAACTATTCCCGATTCTAAAGAGGCTTCAGGAATGTGGATGGCTGTGAAAAGAGGGTCCTATTATGTTTTTTAACCTTCAGATAGTCAGGAAGTTACGGGGAAAGATAACAATGATTCATATTCTTTTTGGTAATGGAAGTGAGGAGGTAGGTGATCATATGGAAACCTACTTTCAGAATATGTCCCTGAAAAGGAAGGCTTTGGCTGATATTGTTGATAATGAGGATCCTTTGGAAAGTTGCAAGCGTAATAAAAGGGCTCCTGGCTTTCACAGTGCGCTTCCCTTGAATCCTGGTCTTTTTGGTTTTTCTCCTGGAGCAAATACTATTCCGCAGACTCAACGTCGAAGGTACAAATGTAAGCCTAAAAGGAGCCCTCAGGTCAAGCCTTATTCGGATCTTCACTTTTCCCATATGGAGGAGCTGGAACATCATTCACATCATCAATAACCAAATATGGAGGAGGGGCAATGAGGGCAGAGGAGAGAATAATGTTGAGCGGAGTATGTCTAATTGGTTTTCACAACCATCCTATGCTTTATTTGAGGCGGAGAACTCCATCTGTCAACCGGCAAAGGTGGTGATGGCTGACCTTCAACAGCCACACGACCCATGTTAGTGCTCTCTTGGAATTGTTAGGGAGTTGGGCTATCCCGGACAATCTGTAATCTATGAGGGTTAGTGAATACCCATCGCCCCTCAATCATTTTCTTATGAAGACTAAGAATAAAATCCATCGGTTGGAGTGATTGAGAAAGTTTTTGAAGTTCCATTTTGCTGACTATGTTGATCCTGTTGGTCTTTCGAGTGGTTTGGCTCTATGGTGGAGGAATAATGTTACTCTTCAGGTTACTAAAAAGAATTTGCATTTCTTCCATGTTCACTGTCTTTCCTTACCACATCAACTGCAGTGGCAGGTTTCTTTTGTTTATGAGGATCCTAAAGTGGAGAAACGTCAACGTAATTGGGCACGATTTCAGGCTATGAGTAGGTTGATTTCTTGTCCTTGGATGGTGCTGGGGGACTTTAATGTAATTGGTTATGTGTATGATAAGAAAAGAGACAGTCCTGCCTGTTCTCGAAAAATTAAGGAATTCCAAAATCTTTTATTGGATTGTTGTTTGATGGAGTTGGGTTGTCGTGGTTCTTATTTCACTTGGTCTAATAACCGTCCTGGGGCTGCAAATGTTTAAGAACGTCTTGATAGAGCTTTAGTTAACTCTGATTGGTGCGAAAAATTTCCCATCTCTCTGGTGACTCAATAAGCTAGGATGGGCTCTAACCACAGTCCTCTTGTTGTTGAGTTTGATGTTGTTTCCAAAAAGAGTCCTTTCTATTTCAAATTCGAATGTATATGGTTGGATGACCCTGAATGTGAAAAGGTGGTTCAGTCTTGTTGGAAATCTTTTCATTCTGGATCCTCTATCCTTAACATTTCTGATAATTTGGGGCACTGTAAATCTCGTTTATTGAACTGGAGCAGACTGAAATTTGGCAACAATAAAAAGCTGATGAGGGACTTGGAGGAGGATTTACAACAATGTCAGGCACTTGAAACTACTGAGGCAAATCTGTTACGTGAGGCTGATATTTGTTCCCAGCTCGATGTGGTGCGAAGTAGAAAGGAACTTTTTTGACTGCAGCGCTCCAAGATTAACTGGTTAAAGGGTGGTGATCAAAATACGCGATTTTTCCATTTATCTACCATCCATAGGTGTCATCAAAATCATATTGTTAAACTCAAAAATTTTGATGGTGACTGGATTAAGGGGGAAGACAATCTTTCTTCTCATATCCACTCTTATTTCTAGGATCTTTTCACTTCTTCGGGGATTAGAGATTGGACTGAAGCTTTAAGTTCTATCACTCCTAAGGTTACAACTACTATGAATCAACATCTACTTTGTATGCCTTCCCTTTTTGAGGTTTGGACTGATTGGGTGCCCTCAAAGTCCCAGGTCCTGATGGTTTTCCGGGGATGTTTTTTCATCGGTTTTGACATATTGTTGGTCAGGATGTTTTCCTTATGGTGTGTGATTTTTTTTGATGGGGTTCAGTTGCCTTCTGAGTTGAATCGTACCAATATTGTTCTCATTCCCAAAGAGGAAGCCCCTGAAACTATCTCCCAATTTTTCCCTATTGCATTATGTAATTTTGTGTACAAAGTAATATATAAGGTTTTGGCTAATAGATTGAAATTTGTTTTGGGCTCCCTTATTTCTCCCAACCAATCTGTTTTTATTCCTAATCGTCATATCCAAGATAGTATTTTTATGGCCAATGAAATTTTCCACCATCTCAAGGGAAAGAAGAGTGGCACTGTCCCTGAGGTGGCTATCAAATTGGATATTGGTAAGGCGTATGATCGTGTTGAATGAGATTTTTTGGAGGCCACATTGATTTCTTTGGGTTTTGCTCCCCGGTGGGTTCACCTTGTTATGAATTGTGTTTCTTCTGTGTCTTACCAAGTGGTTTTGAACGGGACTCGGATTTGTGAGGTGTAGCCAAACAGGGGTATTCGTCAAGGCGACCCTCTTTCCCCTTACTTATTCCTTTTTGTTGTTGATGTTCTTTCTGCTATGATTTGCAAAAGGGTGAATGAAACAACCTTGTTGGTTTGAAAATTAAACGGCGAAGTCCGATTATTTCTCATATGTTTTTTGCTAATGACTCTCTCTTTTTTTCTAAAAGCTAAAGAACGTTGCCTTCGTGAATTTCTCAGAATTCTCCACACCTATTGTGTGGACTCGGGCCAATCTGCTAACCTTGCTAAGTCTGGTATTATTTTTTCTGGGAATTCCACTGATGCTCGAAGATCCTTTTGCTGTCAACTGCTTGGCTTACAACCTCTTCCTCCTCATTCTAGCTACCTGGGTATCCCCTCAATGTGGGGACGATCTAAGGGTGAAGTTTTTGGTTATATCCTGGAACGTGTGGTCAAGAAGCTCCAAGGCTGAAAGGGCTCATGTTTATCACAGGCTAGGAAGGAGGTTTTGGTTAAGGTTGTGATTCAAGTCATCCCTAACTATGCCATGTCAGTTGTGGCTTTTCCTAAAAATTTTTGTGCTAAATTGAATCGATTTATGCAACTTTTTTGGTGGAAGAGCAATGAAGAGCGGAACAGTATTTTTTGGAAAAAATGGGAGAGTATGACTGTGTCCAAGGCTGGAGGTGGAATGGGTTTTAAGGATTTTTATCTACTGAATCAAGCCTTGTTGGCTAAACAATGTTGGCGTCTGGTTTCTCAACCGAACTCTTTTTGGGCAAAATTTACCAAAGTCATCTATTTTCCTAATGAGGATTTTATGCAAGCTAAGAGTGGTCGCAGACCATCATGGGGTTGGAGTGGTCTTCTTCATGGCAAAGTTCTTCTTGAGAAAGGCCTCATATGACAGCTGGGTGATGGAACTTGTATTGATTTTTGGTGTGATAAATGGATCCCCCTATCTCCCTCTTGGGCTGTTCTCTCTCCTAAGCCTCCGAATTGTACCTCTGTTAAAGTGGCTGACTTTATTCAGTCGAATCCTCGTCGGTGGGATGTCCCTTTGATTTCCTCTGTAGTTTCTCGGGCTGATACTGAGGCTAGCTGTGTTATTCCCTTATCTAAGTATGGTACTCTTGATAGAAGGATTTGGCAAATGGAGCATCAAGGAGCTTACACTGTTAAATCTGGTTATCGTCTGGCCATTTCGACCGCTAGGGCTTTTCCAGTTTGTGGCTTTTCTTCCTTCTCTCAACCTTCTCTGTGGAAGGTCCTATGGAACATGAAAGCTCTTCCAAGGGTCAAAAATTTTTGGTGGAAAGCTTGTCATAACATTTTGGCTTCAAAGGAAAATTTATTTAAAAGAAAGTGTGCTCCTTCAGCTCTCTGCCCTATCTGCTAGTTTGCTATTGAATCTATTGAACACATTCTATTTGATTGTGACTGGACGAAGTGTGTGTGGTTTGGAATGGATTTGTCCTTTGGATGGGAGAAGCTTCCATTTTTCTCTATGTCTCAATGCTCATCTTGGATCTTGGAGTAGCTTTTTGCTGCCCAGGGGAAATTGGAGGTTTTGGGGAAAGTTACAACAGTGGGTTGGGTCATTTGGAAGGCGCGGAATTAGTTTGTTTTTTGCGATGAGATTGTGAATGCCTTTTCTTCTATCTTGTGTGCTCAGTGTTTGTGGAATGATCTGAGTCGTATCTCTTCTTCTTCTCTTTTTGGCCCTGATGTTTTGTTGGCTTCTGCTGTTGTGGTTCCTTCGTCTGCCTCTGATATTCTTTTGTGCTGTGATGCCTCTTTTGATTCCAAATTTTTGCGGGCAGCTTGTGGTGTGGTGGTATGTTCGAAGGATGGAGATCTTTTGGCTGGGACTACTTCTTCGTTCCATGCTGCCTCTTCTATGGCTGCTGAGGCTGAGGCAGTTCGCCAAGCTTGCCTTCTAGCTGAAGGCCTCTTGCTCTCAAATGTTTCTATCAAGATTGATTGCCTCAGTATCATCAAGTTAAGTTCAACTGAGGATGTTCCCCCTTGGGAGTTTAATGTAATTATGAATGATATTAGATTTTTGGCGAGGTTTTATAACTTCACTTTTTACATAAGTCTAGAGCCTATAATCGGGCTGCTCATTGGGGGGCAGCTACTAAACTAATCAATTCCCTACCTTTGGACTGGTTAGGCTTCCCCCCTCCCGAGCTTAGGGCTTCCATTCTTTCAAATTGTAACCAAAATTTTCCTACATAATCTATATCAGCATTTTCTTGTTTTGTTCAAAAAAAAAATTATCTGTTTTTTTTTGGCATTCCTAATTTAAAATTTGAGATTCATTATTACTAAATTAAAGTGTTATATAATTCAATTTTATTATTTTTTTTGTTGTGCAAGACATTTGAAATACCTTGGTTGTGTATCTATGAAATAGATTATGTTACTGTGTGATAATTGAAAAATGAATTTCAAAATTTTGATATTTTGATGTTCTTGATTAGTGTTAAGTATCCTAATTCAACTGTCAATGATGTGTTACTATTAGAAATTTTATAAATTTTAATTTGTGGATCATATTTTCACTATAATTTTTCAAAAATTGATGTTACCGTGTGATGGTACTCAGAGTAATTTTCAAGTATGAGCTCAAGCACGGATGTCAGACCAAGAAGTCAGACAAGCAGATTAGACCAAGAGGTCAGAAAAGACACACAGAGCTCAGAGAATCAGAGTTAGAGATCCCCCTATACGCGCCAACAACGAAAATGATAAGGGTACAACTGGATGACAACAAAAATCTTATAGGTGGCAAAGAGTCATGTTCAAGGCGTAAAATCTTTAACCAGCCAAGATCCTCTCCTAAAATCAAGGAGAGTTCCTTGGATAAATGGCAAGGATCTCACTGCAGATCCCGCAGAACTAAGGACAACATTATAAATATTATGTAACTCCCCCAAGTGGGGGGGGGGGACCCGAGTAA